GACACCGGCACGTCCCTGATGGTTGGACCTGCTGCAGAAATCAGAGCGCTGCACAAAGCCATCGGAGCTCTGCCCCTGCTGATGGGCGAGGTAGAACTGACACGTGTCGCTAAAAGCACGAGTCGGCGGTTTCTGGGTGATGTCTAACTCTCCGCTCCCCTCCAGTACTGGATCGACTGCAAGAAGATTCCATCTCTCCCAGTGATCTCGTTCAACATCGGAGGGAAGACCTTCAACCTGACTGGGGAGGATTACGTCCTGAAGGTATTGATGACTCTGCAGCGTGCAGACGTAGTCATGTCTCTGCTATCACCTGGACTAGAGTTTCCTGAAAGAAAAGGGCGTTAAACCCAAATCAATGAGGAAATATGGATAAATAGATAGATTAAGCTAGTTTTATTGTGGTTGGTTTAAGGGGGTGGAGTCTGTTGCTGGATTTTGAATCCTAACGGCTTCCCCAGATTAATTAATAGGACAGCTTTTCTAATAGATTGAATCTAAACATGGACATCGTGACTTGGGACTTTGAAGTTATATTCCACTCCTAAGCAAAATTGAATCTGTAGCCTCGTCTCCCAGAGTTAAATTAGCCGTTCTGCTAATCTGGCAGTAATTTGTTTGCTTTAGCTTAGCACAAACAATGTAAGTGAATGGTACCGTTCAGCCTGACAGTCAGAACCACTCTGGGGTCAGGTGGCCCCATGTGACCCAATGCATCAGAAGTATTTTTGCTTGTTTCACTTTACACATTTTATGTTGTTTACACGTTTTATATTATTTACACATTTCATGTTACCCGACCACATTTTAATTATTTAAACATTTTAGGGCTGCAGCTATCGAATATTTTTGTAATCGAGTACTCTATCGAATCTTTTTTTCGATTAATCGAGTACTCTAATAAATTACCCTTTTGTGTTTGTAAACCATTATATCATATATTGATGAGCCAAGATGGCGCCGAGTATGGCTGCCTCGTCGCGAGCTCCACCAAGTTCCAACATTACACGCTCCCTACTGTACATTAATGCCACTGTTTTGCACATACAACCTCTGTACATTTTATATCTCTTATCTTATTGTTTACTTTATTCATTTGTATACTTAGATTAGCCATTTTTATATTTTACTTGTTTTTACATTACTGTATTTTTGCACAACTCTGTTGCTGTGAAGCTCGCACACAAGAATTTCACTCGCATGTACTGTACCAGTGTACCTGCACATGTGACGTGACAATAAAAGTGATTTGATTTGATATCAAATAGCATGTTATAATTATGAAAGACCTCTTAAAATGAGCAAGCAATTGCCAGTTATTCTTCAAGTTTTATTCAAAATTAGTTTGCAAAACTTCAGCACTTCAACTTTACTTCACAGTAAACAAATGGCTGTGCACAACCTGAGCCGATTTTCCCCTCGTGCGAGAATCTGCTAGCCTGCAAGCCAGACAGAAACAAGGAGGATAGCGCTGCGAGCGGCTGCGGCCCAAACAGAACCAGAACCGCTCACGGCGCAAACAGCTCGCCGGCTGTTTCCCTATTAACACACGTCCGTTTTAATTTCCACACTTTTTTTCTCACACTAACAAGGATTGCCAAAAGCATGTTTGCTGTGGTTTTGTCAAATTATACTGATCACAAAACATTTATTTACTTTCTTTCGTTTTCCTCCGCCACTCATAAATACCCGTGTCCTCCTGCAGAAACCCCGAGGGACAACAGACGTCAATAACACAATAAAAAGTCCGACGTGTTGTGTAAAAACTGCTATTTTTTTAGCACATTGTAAGACTGACGTGTTGCTACCAGACGTACGGTGTGAGCTGAAACTGAGCGCTACAAACGAAAAAGTCGCAGAGTCCGCAGAATATATAGAAATACAGGCTAAAATGCATTATCTTGTAGAGGCTCCGAGTCCGCTTGCAGAAGAGACATTTACAGGTGCTGCAGCACGGAGGATGTGGTGTTGTGGTAGGCTAAATCCATTTTACAGTATTTATACTGGACTACGTTTTCCACCTTACGACGTGAAAAATGCTCCCACACCTTTGACATTTTCTGTCTTTTTCACCCTCCACCGGGGTCTACGTTGTCCGCCATGGCTTAAGAGAAAGTTAAGTTATATTCGCTACTCGCGTGTGCATTCAGTCCAGTGGGCATGTGCGTCACTTATTTCGGTCCGGGTGAAACATGACCCCGGGCGATTGCAAAGCCATGAATTAATTAAATATTAATTAAACGAATCCTCGAGGCAGAGAATTTGACTCGAGGATTTTTTGTACTCGAATTATTCGAGGTCCTCGAGGAATCGTTTCAGCTCTAAAACATTTTACATTATTTACACATTTAACATTATTTACACATTTAACGTTACATTTTTTTTATTTATACATTTTACAGCATTTACACATTTAACGTTGTTTACACATTTAATGTTACACATTTTAATTATTTACACATTTAACATTATTTACACATTTAACATTATTTACACATTTAACGTTACATATTTTATTTATTTACACATTTTACATCATTTACACATTTAACGTTGTTTACACATTTAATGTCACACATTTTAATTATTTACACATTTAACATTATTTACACATTTAACATTATTTACACATTTAACATTATTTACACATTTAACGTTACATATTTTATTTATTTACACATTTTACATCATTTATACATTTAACGTTGTTTACACATTTAATGTCACACATTTTAATTATTTACACATTTTACATCATTTATACATTTAACGTTGTTTACACATTTAATGTCACACATTTTAATTATTTACACATTTAACATTATTTACACATTTAACATCGTTTACACAATTAACGTTGTTTACATATTTAACGTTGTTTACACTCTTAACATTATTTACACATTTAACGTTGTTTACACATTTAACGTTGTTTATACATTTAACGTTACATATTTTAATAATTTACACATTTAACATTATTTACACATTTAACGTTACATATTTGATTTATTTACACATTTTACATCATTTACACATTTAACGTTGTTTACACATTTAACGTTGTTTACACATTTTAATTATTTAAACATTTTACATTATTTACACATTTAATTTTACAAATTTAATGTTACACATTTTAATCATCTACACATTTTACATTATTTATAAATTTAGTTTTTACACATTTAACGTTGTTTACACATTTAATGTTACACATTTTAATTATTTACACATTTAACATTATTTACACATTTAACATTATTTACACATTTAACATTATTTACACATTTAATGTTACATATTTTATTTATTTACACATTTTACATCATTTATACATTTAACGTTGTTTACACATTTAATGTCACACATTTTAATTATTTACACATTTTACATCATTTATACATTTAACGTTGTTTACACATTTAATGTCACACATTTTAATTATTTACACATTTAACATTATTTACACATTTAACATCGTTTACACAATTAACGTTGTTTACATATTTAACGTTGTTTACACTCTTAACATTATTTACACATTTAACGTTGTTTACACATTTAACGTTGTTTATACATTTAACGTTACATATTTTAATAATTTACACATTTAACATTATTTACACATTTAACGTTACATATTTGATTTATTTACACATTTTACATCATTTACACATTTAACGTTGTTTACACATTTAACGTTGTTTACACATTTTAATTATTTAAACATTTTACATTATTTACACATTTAATTTTACAAATTTAATGTTACACATTTTAATCATCTACACATTTTACATTATTTATAAATTTAGTTTTTACACATTTAACGTTGTTTACACATTTAACGTTATTTACACATTTAATGTTACACATTTTACATTATTTACACATTTTACATTATTTACACATTTAATGTTACACATTTTACATTATTTACACATTTTACATTATTTACACATTTAATGTTACACATTTTACATTATTTACACATTTTACATTATTTACACATTTTACATTATTTACACATTTAATGTTACACATTTTACATTATTTACACATTTTACATTATTTACACATTTAACGTTGTTTACACATTTAACGTTATTTACACATTTAATGTTACACATTTTACATTATTTACACATTTTACATTATTTACACATTTAACGTTATTTACACATTTAATCTTACACATTTTACATTATTTACACATTTTACATTATTTACACATTTTACATTATTTACACATTTAACGTTATTTACACATTTAATGTTACACATTTTACATTATTTACACATTTTACATTATTCACACATTTAACTTTACAAATTCAATGTTACACATTTTACATTTATAAATCTAGTTATTTACACATTTAATGTTACATTATTAATACATTTACTGTGTCTTTTACATATATTATATACATGTGATATTATACATTTAATATCATAAATGTGTAAATACACATTTAACATTATTTACATTTGAAACATGGAGTTTATGGTTTATTTATACTCGTGTCTTTCTCTGGAAATGCAGGAGTCTCAGATGGGCCAGTCCATCTGTCTGTCCGGCTTCATGGCCATGGATATCCCACCTCCCGCAGGGCCCCTTTGGATTTTGGGAGATGTGTTCATCGGGAAGTACTACACGGTGTTTGACAGGAATGCCGACAGAGTGGGGTTTGCCTCTGCTAAGTAACCATCTGAACATGTTTTCATCACAGCAAAGATGGAACATTCTGCTTTCTGAGTATTATAGGAAGCTGCACTGGACGTTCAAGCAGAAATGTGGAGTTTGTTGTGAGAGCACCACCTAGAGGCAGAAAAACGGTACTGCACCTCAATCCCATCTCACCTGCTTCTGTAATTACAGCTGAAACACCTCTTGTTCATGAACGTGCACCTCTAGCCAGACAACAGATCTAAAACATGTTGCTTTACAATTAATATTCTCATGTTTGGCTGGATTTATGGATTTTTCTAACAAGTCTAACAGATTTCCTGGAGAGGGGGAGCTCCGGATCGCTGCTTTAACTCTCTGATGCATGAATTATGAGATCTTCAACCATGATTTTTGTAAACAATTTTTTTTCATTCATTTTTAGGTGTGAATGAAACAAATTTCAACAAATATTTTTTAAAACATTTTGTTAATTTACAAACAACTTATTACATGTCCATCTCAGGGGACAGTGTGCATTCTGAACATGAAATATGTTGGCTCGACTTACTTGAGTCCAAATGGAGGGGCTCACATGCAATAAAGTCTTCAACAGCTGTGCTTAATAGCAAAAATAAAGAAATAACAATTTTGAGTACCTGTCCACTGTAGTGACCATTATGCATCAAAGGGTTAAACTGATCAGCTGATGGGTTTTGTTATATACAGTTTTCTTCAGGACCAATTATTTCTGATCCTGATATTTTTTGCTTTATTTCTTGAGTTTTCAGATTTGCACTCTTAAGGGTCTCAAACAGTTTTGGTTTAAGCATTTTTCTAGTTTCTAATAAGTTTTTGTACATCTAAAATGTTTGAACTTCCAAAGCCTAAAATAAAATAAAACTCTGATCACATGACGTGTTTTAATGGATTGTTTATTAGAATGATTTCAAACATTTTCCTGTAAAAGAAAAATAACCAAAAAATAAAAATAAAGCATACAGAAAGTAATTTAAACATTTAATTACACAAAGTGCCACACTGTTCAAGTCCAGAGCTAATTACAACCAAAGGTCAAAGGTGACGGCTAGAACACGTTGGCGTAGTGATCCGTTTGGGGCTTTGATGCAAACGTGGCGCGGCGACCCCTCTCGTATTCAGTAGCTTTAACTCGCTCAGCGAAGGAAGACGCTTCAGACGGACACGTCACCACAGAGCCACATCCAGCTGCATCAGTGGAAATAAATAGACGCCTTTTTGGTTACAAATGTAGAATAAATACAAAAATAGTCATCTTTGATCTGAATGATTCTTTAAATAGACCCACTAGCAACTCAGATGTCTGAGCTTTAACCAACAGAGCGGTGGGGAATGAGGAGACGTTCTCTAAGGCTAACAGTGACAATGAAAAGCCGCCATGAGATTACTTTTGGACAACACACGCTCCACAGCGCTTCAGCTGACTTAATACGACTCGGCAAGCTTGGTTTAAGACGCTTTAACGAACACTTTGGCTAAAATAGCTACTGTTGTGTAACCGAGGATCCTCTGAGCGCCGCGTCTGCACCGATCCGTTCATCGCGGTTTAAGGCGGACTCCTGCTGGGGTTTAGTGACCGTAGGGTTAAAACCAGAACCTCACTGAGAAGATGGAGACAGGAAATCAGGAGGCACTCGGGGCTCCGCTACCATCAGATTCAGGCGAGTTACAGCACTTCCTGTAAGGATTTGCCTTAACGTACGGTACGTAGACGATAGGTCGCTCGTGTGCTGCCGTACCACACCAAGACAACGGATCCGAGCAGGTAAAGAATAAAGGCCCTAAGGCCGTCCCCACCAGTTACAGCCCAGTGAGATACTGGTTTAAAGACTTAGATTCACAACAAAAGATGTTCAGGAAGCGCCAACGGCTTCAACCCAGCGGGTCAGAACAGCTCCAGCAGAAGCGTCAGATCTTCCCGTGATCCTGATCCACGGCACCGACGGGAACACGGAACCACAAACCTCCAGTTTATAACAGAGCCTCTGTGTGCGACGTCACATGACCCCCACGGCTAAGTCAGGCTACTCATTGGCTGGGGTTTCAATTATCCACATTTTATTCTTTTAAAATTGTTTCCCGTCGTCCATCTTTTGTTCTATATTTCATTCTATTTTTTACTCATGACGGTGACTCGCGCAACTGCAGCTACCTGAAACACGCCACGTCTCCCACGCGCGATCCAAGAGACCAGAATATGAACGAAACTCGATTTAGAAGTGGAGAACTTTAAGGATGGCGGAGGGGAAGCAGACCCACCCGGATTATGAGTCCGGTCCAGAGCTCGGTACTGTTGGCACACACACACACACACACACACACGTTTTGGTCTGTTGGTGCTGCGACACAAACCCGTTGGAACACTTGTTACTAAAATGCTCTGAAGCCTTGGTTTGCCCTCCACTGAGCATGCTCAGTCCGGTTTAATGCAACGGCTCTGAGAAGTCCCTCCGCTCTCCTCTGAGATGTTTGGATACGAACAGCTGTGATGTGAAGAGTCAGACCGGCCCGACACGAGACCCGTCTCATGCAGCGTTTTTGTTTCTGATGAATGTTTAACCCGACGCTTCCGTCTCAGCGCCGGTTTCCTGTTAGGGGAGGTGTGGTTCTGCGGTTCTGAGAAGCCCTTCGGGATCTGAGAGGGCGCAGTAGAGCGTGTAGCCCAGTTCGTCCACTTCCTGTTCGGTCAGCTCGCAGAACAGATTGACTTTAGGAGCGAGGGCGCAGGGCAGCCTCCCGGCCTCCAGGTGTTCCACCAGAGCTCGCAGCAGCTGCAGGAAGCGGTCAGCCAGCGCGTCCTGCGTCCAGTCTCCTTCCTTTTGGCTCAGCAGCAGGATGGCGTTGGTGAGCTGGCTGGAGTTGAGTCGGTTCAGGGCGGGGTCCAGCTTGCATACGGCCTTGGCCACCTTCAGGCAGGTGCACCGGCAGCCGCCGTCCTCCTGATCCAGTGCCCTGAGGCGCGCCGTCTCACCCACGCGGAAGCTCTGCCGCCACAGGTTCTCGTGGCGCTCCGCAGCGAGCCGGTGCGGTTTGGCGATGAGCGACGTTCCGTCTTCCATCACGAGCAAAGGCAGGAAGTCCACATAAAGCCTCCGGTTTGCCTCATACTGGACCTCAAGGGTCAGGGTCTCAGAGGGAACCACGGGACGGATGATGTAATCCAGGACGCTCCCGATGGCCGGCCAGTTGATGGAGCCGGAGACCAGCTTGTCGAAAACCTCAAGGAGCGATTTAGGGGAGAGGTAACCCCCCACCATGCAGCGGTCCCAGTAGCTGCTGTTCCTTGGGAAATATTCCAGGTTCTCCCTGCGGACGAGCCAGAACCCAGGAACGTTCATGATGGTGTCCTCCCCGGGAATGGACGACCACAGGTTCTTCTCCAGGACCAGAGGCACCATCAGCTGGGCGTGGTCCGCCGTCACCACCTGTGAGGAGATCAGACTCAGAACCGATCTGCGATTGTGTGTCACTCCAAACGATAATGAGCTAAAGCTGCTCACCTGCAGGTCGTCGTACAGACTTCCACTCAGGTACATCTCCCGCAGCGGCATGTCCGGGAGTTTGGCGTGAAGAAACACCCTGAGCTCGGCGCAGATGTCCAGAGCCGCCTTCCTGGCCAGAGCCTGCTCCTCGGCAGAGATGTTGACCCGGTTCCGGTAGAAGTCCCACAGGCGTTCCTGCAGGGAGAGACGCATCCGAGCCCGCAGCAGGTCGGACTGGGCGGAGCCGCCTCGTCCCGCGGCAGAGCGACCCACAGCTCTCCTCAGACCATCTGAACATGTGTGAAAAAGACAAGTTTAACAAACTCCTGCAGAAGAAAATAACGTTTGAGGAGGAGGAAGGAGATTATTTTAGGGTTGTCACGGTAACCGGTATAGCGGTAAACCCCGGTAAAAAAAGTTGACAGTAAAAATAACCGTCCAGTTTTTAAAAAACTATATTATCTCGGTGGGTTTACCGTGGCCGCGGTTTCGGCGCGATGACCCTTACCAGCCACCGTCGCTTCAGCTGAAGTTCCCGCGGCGCGCACACGCACTGTTTAGTTTGCAACGGCACCAAAACTTTGAAGCTGAAATAATGGCCGAAGGAGGAGACGGCAGCGCCCAGGACATCCATCAGCCCTCAGAGAAGACTAAATCGGAAGTATGGGCATATTTTGGATTTCTGAAAAATGCTGAGGGACAGTTAATAGAAGACGGCTATCCCGTTTGCAGAACGTGCAGGAAACAAGTGTCTGCAGAAGGCAGCAACACTTCGAATCTAATGGCACATCTGTGTGACCATCACCCACGTCTCTACAGCCAGTGCAAGGTAAGTTAACATTAGCATTTTAGCTGAAATGCATGACGCGAGGACTTTTGGTTGACGGAGAATGCAACGAGTCACTATATACTGCAGCCGCAGCGCCCTCTGCCAGCATTTAAACCGTGTCACGGACACCCTGTTGCTGGATGAAGCATCTTATTTGTTGATGATGAAGAGAAATATACAATTAGTTCCTTGTCATGGATTTGTTTACTTATTCAATGCCATTTATACTTGAACATTTGGATTTGATTACATAGTGTAGTAGTTATTTTAGTAATTTGTTTAAAGTGGATATTTATTTTAAATACATATTTTTTAAGGTTGACTTGTACAGTGCTCAAGTCAAGTGTGGACTGGAGTTTTAGATTTTCATTTTGATAATGAAGAAAACAAGTATATGAGAAAACAAGTGGTGTTTCTTTGATTTGTTTACATATTGTTTATGTTTCGAATGTTTGGATTTGTATCATTTAAACCTGCACTGACTACTGTTACATGTTCCAGAAAAATAAGCTATTTGTTCCTTTACTTGTGAAAAGTTGCACTTTTGCTAAGGCTTTGTGTTATTTTAGGTTTAATAAACATTGTTAAACCTTTTCAGAACTATTTCAGTTTGTGTAGAACAGGACTATCAATGCTTTCTGAACATATGCAACACCGTTTAAAAAATACCGCGATAATACCGAAAACCGTGATAATTTTGGTCACAATAACCGTGAGGTTAAATTTTCATACCGTGACAACCCTAGATTATTTCACTACTCTGACATGACGGTTCTACTCCTCTACAGCTAATCCCACTAAACCACCAGAACAGGTGAGTTTGGGGCCTGCGGGGAGACAGAAGGTAACCCACTGTAAAGAAAGAGGAAGAATCCTCCAAGGAGGCTGTCTGTTGAAAGATTAAAACAAGACGCGTGGCTGAAAGTCAAGCCTACGACCACGAATGTTACGACATAAAAAAACCGAGCTCTCGCCTCACCTGGTTCAAAGGAATGTGAGGAAGTGGGCAGCGACTGGAGGGACCTGCTGACCGTGAACTTCATGTCGTGGTTCAGTACTCGTGGGGATGACCCCATCCAGGCAGGCTCCTCCCAGCTCCTCTTCCCAGTTTTCTCCATCTTGGTGGGGCTGGTGGGGGCGCTCATGGCGCGGTCATACATCTGTACAGCAACAATCAGGTGAGCTGAAGCAGACCGCTTTCACGCGCCACGCCGATCGAGATCTTCACACTTACTCGTTTCATAGCCAGCGTCGCAATGCCGAGCATGGCCGCCCCACCCACCCCCAGCACCAGCTTAGCATTGGAGAGCATGAAGTCGATGGCTGTCCCGAGGCCGTTGTCATCTTTTTTTCCTTTACGGTCACCGTTCACCCCCGCCATCCCCCTGCTGGCCGAGACAAAACCAGATCAGAAGTGACCCAAACAGCCGCCATGCTGTGGGGTGTTTTCTCTGCGTGAACCCACCTGAGTGACGCAACTCCAGACGGCTCACGGAGCCCCCTCCCCTACATAAGCCCACCCAGCCCACTGCTGAGGAAGAACTGGCCTCTCTTCAGCGCCTCTTCCTTGTCTTCAGGCACGCTCAGGTCCCGGCAGCGCCGGAACTCCCGAGCCACGGCCCGGCGGTAGTAGTTCCTGTCTGTGTACTGAAGGTGGCGTCCGGCGCGGAGCAGCGCCCTGTACAGCTCCAGCACGGCACTGCGAGACCAGCTGCCCATCAGGGATCACACATGGAGGGGGGAGCCACCCTGGAACCTGATTGGAGGACAGATGGGAGACGCCAGTACAGACATGAGAAATGTGATGATCAACCTGCACAGATGGTCACGAGAGAGGAGGGTCTCTCTCTCTCTCTCATTCACACACTTTAGCTCCAACAAGGTGAATCCCAGACATCACCTATGGATTAATGCATCTCTCTAAGGCCCTCTTAAAACGTAATTAGGTTTCTTTCTTCAAAAAACTACTTTAAGAAGCTCCACCGTATTATTTTTAGGTCTGACTCTGCTGTTGTGCCTCACCTGTAAACATTCCTGTTTGTTCAAGCTTAAACTGATTAACGTGTCTGGTACAGGGCCTGGAAAACGCTGCCAAAAAGCTTAAATAACACTTAGTAAACCGTCATATAGCTGGGGAACAGGAAAACAATCATTTTAATAACACAAAGAGGCCTGGCTCACAGGAGGCTGCATATAAAAAAAATTAAACGTGGTTTAAAACTTTTGCACGTTGTTGTAGCGGTCGCGCCCGCCACGGCAGCGACAGAATTAACAGATTATTCCCGCGAGCAGGCGTTTTCCGTTAGGTTGCTGTAACGGTTGTGTAATCCGGTTTCCTCAGATGAAACGGTATAATATTGTAAATCCATCTGATGTTCAGCGGCCTGTAGAAAATGGCTGGCCTAAAAGAAAGTCACTCATCTCTGTGGAAGCTAGTGGTTAGCTTATTTTAGCGGCGTGAGTTAGCGCTGACCTTACGTTCAAACAGCCTGGCGCACACCACCGCAGGCGTAGAGTAATCTGGCTACGTGTGAAAGCAGCAACACAGATGTAGAAACGTTTAAAAATCATCAAGAGGCAACTTACGTATCGGAAAATAAACCAGAGTTAATGTTATGAAAGAAGCCGCTCTTCTTTTCAGCCGGGGGTCACGTATGATGGTGACACCGGAAGCAAAAAGGCTTACGTAAAATCCACATCCGGGTTACGCCCCCCCAAGATTTAGCTAAATTTTAACAAATTTTGAGGCATTTTAAAATACTTTTTGATTAAATTACTGAAAAGTCTGCCAGGTGACATTTTTTATAAAGTTTAAATAAAATATTTAGTTTATTTATTTGGTGAAATGAACAAATTCTTTACCACCTTAAATGTTAGACAGCATAGGTGTGTCTGACTGTAACAAACCCATATACAACTGATTATTTTTTTATTTTATTAAACTATTGCTAAAATATAAACTATTAATTAACATTCACCCTTTCATTCAGATAGTTAAAGAGCAAGTCACCCCCAAATAAACTTTTTTGCTGATAAACAAAATAAACGAGTGTCTAATCATGCTGCAGACACATGTTGTCAATAATTTGGCACTTCAGTTCATCTAATTTAAATATTTTGCCTAAAACTGGCAGTGTTGTGCCGTTGTCAGGTAAAAACTCTGCACTGTATTTTAATTTAAATCTGCCATCGCTATTGGCTAAGAGGTATGCTATGATGTAAACTGGTACATTATGATGTCACAATGCTGTCATGAGCCTGTGTGTGTGTGTATTTGTTAGTGGCTCCGCCTTCTCGGTCTGCCAGGCAACAGTATTTGTTGCATTTTTCAAACATGAAGTGGGAGTGGAGTTAGACTCTGGTAGGGTGTGACTTGCTCTTTAAATGAAGATTTCATCTGATTACTTTAAAAGTAAACAAAAAGTTCACAAAGAGTGCTGGGGAGGAGAAAGATGTACTCGTAATTGCAGTTTGTGATATTCCAGCAAACACACACCCCTTCCCCATGCATTTATATCCATAGTCATTAGTTTAGCATCAGTCATTTTGGCTGGCATAATTGCAACAGTCAGAAAATGATCTAAGGTATTAAAAACACTTGTTCATTACTTTGCTGCATGAAAATCATTTATTAAACATTGTCCAACATTATTATAATTGGTAATAGTGTTGATGATTCCAACCAGCTTTACAATATATTGCAGGATTGCTGTGAACCATTACAGAGCAGATAACAATTCTCATTTTCAAGACAAACACTTAAATGTGCACAAAAATCTGGTGAGCAAACAACTTTTTACGTCAACAAACAGTGTAGCAATTGTATCAACACTTTTTCATCCTGATTTGTGAATTGTCATAAGATATTTATTGAAAATTGAATATTTAATCATAACATCATTGGTGTGTGTTTCATATTACTTTAAAAACAATCATTAAGAAAAAACAATTTGATTGAATTGACTGAAGAATATTGAAAAATGTTAAAAATATCAGCAAAACTGATCAAAATATAAAACTATAAATGCTGCTTTTGAAATTTTTTTAAATGTCACTTATATGCATATTTAGTCCCACACAAAAAATAGAAAAACAGTTAGACTTTCAATTCAATCTGATTAAGCTAATTAGCTCTTTTGAATCATGTCTTCTGTTTATTTTTTAGTTCTCATCTCCAATAATAACCCGAGCTAAAGGCTACAGCGATTTTCTTATAATTATCTTTTTTAAAAAGCCCTAATATGGATCAAAACATTACTTTCTGCATCACTGGATCATTTGTAAGTTCAGAATTCACTTTTGGCCTGGTTACTCCAAATATTTCACATCTACAGGCCCGTTGGGACTGTGTTGGTCTTGTTATCAGGGCATGTACTTCATTCCTTTCATTCTAGGGATGATTTGCATGTCTCTAACGTCATCGTGCTGAAGCAGCCAACACAAGTAGCGCTCTGTTCCCATGCCCCATCCACTGGTGAGGAGGGGCTTCACTTGGCGCATGCTAATGTACCACTTGTAGGAATCCTCTGGTACTGCATGATGCTTCAAGGCTTCTCGTACCATCTCAGGGGTAGAATGACGTTCACCAAGACCCACAGTCTCACCCAGTCCCAACAAAAGGTCTGCTGCTTTGGCCTTGCACTGCCTAGTACCCTCTACGTATGCCTGATAGAAGGGAACACCTAGGTGGTCCATGTCAGTTAGCCACACAGCACCACCATACTTCTCTATCAAAACCCTCTCTCCTTTGCGAGTTAGCTTTCTGCCAAACAGAGGCTGGCCATCTTGTACCCACTCTAGGCAGTCAGCAGAAGGCATCATGGAAATGGCTCGATCCAGGGAGATTCTTGGAAGAGCAGTTTTTCCATCCATTTTACTGAGGAGAGCTGTGGCGTGTGCAAGGGTCCCGGCAGTGTTCAGAATTTTGTCGGAGTGTTTTGTCAACATAGATCTGGTGAGATGAACCAAGTACCCCTCTGCAATGGAAATAGCATCATCCATGTCACCCAACAGTTCACACTCAACGTGGTAGAATTGATTCAAGTGTGTGGAATCTGGGTCTTCCCCTCTGAAGCTAGGAGATATGTAGTAGGTTCCAGGTAGGTTCTCCTGAAAGCGAAGAAAGTATTCAAGTACAAACTGCATTGAGTCAGCAAGGTATACATCTTGTCCCAGAAGGTGAACGGACACTGGCTCAGAGTCAGACCCTAGACCCATTGGGGAGGATATGGTGTCGGTGGTCAGAGGAGTCAAAGCGTAGGAGTACTGGCAGCAGGTATGGAAGTACTCTACTGTACTGTGGAATAAAGTGTTCTGAATCTGGAACAAGTTGCAATACCACTGGTTTTTGATGGCAAGTGTCGAGTGAGACTGAGGGTCTTCCCATGAACGAGGGGCCCTGTTCTGAGTAATTTTTGTGTGAATGTTTTTGATGGTTTCAGAGTCAGCAGGTGGGCCATCCAATGATGACACAAATCCAGGGTAACTTTGGAAGAATTCTGTTTTCTGTTCGACCGCTTTAGCGCCACATAGAGAGGCCAACTGGGGCACCAGCTTGACATGGGCATGGTCAATCTCATATCCCTCAAAGATCAGTGCAACACTTGGAGCTCTCATTCCTTCTTGCAGAAGTTGTGCCACTTCATAAGTGGCTAAGATCAGTGCTTCATAGTCAGAATCTTCCAGTCTGAAGATGTCGCTAGTAAGTGACTTGCGTGGCACCACAACAGTGAGCCCAGGTCTGTTAGGGTATGGTGTTAGGAAGGCAACATGATCGCTGTCCTCCCACACTCTCCACTGTTGCTGTTCTCCACGTATGATCTGACTGAACAGGTTGTCATCGGAAGCATCACCATTATAGTCAAAGCAAAACGGTGCATTTGGTGTTGGCAGCGCCTCTCTGATTTTGGCTTGAACCTGGGTCAGCGCGTCATCATCCCAACGAGGACCACTTTTGGAGTTACAAAAGCCAGTACTGTGACCATGGAACTCCTCCTCAACAGCAAGATGGGGCTTCCACTTTTGCTCTAAACCATGAAGTGGGAGTAATCTGATTTGTGCTGACCCATCACTTGCTGGATTGAAAACCATGGCACAACGCTGCACCCCCAGTCGCTCACACAGCAGGTTTGATACAGCTTTTGCCCCCTTTAGCATAGCAATGAAATCAGGGATGGCCATCTGGAAGATGCTGCTTGCCCCACTTAGAGTTTTTCTGGTAAGGATGGTTGACCCAGGAGTCCAGGGGTTGGGATTCAAGTAGGCAACCAGCTCATCTGTTTCCCAGATCACATTGGTGAAGGTTTTAATGGGTCTTAGAACCTCTACTCTTGAAGTGCCACCAGTAATCGATGCCACAAACATCACAGCAGCATTAGTTTCAATGATGACATTCCCCTTTTTGTCCACAGCAATGACTCCTGCACATGTGCCTTTCAAGTTTTCAGTCATCACTTCCCTGCACGCTTGACGAAGGCCATAGCCTTTGTTGTGGTACAGACTTGCAACTTTCTGTGCCACTGTGTTTCTCAAAAAGACATCCCCATCACCAGAGCAGGCGATCGCTACCTCCTCGTCAGCATATATTCCTGCCCCTACTACTGCTGTATCCCCAACTCGCCCTTTCAGCTTTCCCACCAACCCACCGGTGGAGGAAGCAGCAGCTAATCTGTTCCAGCGATCCAAAGCCACTGCTCCAACTGTCTGTGGATGATTGTTCTTTAAGGTGTTGCCTCCACTGAGTTTTGCAAGTAACTCTTTGTGACGTATATCAGTGTAAAAATACTCTGGTCCAACTGGCTTCTCTTCCTCTCCTGACCCTTGCAGCAACTCCTCAGCCCCTTCTCCCACGATCATTGAATGGGAACTCTTTTCCATTACACATCTGGCTGCTTTGATTGGATTTTTTATGCTTTTCACACAAGCAACAGACCCTGACCTCTGTCCTTTACCATCTACAATGGTTGCTTCCATTTCGTTGAAGCCATCTTTGTTAAACACCGAGCCTTTCCCTGCATTGAACAGAAAGCAGTCTTCCAAAGCCTCCACTGACCTCTGAACAGCATCCAGACTACTGCCCCCTTCCTCAAGTATTTGGGACCCAAGAGTTAGGGCTGTCTGTAAAGCAAACTCAATAATATCTGTCACTTTGTTGTTCAGCATCATTTCTTCTCCAGCTCCACCATGAATCACCAAAGTGCAGTCGGACCCTTTTTCAGATGCAGAGTTGGTGCCGTTGCTTGTGGCTGGGCTCTTAGGGCAGTGAGTCGTCTCTTTCTGGCCTTGTTTGAATAAACACTCCAGGGCTCCCATTTGACTTGCAATGGCATATCTAACAGCCAGAAGCATCACACGGTTCAAGTTCATCATAAGGGTTTCTTGAAGCTTCTCCAGAGATATTGCAAAGATCCCTTTTCCATTTAGAATTATGCGTACCCTGTCTGTCTTCCCAAGGTAGGTTACAGCTAGCTGGTCTTGGGCGTAGACATTTCCTACTCCACACTCCACACCTTCCATCAGATCAACACCTGTGAGGTACACTGATGGACATCCAAAAGGGACCAGGAATCTTTTCAGTGGATTATCAGGCGGTAGAGATTGACGCAGGGCAGCCAAGTGAGGACCAACACCTTGACCACTTTTGGTGTTTCTAATGATGTTCTTGTGCTCCATAAATGCAACATGGAACAGCTGCAGTAGATCATTAGTATACTGGATTGTGTTATCTGGAGAAGTGCTGGATGCCAAGGCATTCACTAACTTGCGAGAGTGCATGGTGAGCGAGTATGTAGGATCACACCGACCATGTTTGTAGTGTCGCATGTGGGTAGGTGTGACAATCATGTGACTGGCTGCAGATTCTCCAAGAGTCTGCCTCAGGGAGAGCTGCAAAGAGAAGTTGATCCAAGCATCATACAGACCTCTCTGCCCTCTCACAGTGGCAAACACATCAGGATAGGAAGGCAGATCAAAAGTGAGGACTAGATGGTTTGCTTTTAACGTAGGGCTCCGCTGGGGGGTACTTATCCCTTGCAAGGGGAAGGGTAGGGCATTTGGACAAACAGTGTTAACTGTGACAGACTTGGATGTGTTTTCTGTGTCATGAAGGACAAGGTTTAGGTCAACAGTCTCAGAAAGACGGTACACACGTTCAGTCACAAGACCAGCGACCATTCCATCCACAGCACTGTGCTCGAACACCATCCCAGCTGTGCTGTTTCTGAACACCACGAGATTCAGTACCTGCAAAAAGAAAAAAATCAAATATAGACGCAGTCTTTTTGCTTTTTAGTTGGAAAATTGCAAAAGTACTGTAGACTTAAAACATTTAAAATCCAAATACGTAGCACAGTTTAACCTTACAAAGTGGTTTTATTTGCTACTGACAAAATATTTTCTATTTGGTCCCTTTTCTTTTTAAATAAAACAGATTTTAAAAAATCAGCATAACTGGCAACTGAAGTAAGTGAATGATTGCAGTAACCACATTTGACCACAGGATGTCACTAAGACTCCGTTCTTACACGCTGCACCTTTAAGATTTTTATTGGAGTTTTCTGAAAAATTTGGATACACTGATTTTTGTTCGACAGTAAGCCTTTCTGAACGCAGTTCTTGGAATGTAATCTAAATTATTTTATTAATCTTATTAATTTTACTGTTTTATGAAGAATATAAGTGAATAAAAATGAATCCCAGAGGGAAATACCTTGTCATAGTATCGCAAACAGGGATGGTTGTCTCCTCCCAGCCTCACGGCATTTAGGATATCAGCCAGGTCGGATGGTGCATCCCAGTCCTCCAGTGAGAGCGTAACGACAGCAGTCTCCATTAACTCCAGCGATGCCACAGCCTCTCCTCCTTGTTGGAGGATCTCTTCCCTGATTGCAGCCCAAGTCTTGCGCTCTAAAGCTGAGAGATTGCAAATCATGGAGGTATCGCTCTGTTTACTTGCTCTGGGCTGATCCATCACCTGAGCCAACTGGTTGTAGATGTCCACAATTGAGCGTGCAGAAACTGGTCCACCAGTGCTGGGGCGCCTCAGGATGTCAACAGTGAACACTCCGCCAGCACAGGTGACAACTGCATGGAGGCTGTTCGGGTAAACCTGTGAATAAACACCCTACTGGTCAATGACATTTATTAAATGACTGGATGCATGCAATATTTTAATGGCAGCATCTTGCTCTGGCAATGATCTCACCCTAATTTCATCTTGGCTTCTGCCTGGAATACGGCTGGCAGCAAAGACTTCAGATTGCTGAGTGTGCTCCATTGGAGTATCACCCTCCAGCAAGAGGGGCTCGCTGTAGAGCTTTGCCGTTGCCCACAGCAGAGCTGCTGCCCTCCCTAACTGGGTACATTCCTTCACTTTAGTAGGAAGCAGAACAACCGGGAGGGCTGTTGAGGTAGGCAGAGGGTCAGCACAAGACAGCAAACCTCTCTTGAACTGCTGGGTCACCCAGTTCTCCTGGCCCGCTGCGCTGGCTGCTAATTTCTGCTGGGCTTCTTCAAGAACTTTCCTCTGCTGGTCAAGTGTGCTTTTGAACTCCAGGTAGAGCTCTGGGCTCAGTGTGAGCTGCAGAACACGGCCCACTTCTTTCAGTGTGGCGTCCAAGTCTGGAACGGGGTAGCTGAGAAGGGCCATGGTGCGGAAAGGAGTAGAGCTAGAAAAGGAAACGAAAAACAACGTCAAAGAAAACTGTGATCAATTCATGTGAAGTTTATGTAAGTAGCGCCAAATCACAACAAGAGTCGTGTCAAGGCACTTCACACAGTAAACATTCATGACTATATGAGATCATGTGTGGATAAAAAGGTGTGATTAGATTTTTTTACTCCAGAATTTCTTTAAAGGGGCCATATCATGGAAAATCAACTTTTTGGAGCTTTTTACCACCTGATATTGTTTTTTCCTCATTAAAAAATACTCCAGAAACCTGTTTTTGGCTGCATTCATGCATTTTCCTGTCTCAGCTGCAAGTTTTCAGATTATTTTGGAAGGGCCTGCAAAAGCGTTGATGGAAACTAAACGCACCATCAGGCCTTTCTCCTTCCCATGCAGCTAGTCTTCCACCAGAAACCCACCTCCCCTGAAAGTAAGTCACTAATGGTCACTTTCTCTGAGTTGCAGGTAAAGAGCGGCTGATTTCAAGCTGCAGTTGAGAATGTGACCTTCATATCACAGATGACTGCTTTAAACCTCCACTGGTACCAGAGTGGCTCTTCTGACCAATTACTTGTGAAGTGAAGAAGAGACAACACCGTAAAAACTAGGGATGCAACGGTATCACTTTTTTCCAAACCGATATGATACCGATACTTGGATCTGAGTACTCCCCGATACCGATTGCTGATACCGATACTTCTACCACACACAACAACAAAAAAAAATGCAATGATTTGTGTCACGATGTGGGCAGGAGGAGGAAGTTTAGGACCCAAGATGCAGGAAATCAGATGAACGAGGCGGGAGGTGGAAGATTAAATAAAAATCCTTTATTAGGAGTAATCCAAGATGGCAGGGAGCCAAAAACCAAAAATCCAAATGAAAACACTAGAGATCCAAAAAACACTAGAGAACTAGAGACACTAGAAGCTAGAGAGCAACGAGAAACGAGACTGACACGAGCCATGGACCAACAAAATACTGAGACACAGACAGGGTTATATACACTGGGGAGGATGAGAGGGAGATGGGCTGCAGGTGTGTGGGGAGAGAGAGACCAGGTGAACTGAGTTACTAATCAGGGAGGAAACAAACATGACCTAAGAATAAAAACTAAAGACAAGAAGAGCAGGAACATAACTAATAATCTAAGCGGGGGACCTCAAACACCGATGGGAAAAACACAACACTAGAGAGACTAAATTATATGAACAGCTGTAGCTAAAGGAAAATGACCTGAGAGAAAAACCTAAAGACCAGAAGGGCAGCAAACATAACTAATATTCTAAGGGGGGAGCTGAAACTAAAGGAAAACACTACAGAAAGAAAAACTACAGGGGCGTGACTAAAAGGGGGCCACGGGAGCACAGAACCTGGGAGGGTGAAACCTAGAGGGCTGAAGATCTGGGGGCAAATGGGGAACACCAGGAGACACATGAGGAAGACGCAGACAAGGACACACGAGGGCGCTAGGAGACACAAAAGGAGAACCTAGAGAGGGATGGAGAACACAAGGAGACACATGAGGGGAGATGCAGACGCAGACCATGACAATTTGGAAGACAGATTTTATTTTCTTCTCTGCTTTCAACAGGAAAAGACTGTGAGGTAGATAAAAAGTAAAATGTATAAACAGAAATCATCACAAAACTAAAATATTAGGTGAACAGAAATGACAAGTTTACTGCATAGGTATCGGTTAGCTTTTACCAATACCGATACTGGAATCGGTATCGGCCCCGATACCAGTATCGGTGCATCCCTAGTAAAAACCATGATTTCTGTCCACAAAGATCCGTGTAATGGTGAGCACAGGAGATGTGTCTTAGGCAACCAACATTTGACAACAGACTCGGTAGCCTAGTGGTTAGAGTAACTGACTGGCTTGCTGTTTTGCTCTGGTTCACCTCCCGGTCGCGGCAGTAACTGCTTTTCTTGTTTTTCTTTAGCTACAATTGCCAATATTACTGTATGTTTCCACCTCTGCTGGTCAACTGTCAAAAATGTAAGGATTCATCTTTTTTTTTTACTTTCTTTCTTTATTTACCTAGTGTGAGTTCATGTGAGGTAAGCAGAGTAGAGCAACTAAAATGCTGCTTAGAAACGACCAAATTCGAAGAACTTTAGAGACACAAAGTATTTTGTAGAAAATAAGCAATGAAACTAAAATATTAAAAAAATAACACCTGCTTCAGCTGGCCAAATAAATTACTGCCGATACCAAGAAACAAACGGGAGTCAGGATGCGGCAAAACAAGATGAAAGGCAGATGTTTCCACCACTGGACTACCAGTCCAGTACAACAACAGCCTCACCTGTTGTAGGTGAGTTGTCAGAGTGGGTGTGCTTTCCAGGTATAAATTCAGGCTGGCCAAAATAACACATACTTAATAGTGCCAACTGTAATATTTTATCATGCCCACCTTTGCTCTCAAAGGTTTAAAATAGCATCATCTGGCCCCTTCAGCCAAAAAAAAACAACAAAAAAAAAAGGAGTAAAAAGAATCACATGAAGTCATTTAATTTATTTAAATGTCAGTCAGAAACTCAAAAATGAGAATATGATGCAAAAGTTTATTTATGTCAGTAATCCAGCTCAAACTGAGAGACCATCTAAAGCTGGGGTGCCAAATCCTGGTCCTGGAGGGCCGGTATCCAGCAGGTTTTACTTTTAACCCTGCTTCAACACCCCTGATCTCAATCAGCAGGTGATTAACAGACTTAGATTCTGATAAACTGAATCAATTAGATTATCATGGAGCACTGAGATTTATTACCGGGTGCAAAGGTCGTACATATTGTTGCACTCTGTATAATCTAGTCGAGTGGCCCTCACTAGCTCAGCATAGACTAACCAGGTGGCGACAATTTATATATAAAGCCATCACCGGGATGTTGCCTCCTTATTTATGTAGGCTTCTGTCTTTCAAGACCAGCACTTGCCCACTTCGGTCTAATGCTAATCCCCAGCTGGCTGTGCCTAGAGCTCATACAGAATTTGGTAAGCAAGCATTTAGGATCAGGATCCATCAGCCTGGAACAAGCTACAGAATCACTTAAAACTAGAAAACCCGGTCTCTTTTGGCCAATTTAAGTGGCTAGTAAAGGAACAGGAAGCAGGCACATTCGGCCCCTGTCCCTGCTTCCGAAGTTAGGATAAGCCTATGATGTAGGTCAAGACGAAAACTTACATTCCCTAATGTTGATTGAATCACTGTAATACTAATGCATCATGTCTGGTATGTTTTTCCCGTTGTATGTGTGTGTATGCTGGTGCATATGTCTGTGTACGTGTACACATACATGTGAGTATGTGTGCACGTGTATGTGTTATTTACTAATTTTGGTTGAACTCCTGTAATGTTAAAATTTTATGTTTTTACTTTCATTGTTTTTACAAACTGTGTTTTTTACATGGAATTTTTATGGCAGCCATCTTGGCCAGGGCACCTATGCAAAAGAGACTTGTTTTCAAAGGACTTCCCTGGTTTAATCAGGGTTAAATAAAATAAATAGAAAAACTTCTGGAGAGTCCGATGAGCTGCTGCACAGGTGAATCAACTGTGTTGGAACAGGGAAACAACAAAAAATGCAGGATCATCGCAATTATAACTAATAAAGACTCAAATGTCTGGCCTTGCATGGAACGAGTCTGTCTCATACATTAGTTTCACCTTTTGATGAACTTTTGCACCAGATTCTCATTTTTCCTATTTCACATGCAGAATTATCCTTTATTACACATCAGATGTTATAAAGAATTATAACCTTGTCATTAGCGATGGGTACCGAATTCGGTACTTTTTAAGGTACCGACTGAATTCCATAGTACAGACTGAGCACCGATTCACGTCATTTGAAACGGTGCCTCGTTTCGGCACCCGTCCTTCATAACGAGAACTTGCCTAGACAGCTGCGCATGCGCAAGAGCGTTATGTTGTCGGTCGCTGCGAGCCAGTTGTAAACAGAGCAGCATGGTAGAAAGAACGCACGCTAAAGCTTGGGTCCACTTCACTAAATGTGATGGGTAACTGGGTGATGATGAAACCAGCGACAACGATCTAAGTGAGACATCCTCATCTTAATCTGCTCCGGTAGGTAAACAAAATGTTTAAGATAATGTTAGCTTGATATGTTAGCTTCCGTTTCGCTAATGGTGCGTTTGCTTTCTCCTCGGAACTCCGAATTTCCGACTAGAAGAACATGAACGCGTTCTAAAGTTTGGCTTCACTTTACTAAATGCGACGGGTGAAGATGAAACCAGTGACAACGATCTAAGTGTGAGGCATCATCGCTTTAATCTGCTCCAGCAGCTAAATAAACTGTTTAACATAACGTTAGCTTGATATGTTAGCTTCCATTGCCACCATTGTTATCAGCTAATGGTGCGTTCGCTTTCTCCTCGGAAATTCTAACTTCCCAGTAGGAAAAATCAAATGGAAAAGGACGGCAAAAGGAATGAAGATACACAGTAAATTTAGTTCACAGTAAAGATGTTTGCTTCAGTTTAATTATCAGCTTATAAAACTACAAGGACGATGTTAAAATACAAACAGTTGTATGTTATTTATTGTGATATTTATCAAATATGGTTATATACTGAGAAAATATATATTTAATTATAAAAGAGAATTAAAATATTAAACACTCAAAAGTATCGAAAATTGGTACCGTTAAGTACCGGTATCGATTCCTAGGTACCGGGAATTAGTACCGAATCGATTCAAATGTCAAAGGTACCCATCCCTACTTGTCATTCCCTGTGAACATGATGGTTGAGTTCTTCATGGGGGAGGTCAATTGAAAAACATGAGAAAAAAAACTTAAACTACAAAGATTTGGCCAAACAAGACATGAACAGAAGTGAGGAACGAAACTCGTCTTGCTTCAGAAGACCGACTCATATAAAGACTCCGACATAAATCCTGACACAACAGATTAGATACCGCAGGATTCCTTCATGTGACATCCAGCCTCTCTGTCATTAGTGGGGCCGGATGCTGTTTAAGGTGGCCCGAGTGCAACACAGCTCTTGTTGTGTGTTCAATTTGTGGACATGAGTGGAATGCATCTAGACTTCATGTCCATGTGGGACAACACGCCCCCCCCCAGACCTGCATGATTACTGGTAACTAGACCCATCTGCTCACACGTGAAAGCTGTTACCGCCTTTTGAAAGCTGGTGGTCGTCAAGGAAACGCGGCACGAGGATTAGATTTGAGCTGACTTGCTGCATCAGTTCCGATCATCCACACAATGCTGTCCTGTCTGCTTACCAGAATTTGTCTGATAGATTTGGGCTCAGCTGCTCTCGTGATCATCACTATCATATTACACTGAGTTAGCTACAGGGGACTTTACTTATAGGGACGTGTGGCGCCGAGGGCACTCGTCAGGATGACCCTCATGCGCTCCGGAGGAAAAAGTAATACTGAGGAGGCCGACGTCCAGTGCAGACCCAAGTGTATTGTACTTACATTTTACAAAAATTAAAATCTAGGCAGCACAATTCAATGCCTGCCGCTCCATCCATCACCCTACCAACAAACACAGAGCTGTATTTATAACAGGTGTGACTAATTGGACCAATCCTAAAACCAGACACAGGTAAATACAAAAATACAATCCTTCCATATTCTTAAATTATCCTTTCATCCTCATCTCTAAGATCTCTTTAAAGGGGCATTATGGAAGGTTGACAGCCAAAACATGTATAGAAATAATAAATTTATTCTTCATACATTCTCCTGCAATGCCCTGGTCCTGTACAATGAGCCCTGGCATTTTTACTGTGATTGCCTGTTTTTCTTTAAAATCACAGAAAAAGAGAGCTGCTCGGGTCGAGCAGGCTGCTTCATGCGAGTTCACGCTCAGGCATCGCCCGTAGCATTTGCTATCCGTAGCTTTAGCAGCAGAGAGAGAGGCAGTGCCACTTTGTAGCTGTTCCTAACGCCTAGTGGCAAAGCTAGCTACATTTCTGAGGACCCTTAGCTACTTTCTGTGGAACTTTCTTCTAGATATTTCCTGCAAATTAGCAACAAAACAGCCATTTTCACTCCAAAAGCTGTCATCAAGGATATAAAGGATACAGCTACAAAGATTGTCACTGGTGCGTTAGCTCACCTAGTAAAACATCAGACTCCTGTGCAGAAGTCCTGGGTTCGATTCTGGATGTCAACATAGTTTGTTTAGAGTTTATTTTTTACATTAATGGTATATTTTTTTTACAGTAAGATGCCCAAATTTTTATTTGAGACTCGCCAAACGGCTTTGAATTCACAGATAAAAAAGATGTGGGTTCAACTTTCATTTTGGAACAATTTTTCAAGCAAGAGAAGGGAATGATCTGAGCATGCAGGAGGACTAACCCATCATAAACCTTTGTCGGCTGTGCTGAAGAGAAAGGTACAGAACCAAATTATTTAATTAATTAGCTGCATGTTCTCCTGTCCTCTGGGCCACACACACACACACACACACACACACACACACACACACACACACACACACACACACACACACACACACACACACACACACACACACACACACACACACACACACACAGGACTGTCTCAGCTGTTATTTTCGTTAAGGAGTGTGCACGTACAGCATGCGCACCTCGTGCACGAGCCTACTATTGAAGCTGTCGTTACGCTTTTGGCCTGAGGGGGCAATCGGGAGCATAAAAATTCAAAACTCCGTAAAGTCCCTTTAAATAATTACAATACAAAAATAGAAACATCTTTAATTGATCCTAAAAACATTCAGTGAAACTAATCTGCCTTCCTAGAGCAATTTCACAGGTCACCCCTCCCATTCCTCCTGAATGGAATGCTCCGGAACCTTCTTTAGGTGCTCCAGCTCCCCGGGGACTCTTTTAGCTGGAACACCTCCAGAATCACAAAGGAAACAGGTAAGTAAAAACACTCAATCATTTACCACTTTAAATCCTCAATATGCATACCAACTCTTCTTCTTACAGGTCCAAACGCTTCACCCTTTTTAAATAAACGTTAAAACAATTGTTATAGAGCCTGGTTTCATTTATCCTACAACCATCGTAAAAACCTGTGTAATGGACTTTCTACATTACAGGACGGTTCATATCAGTCAGTAGGTGAAACTCAAACAATAAGAATACGGTGTAAAAGTTAATTTATGTGATTAATTCTATTTTAGAGAGCTTTAAATTGACCAGTTTCACATTTTGACACCACTCCTGCAGACGTCTGCTGACCAAAAACAGCACTTTTACCTGCTTGTGTGTTAGCATTTTTAGTTTGCAGATCGTCAGTTAAAAAAAAGGAGATAAAGAAGAAGTTTGCTTTTTTGTTGGAAGTAAAAGTTGGAGAGTAATGTCTGCGAAGCAAAGAGCTAAAACCAGAGTGAACATCAGCGCGGCCTACGCTAGTTTGAGGGAGCTAAAGGGGGCTACAACATCACGGACTGATGGTGACCTGGCTTTGTTGCTGCTGGACGTCTAAGCAATAATATTTTTCTGTCCAACAGTGTGGATCTTTTTACTTTGTGGTTTATTTTAGTATTAGTTGGCTCATGTTAGTGTTAGCTCATTGTTAACGCTAGCTGCAGCAGGTTGCAGTAGAGCGGAGAAGCAGGAAACTGCTGTGTGTTACTTAAAAAGGTGAAACTATTCTATGAGACAGACTCGTTCCATGCAAATCCAGATATTTCAGCCTTTATTAGTTATAATTATGATGATCGTGACTAACAGCTCATGAAAACCCCACATTCAAAATCTCAGACAGTTAGAATATTGTGAAAAGGTTCAATATTCCAAACTCAAAGTGTCACACTCTAATGAATCCAGAGCAACTGCAAAGGGTTCCTGAGCCTTTAGATGGTCTCTCTGTCTAAGATGGATCACTGACATAAATGGACTTTTGCACCAATTTTCTCATTACTGGAGTTTCACCAGTTTTTGTTATAGATAACTCTTTGATCGGACTCCGATCAAATAGAGATTAATTCTGGTTGGACAGGCAAGCTAACCGCTACGTGGGGTAAGCTTTTAATTGTCCTGAATTAATTAAAGTTTACGAAGCGGTTTTTATGATCTTTTCGTTGACACAAATGCAACAAACGTCTCTTTTCTCATCCGTTTCCTTCCACTTTATGATTGCCTTCCTTCCTCGATACATACCGGCTGTTATCTCATTTAGCCAGTCAGAACTAATCTCTGTTTCTCCAAACTGAGGTCATTCAAAGAGCAGGTAAGATTGAACCTCGCTTCCCCTTTGAAGAACATAAAACACACGCCAGGATAATTCTGCACCATTAAACCAATAAAAAAATTAACATTTGATATGAATTATCAGATCAGAACAGTCCACTTATTCTCCTTTTAGAGTCAAATCACCAAAGTGTGCTTGAAATAAGATGTTCCAAGATTTATTAGTTATTTGAATTTCTAGAACTAATGAATGTAATCAGTTTTTATTTCACAGTATATTTTCCCATAGAAGAAGGATTTGGGTTCTTAGGCCAAATTTAATACAAATTTGGGCTTTAAATTGTTTTCAGAACACTAAATATATAGATATGTATAGAAATAGAGACTCCCAACAATGGTTCGTAGATGACCTAACTAAGGTTAAAGGTGATGTTAGCACATTGTGTTATAAAAGCGGTAACTAAGGAATCTAATTAGCATCATTTTAGGTGGTTTGTGCCATACAAAAACATTTTTGTTTTATAAATCAAGTAATAATCTGTTTCTATGTTGTTTGTTTTTAACTTTATTTTATGTGAGATTGAATTCCTCCTACCTGTCTGCAGGAGCGTGCCTGAGTCGTGGCCGGAGGGTCGTGTAGGAGAAAGCTCAGTGGGACGAAGACTTGGTCCAACTGCAAAAACAAGGTTTGGTTCATAATGAAGAAGCAGTGACTCCAATTAAGGTCCCTGTCTCTGCTCACCCTCCTCCCTCCTAAAGCCTCGTCTGTCAAGCTCCTTGTTGTCTTTCTACAGATATCACTGAGAACAACGTGAAATGATTGAACAGTTCAGCTGCTCTATAGTTTTTTAGGCTTTTGCTCTCATCTCTCGTCAGAGACATCTTTCACAAGATCAGGATACAGCAGACAGAGTCGCGCGTCATCAAGCGCCTCCGCTGGACGTGTTCTCTTACAGGACTCACAGATGTTCACATGACTTCTCATTAAAGGGAAAAACGTTAATACCTAAACCTGTGAGTCTTTCCTGCATCTGTAGAAAACAAGAAGACATGAGCGTCGGCCCAAATTTCTGGAGATTTAAAGATGACTAACTTTTATCAGGCTTTTAATAAATTAACACTAAACAGCTCTTTAAACTTTAAGCCAGAGCTTCAAAGGTGATCACGTCTGACACCACTCTGCAGCCCTCTGCTGACCAGACACTGCAGTTTTGTAGAGCAGGTAGGTGTCCTTTGGGGGTGCTCTTTACCTGCTTTACTGTTGTTAGTTGTTATGCTAGCTGATAGCTTTATCAGTTCACCGATGGTCAATAAAAAGCACAAAAGGTAGAAAAAGAAGAAGTTTGTTTTTGCTGTTGGCATCATGGAGGAGCCTGGACATAAAAGTAGGAGAATAACGTCTTTGGAGGCAAAGCAAAGGGCTAAAACCAGAGGGAACATCAGCATAGCCTACACTAGTTTGAGAAAGCTAAAGGAGGCTGATAGTGACCTGGCTTTGTTGCTACTGGATTTGTAAGTAATAATATTTTATGGCCAACGGTTTGGGTCTTTTTACGCTGTGGTTTATTTTAGTAATAGTTTTGTTCATGTTAGCGTTAGCTCGTCGTTAGCGCTAGCGATAGCAGGCTGCAGCACAGTTGTGTATGGCAGTTGTTGTTCCACTTTAAACCAGTAGGGCGGAGGAGCAGGAAGCTGTTCTGCGTTACCATACAATCTTTTGCTATGGCGCATTTCAAAACAGCGTGGGAGCTGACCAAAGCGTCTCCCAAACAACAAGATAAAAACAGCAATCAAAGCACACAAAAATTAAAAAAGACTTAAAGAGTCACAATCTACTGTTGCTTCTAGAACATGGTGCAAAAGTTAATTTATGTCAGTAATTCAGCTTATTTGGGTCAGGGTTAGAGGAACTTGCCATATTTTTGCAAAAAAAAAACTTGTTTAAATATTAAATCTCCACCTGTCGCCACAGCATTCCACGGCAATGTGTTTAAAAATGTTAATTTCAATGGATTTATTTACTAAAAGCATGATTTAACTTTACTATTGAAGACATTTATAAAATTAAAACTTTATTGTATTTTGTTTATTTATTTACAGAGGCGGATCCAGAAAAGCTTGGGCCCATCACAGAACATTTTACATGAGGGGGCTCAGGAGGGTCTAGGCAGGACGGCATCAACGCCGGACCTTCTCACTGAAACGTGAAAATCCCATTTATGTAAACTGAGTTTAAAATATCTGTAAAACACTTTAAAACTATTGACTGTGTCATTATTTCTTCTGAGAAAACTAAGAAATTTTTAGGCAAAAACAATTTTCAAAAATGCTCTTAAAAAAATTACAGAGGCAAATGATTTCAGAAAACAAATGAAGTTTAGGAGCATTTATGGATATAAAAGTAGAGTTTAAAATGATTTGAACTATTTTGACCAACAACGATGAACTGCAATATGCTGCAAATGATCTTAAGTGTTATTTTACTCACCGTAAAACTGAGCTGGGTGGTAGGATGGGAGGTCAGGTGAAATCTCACTGGGATTACCAAAGGCAAGAGGGACCAGCAGAACCTAATGGTAGCCTGGGAGTCTAGATGTATTTATACACACACACACACACACACACACACACACACACACACACACACACACACACACACACACACACACACACACACACACACACACACACACACACACACACACACTCTGACAAACACACACACGTTTGTATTTCTATTATAGTGAGGACATCTGTTGGGAGTTTGTGACTCCACTTTGCCAAACCCTAACCTTAACTAACACTTAATTCACACCACAGCTCTGAAACCAACTGGTGAGCTTTTTAAAAAGTAAGGACCAAAAAATTTCCTCACTTTGTAGGGGAAATGGTCCTCAGTTGGTAGTAAGTACAAGAACACACACACACGCACACACACACACACACACACACACACACACACACACACACACACACACACACACACACACACACACACACACACACACACACACACACACACACACACACACACACACACAGAGCTTACAGAAAGTCATTCCTGAGTTTCTCAATCATGAATTACAGACGATGATCAAAGCTGACTAATCCTTTCTCTTCTTCTCTGAGTGATGTCAGAGGGGGCGTGGCTTTGTTAGCCTTTTGTGAGTTTTACCAGAAAGGTAATCGCAGTCTGACTAAAACTTCTGATGTGATCAACATTCATGACAATGTGACTTGCTTCAGAATAAACTCTGGGCAGACATATAAATAATGCAGGTTCGGTTAACCACTGAGTTAAGAGGATTTGTGAGCTATATGGCTCACTTTGGTGTCCCTGGACTGGTTTTACTGGTGTCACCTGGGAGATCATCAGAGCATCACCAGGACCAGTTTGCATCTGGTTAGATCTTCATGAGAGTTGGCTTTTGAAGATGAGAGAGTGAAACAACATCTCTGGGATGCAGGAAACCTCTGCTTGGTGAGCGCCAAATACTTCCCAGTGAAGGTTTTCTAAACCAGAGGTGTCAAAATGAGCTCCTCAACAGTCACTGTCCTGCATGTTGTGGAGGTTTCCCTGCTCCAACGCAGCTAATTGAATAGAATGTGACCTCCTCACATCCTGCAGAAGTCTGTTGATCCTCCAATAATTCAGGTGTGTTGGAGCAGAAAAACCTCTAAAACAAGCTGGGTGAATGTGAAACCAACTGTATCTGTGGTTGACATTTCCCTTTTAATCTTCGTTTTCAGGCACAAACATAAACGTGTGGGCAAGAAGAGGAGAAGTGAAGAAAGAGCTGCCTGCAGACAGAAACTCGCGTTTACAGGAAGGTTAGCTCTCAGTTCCTCTCTCACTTTGACTCTAATTCCTGTTTGCAACCAGTTCTTACTGGGATTTGAACCCATTTGGAGAAAAGTTAACCAGCTTTCCCTGATTCCTGGTTCTTAGGCAGTCACCACCACTATCATCTAAGACCTTCTGGGTCCTTAACTTAAAACCTGCAACATGATGCTGATCATAAAAATGTGTCTCCTCTTATCTTTAGCAACACTTTAAAACATTTTTTCTACATGCCAGGAAAAGTAAAGGTTCCCCGAGCCTCAAAAGGGTCGTGGTGTGGGTCAGTTCGGGGGGGGACCGTTGACTGGACACATGTCCAGAAGACATTCATAGACACCGTCCTCAAGGAGGGGAAGCCACAAGAGGTCCATTCTAAAGAGTGCTGCGTCCATGCAGAGTCATAAAAAGTTGAGTGGAAGGAGGACTGTTGAGCTAAATTCAGTTAAGGATTCTGGGGGAGATTCACCGGGAGTGGACTGAGGCCCGAGTCGGAGCATCAAGAGTCTGAGCACAGAGATGAATTCTACACGAGCTACAAATGTCTTATCCTTCATGTGGAACAACTCCTGGACCAGAGACATCAGAAGCACCTTAACTGGGCTGAGAAGAGAACAACCCAGACTGTTGCTTAGTGGTTCAAAGTCTCCTTTTCAGATGAAAGTAAAATCTGCAGGTCAGTTGGAGATCGGGGTCCCAGAGTCTGGAGGAAGAGTGGAGGCTCAGAATCCACAATGCCTGAAGTCCAGAATGAAGCTTCCACAGTCAGTGACGACTTAGGGCCCTGTGTCATCTGCTGGTGTTCGTACACTGTGTTAACAGTCAATGAACCATCTACCATCTAACCCTAACCCTAACACAGGCTGAATGTTACAGCTAGGGTAACGCTAACCCAAGCTCATGGGTTATAGTCAGGCTAACACAGGCTGAAGGGTTACAGCTAGGGTAACGCTGACCCAAGCTCATTGGTTATAGTCAGGCTAACACAGGCTGAAGGGTTACAGCTAGGGTAACGCTGACCCAAGCTCATTGGTTATAGTTAGGCTAACACAGGCTGAATGGTTACAGCTAGGGTAACGCTAACCCAAGCTCATGGGTTATAGTCAGGCTAACACAGGCTAAAGGGTTACAGCTAGGGTAACGCTAACCCAAGCTCATGGGTTATAGTTAGGCTAACACAGGCTGAAGGGTTACAGCTAGGGTAACGCTAACCCAAGCTCATGGGTTATAGTCAGGCTAACACAGGCTGAATGGTTACAGCTAGCGTAACGCTAACCCAAGCTCATGGGTTATAGTTAGGCTAACACAGGCTGAAACCCAAGCTCATGGGTTAGGGTTAGGCTAACACAGGCTGAAGGGTTACAGCTAGGGTAACACTAACCCAAGCTCATGGGTTATAGTCAGGCTAACACAGGCTGAAGGGTTGCAGCTAGGGTAACGCTGACCCAAGCTCATGGGTTATAGTTAGGCTAACACAGGCTGAAGGGTTACAGCTAGGGTAACGCTAACCCAAGCTCATGGGTTATAGTTAGGCTAACACAGGCTGAAGGGTTACAGCTAGGGTAACGCTAACCCAAGCTCATGGGTTATAGTTAGGCTAACACAGGCTGAAGGGTTACAGCTAGGGTAACGCTAACCCAAGCTCATGGGTTAGGGTTAAGCTAACACAGGCTGAAGGGTAGGGTAAGTTTAACCCAATGACCTCTACACCACACTGATGTGTGTTTTGAAGCATAGGCAAAAGCCCAATTATTGAACATCTATTTTCCTCACTAGGGTTCATCAGTGGGGTCACAGAGAGCTGTCTGCTTATTTGAATGGCTGTAATGTCCCATGTTTATGGTATAAGTAAACTAATTTTTTATTGAAAAAAAAAATGAATCTGTGGTTAATGCACTATTGTCACCTCACCGCCACCAAAAAATGGAGAAGTCTAGGAAAATGTCTATCGTTAGATGTGCGTGTCTCCGCTCTCCAGCTGATGAAAAAGTAAATATGGCTGTTACTCCAGCGAGAGGTCACGGGACACCCAGGGCAGGTCTCCAGTTCATCACAGCGACACACAGAAACAACTTTACTCAGCTTTTAACCTAAAACGGATGTTTTTGGTCTGTGTGAGGAAACCCACACAGGCTGTAGTCGAACCTGGAACCTTCTTTATGTAAGAAGGCAAACTGCACCACCCTGCAGCCTAATTTTACCAGCTGTGGCTGTAAAACACACATTCAACTCTCCTGTCTGGTAACTTATGTGAGCAAAACATCAGATTATAAAATTAAAACAAGGTAAGTGAAGAAAAGGACGATGAATTATGAAATCCAGAAAGTCGTCGGTATGAAACTCTGTAAGTCACCACCAGGTCAGAGGGCCACCAACGCCCTGAATACACGAGGCTATTCCCAGAACTCTTGAACTGATGACAACACGATACTTTGAAGAGCTAAAACTGTTATTCGTGTCACAAGTGGACCTGATTAAGCGTGTTTCTAGAACTCGTGGCTCTGTTGTAACAGCGTGTCACATGGTGAGTTTGGACAAAAGCCAGCAGTAGTGGAGCCTGCTGTGATGAGCTGCACCTGAAACCGTCCTCTTCTTAAATAAATGACTTACTATCATATTTCTGATGAATCCTAAAAGTGTGGTTCACTGAAAAAAACGTTTTTAATAATTATTTCTGATTATAATCAGTCAGCTTGAGTTTTACATGCAGGCTCAACATGAATGGAAATAGTCTCCTACACCTATCTCTAGCATCATCTTCTGATGGAAAATAAACAGGGAAAGTCTAGGATTCGAAAATTCTGACAGATCTACGTCACCCTGTCACTTAACTTTCATGGACTCACGACGGGTAAGGCTGTTGTTGGTTTAGCATCCAGGAAACAGCAGAGGACGTCTTGGCTAGTAGAAAATGACCTGTATTTGATATCATCATCAACCTTTATTTATAAAGCACATTTAAACAGCGACAATGCCAACCAAAGTGCTGTACAAGACAATACATCACCAAAATAGATCAAACAAATAAAAACTATTAAAAAAAAACAACAAAATAAACAGGAAAGCACAAGGGTTAAACAGTTTCACCCAGGAAGGCCAGGGAATAGAAATATGTCTTCAAATGTACTTTAAAAGCGGGAAGGGAGGGGGCAAGTCGGACCGTCAGGGGGAGTTGGTTCCAAAGTTTAGGCGCACAAACTGAAAAAGCCCGTTTGCCACGGGCCATGTAGCGGGCGGGAGGGACAAGCAGAAGGTGCTGGTCAGAGGACCTCAGGGTTCGCTCCGGAACATAGGGACTCAAAAGATGTGCCAAATAGGAGGGGGCCATTTCATGAATAGATTTGTAAACCAACAGGAGAATTTAGAACTTAATCCGAAACCGAAATGGAAGCCAGTGTAAACTTGCCAAAACAGGGGTGATATGCTGCCGTCGGTCTATGCCTGTAATGGGCCATTCCCATCTGTACCGGGTCGGCCCGGGCCGGGTAGCCCCAGCCGGCCCCAGCCTGGCCCGGTTGATTCCACACATCCTTGTCTTAAGCCCATGTGGGCTGATTCTACACACCAATCAGAGGCTTGCTCTAATGGAAGGTGTGAATTTGCTGTCAGCAGTGGGTGTGTTGGCCCTGGTCGGCCTGAAGCAGACCCCCTCGAGAAGAGGGCTGAGAATGAGCCTTGGTTGGCCCGGAAAAATACCAGGCCACCCAGATATGTAAACAACCTACGCTACCCGGCCCGGGCCGACCCGGTACAAATGGGAATGGCCCGTAAGAAACCTTGCGGCAGCATTCTGTACCAGTTGGAGGCGTACCACTGAAGATGAGGGAATACGATATACTGTAAAAGAGAATTGGCATAGTCCAGACGTGACGTTACAAAAGCATGAACGACTGACTGAAGATCTTTTTTGTTCAGGACAGATTTTAGTTTGGCCAGCCGGCGAAGATGAAAGAAACACGACTTGACTACCTGATTTATCTGTGCATCCATTTTTAAAAAAGCATCCAGAGTGACCCCCAAATTTGTAATTGTCGGCTTCACCAAAACTGACAAAGAAGGGGGCAGAGATGGCTCCACAGCCGAGGGGGAGCAGGGGGCAAAGAAAATAGCCTCCAGTTTGGAGCTGGTAAGATGGAGAAAATTAGCCGAGAGCCAGGACCTGACTTCACTCAGAAGAAAATATCATTTCTATGGCGCCTCTCACGATAAAAATGACGAGGGGCTTCACAAAAACAAAAAATGTAAAAATATAGAAAAGCATTTAGAAAATGTTTACAAATATATTTAAAATTAGCAAAAAAAATAGACAATTGTGATTAAAAAATGTTAAGAAAGAGAGAGTGAATAGGAATGAGGGAAATCAGTGGATCCTGAGGAAGGTGGAATAGGTGGGGAGAGCAGAATAAAGAGAGAGAGGTGAAGAAGGTCATACAAAAGCCAGCTTGAACAAGTGAGTCTTCAGCTGCTTTTTAAAGGAGACCACTGAGTCCACTGATCTCAGGCTCAGGGGGAGAGAGTTCCAGAGTCTGGGGGCCACAGCAGCAAATGATCTGTCACCTTTGGTCTTCAGCCTGGTGCTGCACAACCAGTAGGCTTTTGTCACTGGACCTCAGGGACCTGCTGGGGGTGTAGGGACTAAGAAGATCACCAATGTAAGATGGTGCTTGTCCATGTAAGGCCCTATAGACCAGCACCAGGATCTTGAAATAAACCCTGAAGTTGACTGGCAGCCAGTGAAGCTGGAGGAGAAGCGGGGTGATGTGGGTGTGTTTGGAGGACTTGGTCAGAAGCCGAGCACAGGTGTTCTGAACCACCTGTAGACGGTTCAGGGAGGCTCTGCTCAGACACGTGAAAAGAGAGTTACAGTAGTCTAAGCATGAGGAGATGAAGGTGTGGAGAACTGTCTCAAGTTCAGAGCGGGACAGAATGGGACTCAGCTTAGCAATGTTCCTGAGATGGAAGAAGGAGGAGCGAACATGAGAACGGACATGAGAATCCAGGGTGAGAGCTGGGTCAAAGGTCACACCTGTCACTCAGGCAGTCAGTCGGTGGTTGCACAGGGTCAGCAGATTTTAGGGCCATATAAAGCTGACAATCGTCAGCGTAGAGATGAAACTTTACCCAGAATTTTCTAAAAATGGCTGCCAAAAGTAAAATATAAAGATTAAAAAGAAGCGGACCTAAAACAGACCCCTGGGGAACCCCACAAAAAAGGGGTGCCACTCCTGAGGCGCAGTTCCCCAGGGCAACATTAAAACATCTGCCATTGAAATAGGAGCAGAACCACTCTAAAGCTGTTCCACAAATGCCAATTAACTGCTCCAGTCGCTGTAATAGGCCTGCGTGGTCGACAGTGTCAAAAGCGGCAGATTAAGTGTAAAAGCACCAACAACACTTGAGAACCAGAATCAGAGGCAAGCAAAATATCGTTAAAACACGAATAAGAGCAGTCTCAGTGCTGTTGTGAGGACGAAAACTAGACATAAAAATATGTAAAACACTGCTGGATTTAAGAAAATTAAAAATCTGGATAAAAACCATCTTCTCCAACAATTTGGAGAGGAAAGAGAGCTTAGATATAGGGCGATAATTGGTCAAATCGTTAAGAGTCCAAGCCTTACTTTTTTAGAACAGCCTGGACAGCATGCTTAAACTCCTGGGGAACAATCCCCATCCTAAGGCTTGCATTAAGGATCTCCAGGATCAGTTGAGCAATTACTGGGAAGACTTCCTTCAGGAAGCAAGGGGTCATAAAATCACAAGGAGAGCCAGAGGGCTTCATAGCAGCCACTGTCTTCCATAGGGAGGAAGAAGAGACGGGAGGGGGGGGGAACGCTCAAAGGAATATAACGGAGAACAAACAGGGGCTTCTGGGTGGGAGGGAGGCAGAATCTGAGCCCTAATTGTAGCAACTTTAGAGATAAAAAAATGCAAAAAATGGGTGAACCTTTCCTCAGACGTATTAAGCAGAGGAACGTTGGGTGACAAAACTGCATTAACAGTGGAGTAGAGGACTCGCTGGTTACCCGAATATTCGGTAACAATAGCAGCAAAATAGTCTAAACGGGCCTTCCGAGCGACGCGTTGGTAATTCCTTCAGGCCTCACGGAGAAGCTGGGAGGAAGCCGGAGATTTAACCTTTTTCCACCGCCGCTCACATCTCCTACATTCCCATCTGGCAGTACGGGTATGACGGTTGAGGAAAGGGTCAGAGCGACAGCGGGAACGTCGGAATCTTAGAGGGGCAATCTGATCGAGCACGGAAGTGCAAGAGGCAGAAAAGAGGGATTTACTTTAAGGAATTCGTGTTAGACAGAAATCTAATTGGCGAGTAATTCTGATTTAATGAGTTTACAATCTGATGCTATTTTAGTTTATTGTTAGTTGTTTTGGCTTTCCTAATGGTCTCATATAATGAGTTAAATATAGTTTTTATCTTGTTTGTTGTACTTTTTTGCTGCTTTGAGATGCTGTTTAGCCTCAGAAATGTCATGTGAAATGCTTTTGTCACGCAAAACATTCATTATTTACATTCTTCTGTCTTTTGGGGCTCCTTAAAACCCTTTCCTGTGTGTATTATGGGATGTTTTGAACTCATTCTTATACTCTCGTAAAGAAAAAAGCTAAAGATTCACATCTTACAGGTTTGAGAAGCACACCGAGGCAGTGGCAGTAAGTTTAAGAAATGTATTAATCGTGTTAATTTAAACAAATTAAATTTATTTATATAGCGACAACTCACAACAAGAATCAATCAAAGGCCTTTACAAAGCAAACATTCTAATTAAACCAACTAAGCAGCGCATTGAGCCATTCACCTCGACTGACTGGGGGTTTAAGAGAAGAAAAATAAACAGATGAACTAGTAGTAGCACATTCTGTGGTAAAGAAAACACCAGGAGAAGGAGAATGTTCAGTGGTTGGCAGTAGTGCGTCAGCCGATGGCCCCTCCAGGAGGATATCACAGCTCAGCAGAACACCAGACCTGTGTGGCTTCTGTGGAGAGTAAAATACAGAGTAAACATAAAGTTAAAGGGATATTCCACCCAAAAGGGAAATTTTCTCTGTTCACATTATTCCCAGAATTAGATAAGTGAGGAAAAAACTATTTTTAACCAGCCCAGTCATTCCCTTGACCCGGCAGTACTCCTTTAGCTTTAGCTTAGCATAGCATAAAACACAGTAAGTGAATGGGACCAACTAGCATTGTGAGAAAAAATGTCCTTAAAATCACTCAGTAGTGATACCAATTCTGCTTGGTGACCTAAATAATCATACTGACTGCATGTGAAAATAAATAACAGCACAAAGAATTACAGGCAGCATTTTAGACTTTGGGATTACTTTATACAAAGAATTACAGGCAGCATTTTAGACTTTGGGATTACTTTATACCGCTCTGGAGGGACTATCTCTCTCAGCTGGCCTGGGAACGCCGTAGGATTTCCCCGGAGGAGGTGGTTCGAGTGGCTGGGGAGAGGGAAGTCTGGGCCTCCCTGCTTACTGCCCTCTGTGACCCAACCCCGGATAAGCAGTCGAAAATGGATGGATGGATTACTTTATGACAAAGCACAGCTGTATGCTTCTACTTAAAAGTGCAAGGACACCTATTTTTGTAAACACAAAGGTGCGAGCTGCACAGAGAGTATCTACAGTATTTTGAGTTAGTTATGTTTGTAATTTGAGAAAATGTACGAGTGTTTAGGGCTGCAATGCCAACCCATGTCCTTTTGACAGAAGGTTACAGCTGTGCTTTGTCATAAAGTAGTCCCAAGTTTAAAATGTCGCCTGTAATTCCTTCGTGTTACTTTATATTTTCACTTGCAGTCAGTACGATCATTTAGGTCACCAAGCAGAATTAGAATCTCTACTGAGTGATTTAAGGACCTTTTTTCTCACAACGCTAGTTGGTCCCATTCACCTACTGTGTTTTATGCTAAGCTAAAGCTAAAGGACTACTGCTGGGTCAAGAGAATGACTGGGCTGGTTAAAAATAGTTTTATTCACACTTATTTCATTCTGGGAATAATGTCAACAGACAAAATTTCACCTTTGGGTGTAATGTTGGTTTAACTGGATTAAAGTGCATTAGAGTCTGTTGTAAATGTTAATATCTACTTTAAATATCTGCAAAGTCATTGTTACTCCTTGTTTTGGTCCCAGTGGAGCCTGTCAGGCGGGTAATGAACTTCATAACAAAAGGTCAGGGCGTGTTAGTGGTTCAGATGGATGTTTGTGCTGATCCCAGTACACATTTCCTCCTGTATCTAATCCTGATCATGGCTGCTCCGACTCCCGTGGTGGTCTCCGGGCAGTGGCTGGCTGAGGCCATCCAGAGCAACCAGGTCGGTCCGAAGCTGGCTGTCCTTGACTGCTCCTGGTACCTACCCAAAGCCCAGCGGAACACCAGGGAGGAATTCGCTCACCAACACATACCGGGAGCCTCGTTCTTTGACGTAGACGCTTGCAGCGACCAGAGCTCCCAGTATGACCACATGCTGCCTTCATCTAACTTCTTCTCTCAGTATGTCGGAGATCTCGGCATCGGGAACGACACGCACGTAGTTGTGTACGACACCAGCAGCATCGGCTCGTTCAGCGCGCCCCGGGTGTGGTGGATGTTCCGGGTGTTCGGGCACAGTTCGGTCTCGGTGCTGGACGGAGGCATGAAGCTGTGGCTGGCTGACGGACACCCGGTGACCTCCGAGTTCAGCAAACCACAGAGGAGGGACTTCCGAGCGACCCTGAACGCATCATGGGTAAAGAGCTACGAAGATGTTGTGGAGAACATCAGGACCAAGAAGGTCCAGGTGGTGGACGCCAGGTCTGCTGGCAGGTTCCAGGGGACTGAACCAGAACCCAGAGATGGTGAGAACTAAACTCTGTTAAACACCACTGAGCAGACATAAATATACACTTTGAACATCTTAGGGGTTTTCTTGCTGTGTCGTATCTCTAATTCCATGCTGTAGTTCTTTTTTTACTACAGCATGGAATTAAATATACACTTTGTTTATTAAGGTCATCCAAACAACAAAAAATAACATTCATAGAATTATAATATGCAACACAAGAAATAATCAAATGCATTATTTTATTAAGGTCTTATAAGCAAAAACCCAAGTTTACAGTTTAAACACAAAATATAAATCACAAGAAAACACTGTGTGTTTATGTGAGGAGTGTGAAAGTGCTGAGTCATGCTACGTATCAGCATTTGTCCTTATTAAATGACACTTGTAGCTATGTGATGGGCAACATGCCTGCATAGAAGGAATTTATGCGTCAATGTGGTTCATTAAATGATTATTTTTTTATTCTTATATTTGTGTTTTATGCTGAACCAGCCGGACCAGTTTCAGGTTCCACACACCCAACTGGTTCTGCTGCAGACCATTATCTCTGCAGTAGGAAGTTCCGATCACTGTTTAGACATGGGGCTGCTGTGTGATGTCATCCTGTCCATAATAGTAAGAACTTCATGCAAAACATTTAGCTTCAAAAACAAGTGACGATGCAACACATTGGCAAGCCCTAGTGTGCACACCGACATGCCAGGTGGGAGTTGTGAGTTTGATTCCCTGGAGAAGTTAACGCTTGGAAACAGAAGATGAAAGTGATCTCAGGCTACAGGAGAGACCTGAACAGCGCCGATGTGCAGCGACTCAGCAAAGCATTTGTGCTTTAGTCTCTACCTGAAACAACTGATGTGTGAAGTTTCAGGCCAGTTATTAAAGGTGACAACATACTGTGCTCATGCCTAAAGAATTACTATTTAGATTTACTATTTGGGGATTAAAGCTACAATGCTAAAGCTGGAAAACAAGCTAGCTTAAAACACTTTTTCAAGCGTTTTAACAATGTTCTATAGCTATAAATGTAATGTGGAGCGTAAAAATAAAGAAAAAAACGAATGACGTGGTTCTCTCGGACTCATTCGGACTGAAACCAACGATTGGACCATCCGGTTGTTGGTCTCACTGAACCGCTACACTTCCCTGGGTCCTCCACTCATTATGTGCTAATGCATTTTGCAGCAGAACACCACCAGTGTGAGAGGTTCTCAGCTCAATAATAATAGAGATGAGAAACAGCCGGCTGCTACCACTTCAACTTTACGACAAACTGCCAGAGTCCAAAAAAGTAAAACCCATTTGAAGTCATGGACAACAAAGGGCGTAAAATCTCTAGGGAGCCTAAGTCTCCTCCCTTTCCGGCCAGCTCACGGGTCCTCGGAAGAATGAAAAAATGAATGCAAGTCAACGAGGCTAAAAACGCTACTTTCTAATCCGCTTTGCCTTACACCCTGAATCACATATGTTGTACTGCAATTTAAATGAAAAGTAGTGATGGGTGTTTCGACCACGCCAGGCATGTACTTTGAGGTTTTTTAAGCTTGTAAAAGTTCGTAATTAGCCTGACTACGTCGGCACGTCACCACATAATGTCCCCTCCCCTAGCGTAGCTGCTACTTACCACATGACCAGATTTATGGTGGTTCTTTCCTCCTGTGGGAAGTTTGCCAAACTTACATCCCTTTTCCCTCAGTTTTCTCCGTGTCTGGTTCGAAGACGTCACTTTCATGAAGCGCATTTGTAGTCCTTGACTTATTTTCGCAGAAAACCTAAAATATCGTTCCCCCCGTTTGAAAATAAGCGTGTTTTTGGTATCAAAATACTTCTTTAAAATTCACGGACATCAAATGTGAAATCCATGTCAGAAAACATGCGGAATGAAAAAATAGCATTTTTAGCCCTGTTGACTTGCATTCATTTTTTCGTATTTCCGGGGACCCGTGGTACAAAAGTAGATGGGCGTGACTTAGGCTCCCTATAGTGTATGATGGGCTGCCTTGTTGACTGACATTCGTTGTATGTCATGTTGGTCCTTGTGCTGTCCCAAAGTGTGTGAGACACTCTGAAAGACAACCGTAGATCCGCGCCATGACTGCATGGTTTCAGTGGTCAGACTATATATTTGGGATGGTTTGCCAGGCTAACAAATATCCATAAATTTGGAAAAAACGCTTGCAGGTAATATGTTTTGAAAAGTAGGGGATATTGTTTTCTTGGTAAATGTTATAAAAATTATTATCTACCTGAACAGCCTCCGTTCAAGGAAATGGTGTACGTTCAACAGGACTGATAAGCTAACGGTATCACCGGGCAACCTAGCAATAACTCCCTCCTCTGTCTGTCCTTCTCAGATATTCTGCCCGGACATTTTTCTGGCGCCATCAACATGCCGTACCCTACCTTCCTGGATCCCTCTGGGAAGCATCTTGGAACTGAAGCCCTGGCTAAACTTTTTAAGGATGCCGGGGTGGACCTAGAGCGCCCCCTTTGGGCTTCTTGTGGTTCTGGAGTCACGGCGTGTCACGTTATTCTGGCAGCTGACCGGCTCGGGCACCCGGGGGTTCCTCTGTATGATGGTTCCTGGTGTGAGTGGTTTAAAAGATCACCTCCAGAAGATATTATCACCGAGGGCGAGAAGAAGAAGGCGTGAAAGGAAACACTGTGTAGCAAGCAAGAACATGGGTGTTGTGTATGGGCTTTATAAGAAAAGGGGCGAGATAACAGCAATGCCACTTATTGGTTTGCTTCTTAATAATGCTGACTCTTATTTTAAAATATAAAAAAAAACACAAAAGTTTGCTAAATATGTTTATTCCATGGTCAAATAATTATTTTTTGAGCGGAAGTTTTTATGTCAAAACTTAAATATATTTACATTGCTATTGATTCACATGTGAAAAATAAATGAAATTAAAGCTGCTAGCAGCGTCGTTCGGCCCTCGCAGCTCCACGCCGCTCCGGCCTGGCCGGCAGTCTGGTGCACCCGGGCACGTCTGCTGGACATAAACATCGACCACCCAGACACCAGAAACCGCGAACGATCTCCTCGTCTGCGCCTCACCCTGACTCAGCATCTTCTCTGAACCCACCATTGAACTACACATCTAACCACTAGGGTGTAGCGTCCAGCAATGGTCAGTTTAGGTACAGCCTGACCTTTTACCATCTATTCAACATCTGGTCAGAAAGGAGACACAACATTGCTTGTGTTCCCTTTAAATTTGTCTGCGGCACACCAGCTGGGATTTGGACTCTACTAGTCTGAAAGATAATAACTTTCCCTCCCAAGGTCTCATCTGTCTGCCTCCAGAAGAAAGAAGATCCAGCTCGAATCAGTTGCTAAATTCAAGAATGATTATAAATTCCTTCTATGACTTATAATCTAGATAATCATTAAATAAACATTTGTTTATTATTACTTATGATGATTATAGTATAATGAAATGCTTCATTAATCTGTGCTCACTGAATGGATGTTATGTTTGTCTAATAGAGCCTGCAATGTGTTCACCATGTTTTGACGACAAGGTCCTCACACCTGCACATCCACAATAACAAGTGCGGTTACGTTAGATTACAACACATGGCTTGTTTCCTTTACCAGTCAGGACTTCCATATTAAAGAAGGCGTGTTTCTGAGTTGTTTTGGTAACATCTTCTTTCCTGTCAGCCTCTGATTGGCAGTGAAAATCATAACATAAATTCTTTAAAACTAAATCACTTTGAGTGATTTGCCAGTTCTAGAGAAAGCTTCAGACCGGCCATCTTTAGCATATCTCTAACAATCAAAGATTTTGACACGTTGTCAAAACCTTTTTGCACCTACAAAGCTGAGACAGCATACAGTTCCTGCAGAACAAAGCTGATATTGTTCAACTCCTTAAGAGTTATTCCTGAGATGCAAGCTGATTCCAACCTGTGCTGCCTGGTGACATATTTTGGACTGGAGAAGTCGGTGCTTGCGATCAATCTACCGGACCTGGGTGCCCCCAGGTCATCCGACCTCTCTGACCTCCGGATCCATGACGAGGGTCATCAAAAGGGCGAGGTAGAACACAGAGAGATTGAGTCTGAATGTGCGTCTGAAGATAACATCCTAGTTTAGAGCAAACCAAATTCTTTTTCATCCGGAGACGCCGCTTTCCGAGATTCGGAAGTTCTGACCAACACTGCATTTACATATAGGTTCCTACATCACCTTTAGTTCTATCCATTCACGTACATGCTTAGTTCACTTGTCGTGTTTTAATTGTTTCTAAAATAAATTCTTACAATTATAAACCTGACTCATTTCTGAATCAAGATGAAGTGTGTATAATTACTTAATAAAGCAAAAATCCTTGAATCTTCTGATTAAGCTCTATAATCTGATGTTTACAATAAAGATCAAGCAAGAAAATATTGTATATTTATACAGAATATCAAATAAATAATACACATTTGCCTCCGCTACAAGGGGATACTCTTATCTTTACCACACTGGTGGTGTGATGACACAGACCAAGTTTAATGCTATTCTGACCATGTTTTTTGAAGTTATTGAAGGTTAAAGTTATCTAGGGGGCGCTGTGACCAACTACAGAAAAATCCCATTGAGGTCAGCTTTGGTTGACAAAGATGGTTTTCTGTTATTTGGGCATCAAACGGACATCAGACGTTGTGTGTGTTATCTAGAGCCAGAGAGCCGAAAGGGGGTGGAGCTACAAGGGTTTGAACCAACAACCACATCAATGTGTTTGGTGTAGTCATGTGATGACACAAGCAAAGTATAATGCCATTCTGACCTTGTCTTTAGAAGTTAATAAACTTTGAACCTATCTAGGGGGTGCTGTGACCATTTACAACTAAATCCCATAGAGGTCATCTTTGGTCATCAAAGATGGTTTTCTGTTAATTTGGCATCAATCAAACGTTGCATGGGTCATCTAGAGCCAAAAGGCTGTACGTGGGCGGAGTTAAAGTGATTTGAACGAGTGAGCACCTACATGTGTTGATTGCAGTTGTGTGATGACTCCCACCATGTTTGATATAGTTTGGAGCTTTTTTGCAGAAGTTACAAAGGTTTTATTGTATCTAGGGGGCACTGTCCCAAATTTAGGAAAATATCCCATGGAGCAGTTTGTAGGTTGATTTCAGTTATTTGTGTGCAGTTTGGTGTGAATTGCATCATGCATGTGTTATTCAGGGCCTAATATCTGTCAGGGGGTGGAGGTAAAGCGATATCAACCAATGACCACAGGATTGTGTTGGGTGCCTTTGTGTGATGACACGTAGCAAGTTTGGTGCAGTTGTGACCTCGTCTGTACGAGTTATTACAGTTTTAAAGGTATGTAGGGGGCTCTGTGGTGATATTATACAACATTCATCAACTGTTTGTGCCTCATTGGCTAAAGGGCATGATTGATGATTGCCATGTTCAGTCTTGTGCAGATCGGACGCTGTTTGCGGGAGTTACAGTCAAACGTGAGGTCACGGCATCACGCCAGAATTCGCCATGGCATCAAAGCCCCTCCCTTTCTGAAAAGCTATCAGATCTGAATGGTCATTACAACATCATGAATACAGTGCATGACCTTAGTGTCATGTTGACTAAATTAGAGGGGACAAATATGGGCATTTCACCATAAAACAATAGACTTCCTGTTGTCAGGGGGCGGGGTTTAGGTGATGTCAGCTGTTCACATTGTCATTGTCTTGAGATGTGGTCTGTGATAGCACAGAAAACGTTTGATATGGATCTGATCAGGCACATAGGAGTTATTACGTCAAATAATGTAATGGCGAAAGGTCAAAGTTTGAGGCTTAGCCACGCCCACAACTTTCAACTTTTGAAAAATCCAATGGTTTTATTTTGTTCCCCTATGTCTTAAGAGTATATAGCAGAAGTATGAAGTTTATTGGTGAAAAGGGCGATGGGGCATCACTTTCCAAAAGACGTGTGCGAAAACCACTAAATCGAGTACTTGGACCAAAATGGCCGACTTCCTGTGCGACATTGACCTTGGCTTCAAGAGACTTTTTGTAGGTCCCAAGGCACTACGTTAATGTACCACATTTCGTAGTTCTCAATTAAAGCACGGCTTGGGGCTGACAGTTTTAATGATTCTAGGGGACGCTATTTCGAGACGATCGTGCGAAAAATGATCGAGTAAATCAATCAGAAGCAGACCATAAAAACGGCCAAAACGGGGTCAAAATCACCACTTCAAACCAAAATGGCTGACTTCCTGTTTGATGTTGACCAGGGGCGGCGTTAGGCCCGGCTACTTGGGCTCAAGCCCCGAATGTTTTATGAAAAGACTAGTGCGTGTGTATGTGCGCGCGCACACACACGTGCGTGTGTTAAGCCCGGGATCTTCTTCAGTCCTAAATCCGCCCCTGATGTTGACCATGGTTGCAAGAGGCTTTTCTGTGCGGACTGTTGAGTACTAAAAGTGTACAAAATTTCATAACTGTACGACAAACTAAGGTTTATGGAGGGGGGTATTTTTCATATTGTAGGGGGCGCTGTGGAGCTAGTTTTATTGCAAAATTTTTGGGACCTTTAGAATAGACCCTTTTACTACTTACGTCATCAAAAGTTGCGCGCACAGCCTGGCAACGAGAGTGAAGGCTTCCTCATTCACACTCGATACTAAAACAATGTTTTAAACCCTTTGTTTTGAAGTTCTGAGCACATAAAAATGTCGGGTTGTTGCGTGTATGGATGCCAGAATCGCTTCTCTTCAAGCAGTGGACTGAGACTTTACAGAATTCCGAAGTTCTACATTTTTCCTGCTCAGGTCTTTCCATGCACATGCCTGAGATGTAACTGCAGCCTTTTCTGTTTTTCCCATCCTAACACAAAGCTCAACTTTGAATAAAATTGCTGCTGCGTGGCTGCAGCATGACCCAAGTCTGGAACATCAAAATGACAGAATTAAACAAATTTATACGCTTTATTTCATGCTTCAAATTAACATTTCATTCTAATTCATCTGTATTTTCCCACTGCATATTAGTATAAACTGTATTTCTCTAAAATTAACATGATTGTACTCTGAGCACGCTAAAAAAAGAAACCTATGCTATACTCACCCTGCCATGCAGGTACAGTTGGCTGTGAAGACGTAGTTCTCTGGTTTGTTTACTATGACCCAAGCCTCGTACATAGCAGTCTTGTGTCCTTGCCTTTGGCTAGGAAGGACTTCTGCCTTCAAGACGCAAAACTCAGAGTCTATGTCGTGATATTTTACTTTCTGTACGTGGCCACAGACAACATAGTTGTATGCATCTAATGATTTGTATGTCCGTAGCTTCTCACGTGTGTACTTACTGGGCCTCTCCAGCTTGTACTTATTGGGCCTCTCCACTAAAAACATATATATATCGGGCCTCTGGGTGATATCTGGCCACGCACCCACATCTTCCACCCATTCCGTAATGCCACAGGGATCCGGGAGACTGTTGCCATTCGTTAAAGTGAGTTTAATAATATAACATTCAAGATTTGCCGGTGATAACCCCGCAGCGTAGCTTGATAAAGCCTGACACAACGCCCTTCTCTGTTGCCAAACTGCGCGCACATTCTCGCTGACGTCATATTGCTTACAAACAGTAAAAGGGTCTATACAAAATTTTACACCACGCCTGACATGTGTGCAAAAATTCCCGAGTTTTCGGGTATGTTAAGGCCTCCAAAAAGCCAGTTTACTTGATGGAAGAAAAATAAACAGAGCAGAATAGGCCTTTGCAGCGCTTTTGCTGCTCGGGCCTAACTAATGGGCCATTCCCATCTGTACCGGGTCGGCCCGGGCCGGGTAGCGTAGGTTGTTTACATATCTGGGTGGCCTGGTATTTTTCCGGGCCAACCAAGGCTCATTCTCAGCCCTCTTCTCGAGGGGGTCTGCTTCAGGCCGACCAGGGCCAACACACCCACTGCTGACAGCAAATTCACACCTTCCATTAGAGCAAGCCTCTGATTGGTGGGTAGAATCAGCCCACATGGGCTTAAGACAAGGATGTGTGGAATCAACCGGGCCAGGCTGGGGCCGGCTGGGGCTACCCGGCCCGGGCCGACCCGGTACAGATGGGAATGGCCCATATGAGTCCTTTAGTGGAAGGTGCTTTAAAAGTTATCTTAATCTGTGCATTGATTCGAATCTGCACCATTTTCTCTCTTGTTTATTTAATGTTTTCAGTCTACATTGAACTTACTGCCAACGTTGTTGGTGTAAGCTGTTGCTTTGTCGTGTTGGAACTTAAAAATGTATTTGGATGAGATAATAGGATAAAACTTGTTCTAGAAATGGTGCTGGAAAGCTTCTATTTCTGCATTTATACTTTGTCAACTGTGTCAAGTATCATAAAGGTTGATTAAATTAATGCATATTTATCAATAAATGTTCAGCTGAATTTAAAGGTTTAATTATATCTCACTAAGTTGAAAACAAACCCATTTATTGCCACTACAACATTCTCAATATGTGCGGGGCCTGATAGAAATCAGAGGCCATGGATGTGCAATCAGTTACTAAATAATGAGAAAATGAGCAAATTATTCAAAAATGTAATAAATAAGTTCGATTTTTTTTCTACTCGTTCTCTTTTACAATGATGACATCCACGTTTACTATTTTCAAACACGTACAAATACGTTATTTGTGAAACATGTTTTTTATTTGAAGAGAAAACATAGAACGCTTTTTCCTGCTTTTGACCCTAACCACACTCCGTACCTCCTGAACAGAACTGTCATGGCAGCTCAGGTTCGTGCAGTGATCTCTGGTCAGTGGCTAGCAAACGCGATCAGAGCTAACCAGGTCGGTCCGAAGCTGGCTGTCCTGGACTGCTCCTGGTACCTACCCAAAGCCCAGCGGAACACCAGGGAGGAATTCGCTCACCAACACATACCGGGAGCCTCGTTCTTTGACGTAGACGCCTGCAGCGACAAGAGCTCCCAGTATGACCACATGCTGCCTTCATCTAACTTCTTCTCTCAGTATGTCGGAGATCTCGGCATCGGGAACGACACGCACGTAGTTGTGTACGACACTAGCGACTCGGGCTCGTACAGCGCGCCCCGGGTGTGGTGGATGTTCCGGGTGTTCGGGCACAGTTCGGTCTCGGTGCTGGACGGAGGCATGAAGCTGTGGCTGGCTGACGGACACCCGGTGACCTCCGAGTACAGCAAACCACAGAGGAGGGACTTCCGAGCGACCCTGAACGCATCATGGGTAAAGAGCTACGAAGATGTTGCGGAGAACATCAGGACCAAGAAGGTCCAGGTGGTGGACGCCAGGTCTGCTGGCAGGTTCCAGGGGACTGAACCAGAACCCAGAGATGGTGAGAACTAAACTCTGTTAAACACCACTGAGCAGAACTCCAAAGTCTATTTTGTTGTGTTGTGGGCTGAACTTTAGACCAGGGACCTTTTAAACCCTGTGCTTCAGCCTGTTGGGACCCTTGAAACCTTGAAACCAGTGATTCCCAGCTTCCAGCTCCCAGAATGACCCGATCAGACGTTAGACCCTAGCTTCCTGGTTGAAGTACAAATGTAACCAAAAAAGACAACCACAGATACAGTGACATCACAAACAACAGGCAATACTGTAAATTCATCACTAATCAGGAACAGTTACGGTGAAGCTGGCGTTATTATCTCTGGACCCCAATACCTTCACAAATGACCTGATTTCCTCACAAATATTCAGGGAAATCCTTACATAAACTCTTTCTGAATGGCCACACGTCCCCTTCAGCACTTCGGCATCGCCTTCCCTCCACGACTCTTGTAGGCCGTGTCTCACTTCACTGCACGTCTTAGGGCTGTTTTCCTTTTCTCATTTAGTTTAATTATTAATCAGTGGCTCTTTTAGTTGCATCTTCTGATGTTTTTTTAGCCCTTTTGATTTTATTTGTGTCATTTTAGGGAGTTTTAATTGATTCTTCTCCTTAATTTCCTGGCGTTGTGCGTTTACTTGTTGTTTTTATACTTTTACGCGTTTGAACTAATCAGTTTTTTGCTACATCTGTTGCTGTGTTTGAGCCTTTAACTCTCTTATGTGCAGCACTTTGGTTCTCCGCCATGCTAATCTTAAACTGTGCTTTATAAATAACTTGGTGTGTTATAGTAACGCTTGTTTATCCTCGGGTCACACCACTCATGCTGGGATATCACACCAAAACAATTCAACACGTTGAAGTTCCCCAATTTATGATCAGAGCCGTCCCAGCTTCTTTTTGAACCAACCAGAGCAAACTTATTGCACCACACACAGCAGGAAGATCTGATCAGATTATCCTTAGAGCCATGCTAATCGAGGGTGCCCTCACTATTGTTGGAAGGGGAGAATCAAGTCAGAAATCGGCATTATTATCCTGCCATAAGAAGCGGGCCTTATGTGTGTAGCGTCACGAAGGTCCTCTGATGTGTGACAAAGGTCACATTTTCCCAGCTGGGTCAGCTGGGTCGACTGTAACTTTGCTCCACAGATTAAACAAGCGAGGAGCCATGATGTCTGCTGAATATCATCTTTATCTGCTGCTGTTCTGTCCCAGAAGGACACTTCAAATTTCACAATAATAATTTAAATAATAATTTTAATAAACTCTTTGACTTTATTACTGTTATTATAATCATCATAAGTAATCTCTTGGTTCAGTAAATGTATTTTAATTACTGAAATGAATTATTATGCTTTGGGTATAATTATGATTATGGTTGATAATTGGTTATGTGTGTTCAGTAAACCAGAAGGTCAACTTCCACTTTATCCATCCAACACAGAGCTTATCCAGAGTAAAGGTAAACTGCCATCACATGTCTTTGACTCATGACCAAAGCGTTCTTGCTCTGAGAGTGGGCGTGTTCTGAGGGGTTTGTTAAAACTAACTTTCCAGCAGCATCCGGAGGATAAGGGAACGGTCACCCTGAACCTCCACCTGCTGTTCTGTCACGCCAATAGAATAGCTTTGAATAAACGCACGATAACCAGCTGACGCAAAACTCCTTCAGAGTTATTGATTTTGAGTTAAATAAGATGCAAAACTCCTTCATAGTTAAGCCAAACGCTCGACACTGTGTATCCTAAGACATCTCTGGACCAGAGGATCGGTTTCACTCGCGTCTTCTCTACCGGACCGAGTACCCTGAGGTTGACAACATCCTCCTTGACCTCCAGATCCACACAGACGGTTTTCTTGCTGGGTGAGGTAGCACACAGATTGTGTTTGATGTTGTTTCTCTAAATGACAACCGAGTTAGCTGCAAAACCATCATTTCACCCAGAACGAGTTCCTCTCTCTGACAGAAACCTTCTAAGAATTCATTCACGCATCCAAGCTCTCATTTTCAATTTAGCTTTCATTCAGTCACAGGTTTGCCTTTAAAACAAATTTTAATATCAAAGTTGTCATTAGGGCTGTCACGGTTGAGGAATTCCCCCTGCGGTGATTCAGGGTGGCTTAATATTGCGGTGTGCGATATTATTGCAGCACTTTTTTTTATTGCAGTACTATCTAAACATAATGTTTACACATTTAAAAAAGGTTAAAATTGCCGTGCCTTCTTTTATAACACTTTACTGAATGCAGATCAAAGGGCAGTAACAACACAGATCACAGTAACGTTTGTTTCTCCGACAGTCGGAGTCCGACTGAACTTAAAAACAACAAAATTCAGGAGAAGGTTAAACTTTTAAATGCAAATTTGGCTGCAGCATCTAACAAATAAGAAACAAGTTCCCGTTTTGTTTAGTTGTTTAAAATCAAGCATAAAAAATGACATGTACCGGGCGCGGGGCACTATCATTTCACTTTCACACACGAATGACGGTGATTTATAGCTCGGTCACGTCCTTGTTACCCACAAGGAAAACCAGCATGTTAACCATATATGGTTTGAGAGAGGATCTGAGAGGGGTGGCAACATTTCCAGCAACACTGAAACCCTTCTCAGATGGTGCGCTCGTTGCACTAACGCACACGTACTTGCGTGCGACTGGCGAGCAAAGGGAATCTCTCCCGGTTGTTGCTCCACCATGTCAGGGGGGTTTCTTTAGGGTGGATGCATTCCTCCTGCAGGTAGCGAGTGAGCTCCAGCTCGGCTCGAACTCTCTTCGGGACGGTTGCAGAAGCAGTGCTTGTCCGGGACTTCAGCAGGTCTCCGAGCGTTTATTATTATTTATTTGCCGCTGGTGGCAGATCTGTCTCGGCCAAGGACTCTGGCTGTGCAGCAGCTGATGTACTGAAAACCAAAGTGCTCCCAAAGGAGCGAAGTAACGTTTCGTTTTGATACCAGTGCAGCCATCCTTCTCAACATGCATCATTGAGTTGAACCAAGTTCAGTAATGGCGGTGGCCCATGATGCAGCGCGGTGGGTTTCTTCATATTGCGATATTTAATTTTTGCGGTTACCGTGACAGCCCTAGTTGTCATCCATGAATTGCCATTTTTAATTGTCATTTAAATTGTCGTGTCAAACCGTCAAGTTTAAAATTGTTAGTAATAAATTCTTAACTTTAAAAACTTGACTCTCTTCTTTAAATGAAACACAGAATGGTGTGCATTTCTGGTTATTGAAAAAGCAAAAATTCCTAACTTCTGATTCAAAAAAATAAACTTTTGCTATTAAATTTAATTATCTTAAATTACACATTAATCTTTGGATTAAATATACACCAAGCAGGTTTGTGTATGAACTTCTATCAATTATATAAGTATCTTGGATATTTATACATGATGTAAGCTCTTATGCTAATGTGCTTCATCATTCTCCGAATCTAGCAACTGATAGCAAACAGTGTTGATTCTAGTATGTAGAAATACGCTACATGTGTGTGTGACTCTGAAGCATCAGAGAAGTTTAATCAGCTGATCTGCTCCTTTTCTGTTGTAGCTGTTAGCAAAACACCGCTAAATAAAATGTGCTACGTCTTCAAGGGCGTCGGTCAGCTGTAACCGACAGATTTGCTGCCTTAACTTTACCAAATACGCCAAACACATCAAGTCCGGTAGGCTCTTTCAGTAATCACTAATGGGTCAGAGATAACGTCCAACCAAAACTGCGACTGAAGCCGTCAAGCTGAAGGGATCTCATTAATTCCCATTTCTCTGGTTGTCTCTCTCAGATATTCTGCCCGGGCATTTCTCCGGAGCCATCAACATGCCATACACAACCTTCCTGGATCCCTCTGGGAAGCATCTGGGAACTGAGGCCCTGGCTAAACTTTTTCAGGATGCCGGGGTGGATCTGGAGCGCCCCCTTTGGACTTCCTGTGGTTCTGGAGTCACGGCGTGTCACGTTATTCTGGCGGCTCATCGACTCGGACACCCAGGGGTTCCTCTGTACGATGGTTCCTGGGTGGAATGGTTTCGAAGATCTTCTCCAGAAGACATTATCACAGAGGGAGAGAAGAAGAAGGAGTGAATGGATGAGGTCTTTGTAGGCTAAAATAAAAATATAGCTCTAAAGTATTCTGTTGTACATGCATAGGTCACATCAGAGCAGGATTTCTCTGCTGCCAGAAGTATTTCATTTTAATTTAGACAAATATGGTGATAGGACTTGTCTCCTTATTAATGTTACAGATGTAGCATGTATTAAATGATGTGCCTTAAACATGTTTAGATTATAAACGACAGAGCAATGTGGGCAGATCCAGAGGAAATGGAGCTCTAAGCTAATTTATTCCAGTGTTTTGCATTTATTTGCATCTACAGTGGAAGCTGTTGAGCTACGGTAAGCTGGTTGAGTCAAAAAGTACTCTAAATATTGCCTTAAATGTTGACTAATTTCAATGTGCAATGCTTCATCTTCAACCTTTTCCTGACAGTTATGTGATCCAAAACGTTTAAAGTTAGAAAGGATGCTACAAGTGTCATAAAAGGCATAAAAAAAAACAACAAATGTTCAGAAAATCTTGTCAGGATGTACTAAAGTTTATTTTTATAGATTGTGACTCATATATTATGTTGATTGTTGGACTGATGTAGAAAGACAAACAAAAAGCTAAATAATCTTATAAATATAACATTTGAAATAAAATGAAGTCTGAAGATGTTGAGCCCTTTCTGCTTTTTGTTTTTATCACATATTCAGTGCAAATTAAATTAAAGCAGTTTGGAAACTAAATGCAAATTTTCCAACCTCAGGGAACTTTACACTCCGCTTTCAAAAGTCAGAATTGTCGTTTTATTGTTTTTTTTGTTTTTTGAAGAGAATTGCAATTCTGCGATATATGGGGTGCCATTTGTAAAGTCGAGTCAAAATTTAACAGCAGTATTTTGGGTTATTTTGCATATCAGAAACTAAATATTTAATTTAGAGTTAAATATTTATTTCACAAACTAAATATGTAGGTCAGACTTAAATATTTAGTCTGTGAAACAAATATCTAATTTGGAGCTAAATATGTTGTTTACAAAGATAATATTTAGCTCCAAAGTAAATATTTAGTTTCCAAAATAAATATTTAGATCCCAGCTAAAAATTTATTTTGGAGCTAAAGATTTTGTTTGTTTACAAAAACAATGTTTAGGTTTAGCCCCAAAATAAATATTTTATTTGGAAACTAAATATTTTACCAACTTAATGTTTAGGCCTGACCTTTAAATGACTTTATTTTTTCTGATGTTAATCTATTTCTGTTTTGAGATCATTAGGATTTTATGACTTAATGTTTTATTTTGTTTTGATCTATGTGAAGCACTTTGTGCTTCTATGTCTGTGATAAGTGCTATATAAATAAAATATACTTACTAAATATTTAGGTCTGACCTAAATAATGTAAAATTAACATTTAACTCAAAATTAAATATTTAGCTTGCTAACAAAATATTTAGTTGGGAACTTTAACATTCATGAATGTATGAATAACATGGTGAAAATGTGACTTTAAAAAAAATAAACTGTCATTTTCTTTGTTCTTATAAAAGGCCAAATAACCCAAATTATTGCTGCAGCGTTATCTGTTTGCCTTTACAAATGGCACCCTAGTCCTATAGGTGGCAGTATACATACATACGGTACATACATACATACATACATACATACATACATACATGTGTGTGTGTGTGTTTTACTTTTTCCAAAAGTACTCAGCTTCTCACTGATTGTTGAGAGAAAACTTCTTTTTTCTTTTTCTCTCGTTCGTTTACGTTTTTTGCTAAAATAATTGATTGAATAATTGATTATAAATTTCCTCTGCACCCTCATAAAAGTATAGAAATACGAAGTTTATGCTGTTATTTCTTTCTGTTATTAAAACCACTGCACATAAAACTATCTATGACGTGTACCAAGGGCTGTCCTGCTCACTGCCTGAAGGTCCTGACGAAACAAACAAATTGGGGTCCTTTCTTGCTGGAGGCTAGCTAGCGTAACGAAGTTCAGATTCATGCTGTTTTAAATACATGGAAATTTATCTCCTAAATTTCATCACTCAGTTGTAAATAGTCCGTGTGTGTTTTACTAACAAAAATACGTGTTATTCGGCTCGTTGTATTACGCTCTAGCTAGTTTTGTAATTAAATCCGGCTGGTGTTTCTCTGGTGTGTCACCGTTTTAGCGGAGCTAGCATTAGCATCAGCGCTGCAAACGAACCTCCCCTGACACCAACTGGCGACTTTTGTCACATCCTTTAGTCAGTCCAATAAAATAATCGGTGAGTTAGGTGGAAAAGGCATGATTTACCTAAAACCGCGGTCTATCACGTCCCTTTGTGTGTTTTCTGGTGACCAGTTTGTGGTTACGAGGGAAACAAAGGCAGTTAGTGCGCGTCACGTAGCTAGTCGTACCATCTCAACATCCATTATTTAGTTAGTCAGTTTGTGTCACTAGGACAATAAAATCATTGATTATTAAGCTTATTTTGTGTACAGCTTGACTAAAACCGATCGTATTTGTTGTTGTCCACAGGGAGGCGTTGATGAGCAGCGATGTCCGGCATTGCTCTTAGCAGACTGTCACAGGAGCGCAAAGCCTGGAGGAAAGACCACCCATTTGTAAGCACACATCGTTGTTTACATATCACGACTAAACCTCAGCTGATGTTATGTGTACATGATAACTTGTGTTGTGTGTGAACTAGGGATTTTTTGCTAAGCCCACTAAGAATCCAGATGATACCATGAATCTGATGAACTGGGAGTGCGGCATCCCTGGGAAGAAAGGGGTACGTTTCCGTCTACTACAAGCTCTCCATGAGCTGGGAGCGTGGATTGTGAGCACGTTTAGGGTAGAGTTAAAACTTCTTAAAGCTCCTCTGAAACGTTTCTCAATAGTAAATTTGAGAGGTGGTCAGATTTGAATGCCAAACAAACCAAAATATTTATCCTCTTTGAGGTCTGTCAGCACACCCCAGCTGTGAACATGGTTTTAATGGTCGTTCCCTCTGTCCTCTTAAGACTTGTTAATCTTTATGAACTCTCCTTGCATTATAGTTTTTATTTATTTATTGGGATTTTATTTGTTTAAATGGTCCATTCTGAAACGTAAAGGTGTCCGATGATGAGGAGAACATTACTAAAGCTCTGATTTCCCTCTCCATTCACCAGACTTTGTGGGAGGGTGGACTGTACAAGCTCAGAATGCTGTTCAAAGATGACTACCCTTCCTCTCCACCCAAGTGTGAGTGCCATTCATCAAGTCTTTGAACAATTTAATGTAGCATCAGGCAGCATGGAGGTACATTTGACTGTATACAAACCCAGGAAATGTTTTTTATTTATTTATTTTTTTTGACCCAAAGCCATCAGGTCAAATTCTTTGTTCCATAAAACTCGTTTTGATTCATTTCTTTAACTTTAAATAAATGTTCAGTAGGCCATTATCATGTGTCAGAATGTGATTATTCTGAGAAAGGAGCAGTGATAAACTTGATGTTGCACGCTTGCCAGTTTTGTTCTGTGTATGTTTTGCATGCCTGCGGTATGTCTACTGGAGTCAAACCCATGTGATTAATTCCTCTACCAGCTGATGATGGTGGGTTTTAGTTATCACCATTGAGGAAAGCTGCACGTTGTTTTCGTAGAATTGCGCCCGTTTTCATGACTGTGCTCTCACAGCTCCTCTTGTGTTTTAGAGTCATTGTGTGAATCACTTATTGATGACTAGGTAATGATGGATTTCTACAATACCTTCATTGATCTTTGAAACAGAAACCTTCCAATCTACCGAGTGTCGTCGCCTCAAGGTTTTAAATTCTTTCTGATGTTTTTACTCAGGCAAGTTTGAGCCGCCTATATTCCATCCGAACATCTACCCGTCAGGCACCGTCTGTCTGTCCATCCTGGAGGAGGACAAAGACTGGAGACCTGCCATCACCATCAAACAGGTTTGAGCTCACACATGTGTGTTTAATCTCACATGTTAATTTTGTAATCTGGGTTGGAATTATCAAACGAGATTACTCCCAGCGCACCCGCCACCTCGCTATGAAAAAAAAAAAAGATGCATCTGCTGTTATTGCGGGGTTGCATTTATGCACTCATGTGGGGTTGTCACGGTGTGAAAATGTAACCTCACGGGTATTGTGACCAAAATTACCATGGTTTTCGGTATTATCGCGGTATTTTTTAAAACGTGTTACATTTTCAGACAACTAGGTAAACCCTGTATATCAGGAAAATATTGTCCTCAGTTCAGAATCAGAAGTTTTTAATGCCATATGTGTGCCAAGTCACAACATTAGGAAATTGCTGCGGTATTTTGGTGCAGAAGGTAAGATAGAAAAAAAATTAATTAAGAGATAAGCAAATATAAGAACTAATAAAACACTCATGATAAAATTATTAATGTAAAAAGTGGCAAGAATTAGAGAAGCAGCTATCTACTCCCTGTAGGTATTAATCTGAGTGTTTGTTGAATGGTTCAAGCACAGCATCGGGTCACGTGACTGGGACCAATCAACTTGAGTGGGCTGCCCTAGGATGTTCATTCAAAAGTCCAACTGCAGAGGGGAAGAAACTGTTTTTGTGGCGAGAGGTTCTGGTCCGAATGGATCTGAGCCTTCTGCCAGATGGGAGCGAGTCGAAGAGACCGTGTCCAGGGTGAGACGAGTCAGCTATTATCCGACCTGCACGCCTCACTGTCCTAGAGGTGTACAGATCTTGAATGGAGGGAAGTTTGCAGCCAATGACCTTCTCTGCAGAGCGCACAACACGCTGCAGCCTCTTCTTGTCCCTGGTGGTAGCTCCAGCGTACCACACGGTGATGGAGGAGTTTGTGTCTAAATTTGGACTAAAATGTGTTATTTTGTAATTATGTTGTTTATTTGTTTACATTTTTCCCCTTTCGTCTTTAAAATACCAATATTTGCCCATAACTTCTTATTTTTTGTCTGTTTGATGTCATCATTTTAAAAATATTAGACCAGATGATACTCAGTACTCAAGTAGCCCTCTAATCAGGTACTTTTTACCCTTACTTGAGTAATAAACCCTATATCAGGAAAATATTGTCCTCGGTTTGTGTCCTTCCAGTGAGCGTTGCAGATGTGGGAAAATGTCATCAGGCAGTAATCATTGTTAAATTCATAATTATTCTCGGAGAGAGACCAACTCTTATCTGCCCCTGGGAGCCCCGTAATGCATAGCGTCATTTCAACATGGGGGTGTCCGCGACACGGTTTATATGCAGGTAGCGGCGCTGCGGCTGCTTTATATAGCGACTCGTTGCATTCTCCCTCAGCCCAAATCCTCGGATCACGCATTTTAGCTAAAACGCTAACGTTAGCTTGCCTTGCGTGTACTGTAGAGTTGTGGGTGATGGTCACACAGATGTGTCATGAGATTTGAAGCGTTGCTGCCTTTCACAGACACTTTTTCTGCACGTGCTGCAAACAGGATAGCCGTCTTCTATCAACTGTCCCTCGGCATTCTTCAAATATCCAAAAGATGCCCGTACTTCCCACTTTGTCTTCTTTGAGGGATGATAAATGTCCTGAGCACTGCCCTCTCCTCCTGTGGCCATTATTTCAGCTTTAGCTTCAAGAAAGTTTTGGTTGTAAACAACAAAGTGCGCATGTGCCGCCGGCAACTTCAGCAGATGATACGGTGGCTGGTAAGGGTCACTGCGCCTACACCGCCGCCACGGTAATCCTCCGAGATAATACAGTTTTTTAAAAACAAGACGTTATTATTGTCAACTTTTTTACCGGGATTTACCGCTACACCGGTTACCGTGACAACCCTACACTCATGCTTGAATTATTACACGTTACGGTGGGGGCTGAAAGTAAAACAGATTAAATGTCGTATTTTAGGAGCACGGGAGACTCAAAGCCACCAATGCTAGCTTTAATGTTAGCAGATCTGGTTAGAACTGGCTAGATCTGTGGTTCCATCTCACTTTAACTTCCCTCATGCCGCGCAGATGGAGACACTATATAAAAACAGCGACTCCACCCGTTTGGTCTCTCTGGAGGTCTCTAAAGTTGGTACTTGTGGTTAACTCGTGCTGATTGGTTGTAACTCAGCAGGAAATGACATCACCAAACAAACCAAATTTGTAAATTGAAGTTTCTGGTGAAGCAGAACGAAACAAAGAGAACCGTTAACACTGCTTTTGAATCTGTTTCTAAACCTCCATGTGGCCCGACCCAAATGCTGCGAAATTCCCACAACATCGCTTTTCACGCTAACTTCATGTTCTCAGAACAACAGTTAAAAAACCGCGCTGCGTCTGGTCGTCGAACTCTACATTTGACATCATCCGGTCTTCTGAATGGTCTAAATTACTGCGTACTTTTACAGAATAAAACATAAATGTTGTTAATGTCGGCGACCTCGATCACCGCTGACGCAGTCATGATATGCTGACGTCTTAGTAAAGTCCTGAAAGAGCTGATTTTCAAAGTCAAAGTCATTTATTGTCATATTCTCCACTAGGGTTGTCACGGTATGAAAATTTAACCTCACGGTTATTGTGACCAAAATTATCACGGTTTTCGGTATTATCGCGGTATTTTTTAAACGGTGTTGCATATGTTCAGAAAGCATTGATAGTCCTGTTCTACACAAACTGAAATAGTTCTGAAAAGGTTTAACAGTGTTTATTAAACCTAAAATAACACAAAGCCTTAGCAAAAGTGCAACTTTTCACAAGTAAAGGAACAAATAGCTTATTTTTCTGGAACTTGTTACAGTAGTCAGTGCAGGTTTAAATGATACAAATCCAAACATTCAAAACATAAACAATATGTAAACAAATCAAAGAAACACCACTTGTTTTCTCATATACTTGTTTTCTTCATTATCAAAATGAAAATCTAAAACTCCAGTCCACACTTGACTTGAGCACTGTACAAGTCAACCTTAAAAAATATGTATTTAAAATAAATATCCACTTTAAACAAATTACTAAAATAACTACTACACTATGTAATCAAATCCAAATGTTCAAGTATAAATGGCATTGAATAAGTAAACAAATCCATGACAAGGAACTAATTGTATATTTCTCTTCATCATCAACAAATAAGATGCTTCATCCAGCAACAGGGTGTCCGTGACACGGTTTAAATGCTGGCAGAGGGCGCTGCGGCTGCAGTATATAGTGACTCGTTGCATTCTCCGTCAACCAAAAGTCCTCGCGTCATGCATTTCAGCTAAAATGCTAATGTTATCTTACCTTGCACTGGCTGTGGAGACGTGGGTGATGGTCACGCAGATGTGCCATGAGATTTGAAGTGTTGCTGCCTTCTGCAGACACTTGTTTCCTGCACGTTCTGCAAACGGGATAGCCGTCTTCTATTAACTGTCCCTCAGCATTTTTCAGAAATCCCAAATATGCCCATACTTCCGATTTAGTCTTCTTTGAGGGCTGATGGATGTCCTGGGCGCTGCCGTCGCCTCCTTCGGCCATTATTTCAGCTTCAAAGTTTTGGTGCCGTTGCAAATTAAAAAGTGCGTGTGCGCGCAGCGGGAACTTCAGCTGAAGCGACGGTGGCTGGTAAGGGTCATCGCGCCGAAACCGCGGCTACGGTAAACCCACCGAGATAATATAGTTTTTTAAAAACTGGACGGTTATTTTTATTGTCAACTTTTTTACCGGGGTTTACCGCTATACCGGTTACCGTGACAACCCTATTCTCCACATGTGCAGGACATACAGAGAAATGAAATTCAGTTTCAGCACACACAATTCAAAGATCAGACATACGTGGGTAAGACACATAACAAGAATTGGTGACTGCGGTCATTCGCAACATGAGTCGCGCTACCTTAATAGTTAGATGAAAAGGGTGTTACATGAGGTAAGTTCAGGGAGGGAGAAAAAAAAAGGCATTAACAGGGTTACACCAGCAGGGTGTAGCACTCCAATGCAAAAAAAACACCCGACATGGAAGCACAGACAGCACGTGTACAACATCAGAGTCCGATGGGGAGGTGGGGGTGGGCGGGATCCTGAAGCCTCCAATGGGAGCTGCCACTGCGGCGCATCGACCAGCTGCAGACCAACAGGTGGGAGGGAGAGCTAAGGAACAGAGAGCACATTGAATTCCCTGCAGACATGTCAGCCTGAAGGAAGAGGGTGAAGGTCGGGACACAGCATCTGTCGGCATTCCTCCTTTTGTGGGGGTGTGTTGAGGCAGCCTTGAGAGGCTGCTATGGCGTCAGATAAGGATAAACATGACTTTGTTTAGGGCAGGCAGAGATAGTCTTCCTCTCCGCCTTGGAGTCTCTAAGTGATCATTCATGTCCACCAGTGAAGCCAATTTTACATTCCACATCCCCGCATCGTCCGGCGACCCTCTCCGAGATCAAATCCATCTTGCGCACTAACACAGGCAATGCCGCGAGGACATTGTCCAGCTTACGGTTCACCTCAAGTAACGTCCCAGTCTGTGAGGTCACCGCACGAGCGGCACATTCCGTGGGTACGGGTCGCACTCCAATCGCTCCCGTCTTCCCAAATTTCCAGAAAACCAGATATCCTCCCACTCCAATCAGAAGAAATCCAGTGATCATCAGGCCGAATATCCACAAATCTTCCACGTTCTCGATGGACAACTGAGAGAGGCACACGATTCACCAGATCTCCCAAGAATCGAGTGCATATCCCGATGCGAATGTCCCCTCGGGACAGGTGGGAGCCCCCTTCTCCGTTCTCATCGTAGAGAAAATTTTGTCAATAACGTTGAATGACCAGTTAATTAAGTCCATATTTCCAAAAAAAGAGTAGTGGTTTCAGGAGAAATGCAGAGAAGTGCTCTGTAGGCAGACAGGACAAGAGCCTTGGGGAAGCCGATAAGGGAGCTGAGAAAAAAGCGTCTGTACTCTCTGAAGGCTGACCTTAACCCAGTCACTCCTAGAATGTTCCCGTACTCCCGGAGTGGAATCGCGGCCCTTGCTGCACCTCTCCTGCCTCCACGTCTGTTGGAAACCAGAAACTCACCGTTAACCCAGCGATAAAACGCGTTATTTCCTGTTTCAGATCCTTTTGGGGATTCAGGAGCTGCTGAACGAGCCCAACATCCAGGACCCGGCACAAGCCGAGGCTTACACGATTTACTGGTAGGTGCTTCCAAAGGCTCCGCCTCCTGACGCCGCCTCCTGACGCCCGTGGAATAAAAGCATCTTTTTTGTGTTTCAGTCAGAACAGGATGGACTACGAGAAGCGGGTCAGGGCACAAGCCAAGAAGTTTGCCCCTCCTCCCTGACCCACCTGAGCAGCCTGAAGGGAGGCACCTGAAGGACCACTCCAATCAAATAGTTTCTGAGTATTTTTATCAAGTCCCACAGATGACACGCTAGCCTGGTTTTCTTCCATTCCTTTAAAGCAACGCATCTCATTAGATTCATTCTGATTGTAACAGTCATATTTATGGTTTTTAATCCACTCTAATTCTGCTCAGTATAACGTTTATTACTCGTTTATAATCCCAGTCCCTAAACAACCTTCGGTCCACGCCGCAGACCTGCACCCATCAGACACAACGCCCAAACCAGTTCCACATTTTAACCAAATCGAAGGAGCGGCGCAGAGTTTAATCACACGTGAGAGGGACGATCCGAGCACTTGTCAGGGCGAAGGCTCCTACCGCGGGAGGACGGTTTAGATTTAGGTCCCGGTGTAAACGTGGGTTTGGTGGCCTCTGCTGGAAGTGAACTGAACTTCATCCACATTCACGATCATCCTAGAAAAAGTCCTTTAAAATTCACCCTAACCAAAAAACGCTTCCACTGATGAGAACTAAGCCAAGAGCAGGTGGAGCGGGCCGACTCTCACGAGCAGCACCAACACAGGAAAAGTGCACTTGGATGTAAACAAACTGGTTATTTCTTCCTTTTTGCCTCTAAATACGAGTGCATGTACATAATATAAATAAGAGAAACTGTGGAGGTGATGTTTTATATTGTTGTAGCCGGTTGACGTTGTGTGTGGCATTGTATCTGAAAAAATGTGAAATAAAGTTGGGTGAAAACCAATGAAGCTGCTTGTTTGTTCTGTTTAGATTTACGAGCTTGTTTTAGTTTTCATTCATTATCTGATTTTTTAGCTTCGTTTTGTGTTCTGCAAGTTAAAACGTTAGAAACTGTTTTACCAGCTAAATTATTTCATTCATTAACAAACGAGCACCGTTTGCTGTTTTCAGTAACTTAAGAATTGCACAAATATTAATCATTAGTGTTCGTCTAAAATTTATGACGCTTTGCAGTAATCCCAGAATCATCAGCCTTCTCTACAGTAAGACAGTACTTTCCACAAAGTTGTTGGTCCTGTGCATTAAAGAAACGGAGTATATTTGATGCATTTTGCACTTTTTTGCATGCTGTTTTTGCTCTGAAGGTGAAACCTGATGTAATGCTCTCAGGTTTCTAGTGTGACATTCAGAGGAAATCTAACACCTTTTGTTTTTGTCCTCACCTCTCCGGTGGGCTTTTATCTCGGTATGACTGCATTTGACCAAAGCGGCTCCAACCCGAAGGTGAGAACACGAGTTTTGTTCAGTTTGTTTTTGCAGACTCGCTATTATTGGAATTGTGTGTGTGTGTGTGTTGTAGACAAAGGCGACTCTGTTGCCCCCTGACCATGCAGGTGCTGATTCAGCCCTGCACCAACATACCTATCACAGCCTGGGCTGCTGCCTCCGTAGTAACATCTTTCCAGGTGTGTTAAGCTGCTTTTTTAAAGGTGGTTTGAAATAAAAGGTTGAGACAGCAGCAGGAAGTTTGATCATTTATTTCCTCCCAGAACCTCAAGATTTTGACCAAAAGAACGATGTAGTAGTTTGAAATCACTTGCTGCCCCATCCAAATTTTCATATAGCCCAGCTGAAAACACTTGAGACTGACTCTTGTGATTCTCTAATTAAAGGTATAGAAATACAAGTCCTAGCAGCCTTTGAAGGAATATACCTTTTTCGCCAAAGACCAATTCATGTCAGGAAAAAAAGTTACGTTTTGGTTAAATCGGTAAAATATTCAGTGTCATCTCATGTAACTTTTGCATTTAAAACCAACAATTTCGTCACATTAAAGCAGCAAACCGGAACTTCCCCCCGTCAGAAATTCTGTATGATTATTTAGAGAATCAGTAAACGTGACCGTCTTACCCTGAACTGTGATCTATTGTAGGCAATACGTCAAAGATTTTTAGTGCTAAACCCATCCCCCACCCCGTAGAGCCCCATGCAATTTCAACTGAAGCGTAGTTTATAGGGAGCCTAGGTCACGCCCATCTACTTCCGGACAATGGTTCCTCGGAAGAACGAAAAAATGAATGCAAGCCAACGGGGCTAAAAACGCTATTTTCTAATTCCGCTTGTTTTGTGCCATGGATGTCACATATAATGTCCGTGAATTTTAAAACGCATTTTGATACCAAGAACGCGCTTATTTTCGAACGGGGGAACAATATTTTAAGCTTTGTGTGAAAATAAGTCCAGGACTACAAATGCGCTTCATGAAAGTGACGTCATCGAACCAGACACGGAGAAAACTGAGAGAAAATGGCTGTAAGTTCAGCGAACTTCACACAGGAGGAAAGAACCACCATAAATCTGGTCATGTGGTAAGTAGCAGCTACGCTAGGGGAGAGGGGATTATGTGGTGACGTCACGTATGCAACGTGCCAATTTCTAGTTTGTAGTCATGCTAATTACGAAATTTTACAAGCTGAAATATCTCAAAGTACGTGACTGGCGTGGTCAAAACACCACTCATTACTTTTCATTTAAATTGCAGCACAACATGTGCGTGATCCAGGGCGTAAGGCAAAGCGGATTCAAAAATAGTGTTTTTAGCCCCGTTGACTTGCATTCATTATTTCGTTCTTCCGGGGACCCGCGAGCCGACCAGAAAGGGAGGAGACTTAGGCTCCCTGTACTTCTCCGTCTACGTCAGTGCGGCAGTGTCATTATAGGGAGCCCGTACTTTGAGATTTATCAGCTTGTAAAATTTCGTAATTAGCATGACTACAAATTTGACAACAGTATGTTGCATATGTGACGTCGTCCTTATAATCTCCTCTCCCCTAGCTTAGCTGCTAACACACAACCAGATTTATGGTGGTTCTTTCCTCCTGTGGGAAGTTTGCTGAGCTTACAGCCCTTTTCCCTCAGTTTTCTCAGTGTCTGATGACGTCACTTTCGTGATTCGCATTTGTAGTCCTGGACTTATTTTCACACCAAACCTAAAATAACGCCCCCCCCCCCCCCCCCCCATTCAAAAATAAGTGCGTTCTTGGTATCAAAATGCATATTTAAAATTCACGCACATAATATGTGAAATTCATGGCACATAACAAGCGGACTTATTTCATTGACTTACATTCATTTTTTCATTCTTCCGGGGACCCATGGTCCGGAAGTAGATGAGCGTGACTTAGGCTTCCTTTTAGTCCTCGCAAGGACAAAAGGAGTGGAGCCAATTTTATCTTTAACAAGACCTCATGCCTATGAGTGGTCAGGATGTCATTTCCTTTACCTTCATCAACAGCACTGCCACCCCGCTAAATAAATAAACCAAGAGCTGATGGATCTAGCGACAGACATGAGCAGATTTAAGAGTGTCCCAGAGAAAAAGTCTGATGATATAATTGTTAATAAACCTGTGTCTGAACAAGTACAGTTTTTATTCGTGTCAAAAAATCACAGGAAATGTGGGTCTGGAGGTGGTGACTGGATGGAGAAGTCTGAAATACATACACATTATAAACACTAGAGATGTGACTGCAATGACGGCACGATACCCCAGAAAGGTGCTACACCCTCTGCTGTCCTGGTGGAGAATTGTTTCGCAACACCGACACACCAATCTATCCGATGTACAGGTCCTTCTCAAAAAAGTAGCATATTGTGATAAAGTTCGTTATTTTCTGTAATCCACTGATAAACTTTAGACTTTCATATATATTAGATTCATTACACACAACTGAAGTAGTGCAAGCCTTTTATTGTTTCTTATATTGATGATTTTGCCATACAGCTCATGAAAACCCAAAATTCCTATCTAAAAAAATAAACACATGTCATCCGACCAATAAAATAAAAGTGTTTTTAATACAAAAAAAGTCAACCTTCAAATAATTATGTTCAGTTATGCACTCAATACTTGGTCGGGAATCCTTTTGCAGAAATGACTGCTTCAATGCGGCGTGGCATGGAGGCAATCAGCCTGTGGCACTGCTGAGGTGTTATGGAGGCTCAGGATGCTTCAATAGCGACTTAAGCTCATCCAGGGTGTTGGGTCTTGCGTCCCTCAACCTCCTTTTCACAATATCCCACAGATTCTCTATGGGGTTCAGGTCAGGAGAGTTGGCAGGCCAATTGGGCACAGTAACACCATGGTTAGTAAACCATTTACCAGTTGTTTTGGCACTGTGAGCAGGCGCCAGGTCATGCTGAAAAATGAAATCTTCATCTCCATAAAGCTTTTCAGCAGATGGAAGCATGAAGTGCTCCAAAATCTCCTGATAGCTAGCTGCATTGACCCTGCCCTTGATAAAACACAGTGGACCAACACCAGCAGCTGACATGGCGCCCCAGACCATCACTGACTGTGGGTCCTTGACACTGGACTTCAGGCATTTTGGCAATTCCCGCTGCCCAGGCTTCCTCCACTTGATTTCCGAATTACATGCAAAATTTGCTTTAATCTGAAAAAAGTACTTTGGACCACTGAGCAACAGTCCAGTGCTGCTGCTCTGTAGCCCAGGTTAGGCGCTTCTGCCGCTGTTTCTGGTTCAAAAGTGGCTTGACCTGGGGAATGCGGCACCTGTAGCCCATTCCCTGCACGCGCCTGTACACGGTGGCTCTGGATGTTTCTACTCCAGACTCAGTCCACTGCTTCCGCAGGTCCCCCAGGGTCTGGAATCGGTTCTTCTCCACAATCTTCCTAAGGGTCCGGTCACCTCTTCTCGTTGTGCAGCGCTTTCTGCCACACTTTTTCCTTCCCACAGACTTCCCACTGAGGTGCCTTGATCCAGCACTCTGGGAACAGCCTATTCGTTCAGAAATTTCTTTCTGTGTCTTACCCTCTTGCTTGAGGGTGTCAATGATGGTCTTCTGGACAGCAGTCAGGTCGGCAGTCTAAAGGCTGATTCATACTTCTCCGTCTGCATCAGTGCGGACGGAGTCTAGCTCTCTTTTGTAAACATCCGTCAGTTGAGACGGACAACGCAAGCTTGTGATTAGTCAGGATGCCGCTGTTGACTACAGCGCCGCCATTGCGCCCTCAAAAACATAAAGAGAGCCGAAAATAACTAGCGGCAGACACGGAGAAGCTTGAAGAATACCTCGCGAAAAAACTCTAAAAACATGAATGTTTAATTCTCCCGTAACTGGAGGAGTGAAAAGACGCGCAGCAAGCGTTTTATTTGTGGACGGAAATGACAGGAAACATGGGTTTAGAGATGGCAAGCGCATGAAGAGGTGGAGGAGGATGAGAGACAAATTTGTCTGTGTTAAAAAGTCTCATATACAAATATCACAATATAAACACACTATCTTGGACCGATACGTGACATGATACCACTGAACAGCGCTACGCCCTCTGTTGTCCTGCCGGGCAATTGCTTTGCAACACTCTCCAGGAGACTGAGAAGTATGAGAGCAAAACGCTTCCGTCAATCCGTGCGTGTCTGTCTCTTGCGGAGCTGACGGAGAAGCATGAACCAGGCTTTACCCATGATTGCGGTTTTGAGTACTGAACCAGGCTGGGAGTTTTTAAAAGCCTCAGGAATCTTTTGCAGGTGTTTAGAGTTAATTAGTTGATTCAGATGATTAGGTTAATAGCTCGTTTAGAGAACCTTTTCATGATATGATAATTTTTTGAGATAGGAATTCTGGGTTTTCATGAGCTGTATGCCACAATCATCATTATTAGAAACAATAAAAGGCTCGAACTACTTCAGTTTTGTGTAATGAATGTAATATACGTGAAAGTCTAATGTTTATCAGTACATTACAGACAATAATGAACTTAATCGCAATATGCTAATTTTTTTAGAAGGACCTGTATAAACTAGGCTGAGACGTATAACAGACGAGCTGCTCAGCATTATCCAGCAGCGTTCAACATCAGGTACAGATGTCAATCGCAGAGTGGAGTCGTGCATTTGCAGACATACCTATATATACATAGGTACGTGTATATGTATATGTATGTATGTGTATATATATATATATATATGTATGTATGTATATATATATATATATATATATATACATACATACATATATATATATATATATATATATATATATATATATATATATATATATATATAGGTACGTGTATATATATGTATATATATATATATAGGTACGTGTATATATATGTATATATATATATGCATATATATATATATAGGTACGTGTATATATATGTATATATAAATATATATCTATATCTATCTATATACATATATATACATACATATATATATATACATATATATATATACATATATATATATATATGAATAAACAACATAACAGAACAATAATTGTAAAACAATGTGTTTTAACTCTGCTGGCCAGCTAGAGGTGCACGTTCACGAACAAGAGTCCTTGCTTCCAGCCGTAATCTTGGAAGCAGGGGGAGGGGCTTAAAAGTGTAATATGGTTTTTTGCCTCTAGGTGGTGCCCTCTGAGAAAAACCTTTCTGCCTTTAGAACTCCTGTTTTAATCAAAGTCTATTCACAGGAATCTCTCCAGAATGGAAGTCCTTGAGCAGGGACTCGTACGTCAGACACCCCCTAACTACGTGGCCTGCTGACCCTTATCGGTGGTACGGCCACAGGACGGATGAATTGGGTATGTGTCATTCTGAGTTTACCTCCAGCGAAGTGATTTCAGAGGAAAACCTGTGGACAATAAATACCTTAGCAGCCAAATACCTTGGTTTGGAGAACCACAGATACGGTTGGAGCTGGCAGACAAGCTAAAGGCTAGTCCCTGTGGTCTGTTAATCATCTCATCATAACCCTCGCTAAAGTGTTGCATGCTACAGCTTTAACTTCCAGCTGATTTGAGTTCACTTTAACTGATGAGACATTTTTGAGATTAGATTCGATTTCTTAAACAATAATGATCTACTTTGGACTTGGCAGCAGCCCAGCTAGCCGTTAGCATATCCTTTTGGTTGGAACTAATCTATTTTTTTAAAACTTAAGCTGTTTAAAAAGCTGTCTGCTACATGTAGGGAAATAAATGTTTATTACTGTTGGATTTGGGTAAATTTTTCTTCTTTCTATGGTTTGACTTTATTAAAGTACTCCACGTTTAAAGCTCCTGTTCACATTTGCACCATTTTCTGCTGTTTTCAGAGAACTAGAACAGAGTTGAGCTTGTTTACAGCCTAAAACATGAAGCTGGTTTTGAAGCTGGTTTTAAACCTACTGGTTCTGGGCCAGTCTCACAGCTGAAGAGGCTGAGAGATGGGTGGGTGGGGTTACATGCAATCAGCCGGCTTTGCAGGTGAGACGGATGCTGTAGATGTCCAGGAGAGGGGGGAATACCCTCACTATTTTCTGCAGAGTCTTGCAGCAGGAAACGGTAATAGCACTGTACCACACAGTGATGCAGCGGGATAGGATGCTCTCCATGGTGCCTTGGTTGAAGATGTGGACAGGTACTCTTGGTTTCTTTTGTTTTTGGAGAAAGAATATGTGTTTTCAGGCTTTCCCAGTTAGTGATTGGTGCTCCATGACATGTCATGAGAGAAGTGCACACCCAGAAATGTGGTGTGGGGCACCCTCTCCACGGCAGCATCATTAACGGCCATCAGAGGGGCATTCTGGAGGTGCACTCTCCTGAAGCCCATCACAATCTACTTCGTTTTCTCCACATTCAGATGGAGATTGTTGTCCTTGCACCACATGGTCAGGTGGCTCACATCACTCCATCAGCAAACTTGCTGAAGAGACTGGAGCTTCACGTTGGTCAGCAGCGTGAAGAGGAGGGGACTTGGCACACATCCATGAGGGGCTCCTGTATTCAGTTTTCCCTCCTGCTTTAGCTCTTTTTTTAAGTAGTTTGATGACATTAACCATCTTTTAATCTCCCATCATTTGGGTCTCGTTCTGTACTTCTGTGTGGGATTTTTAAATTGTTTAGCTTTGATGCGTATCATCACACACCTGTTTCTCCTCTGCAGTTCAGTGGACAGAGAAAAACATTTTGGACCAGAAGCTGAAGAAGTTGCTGACGGAAAGGGAACAAAAAAGAAGTACAAAATGAGGTCCTTTTTCCTACTTCGATGGAGCAGCATCTTGGGGATTCACATCTGTTGCGTGTTCCTGAAACAACATCTGTGTGTCTGTTAAAGGGAAAAGTAGGAGAGTGGGGAGAATGAATTAAAGGATTTCAGCAGGCTCAAGTTTTTGTGTGTTTTTGGTGATTTTACATCAGATTATCAAACATTTATGTTTGTAAAAACTGAAATAATCTCTCAATTGAATCTATTTACTGATCGCAAATCATTTTCTGGCTAAATCAAACCGCTAGAGAAAAAGCCAGTCCCTTCTATGTCACAAAGTCAAAACTAGCATTCACGGACTCCACCATCTTGGCAAACGGAGACTGTCAGTGTTTCTCAATGTCAAAGCGCCTGGCCTTGCGAGGCGATGTCTTGCGAAGCCAGGCTCCTTGCTTACGAGGACACTGTCCTTCCTTGGTCAAAGAAAACGGTTAAATGGAACAGACTTGCATCACGTGACCGCGGCTTCCACAGCGGTCACGTAAAGTCACGTGACACGGGAGACGTTATATTTTATACGTATTAGTTTCAATATGAATATATAACAAGCCTTTTGCTTTTTAAATTGTGTAGATGTTTATTAAATTAAAAATATAAGCGAGTTACTACCCACTAGCCACCAAAGCTGCAACTATTAAGCAACTAACCAACAATAGATAACTTCTTTGGATCTAAAAAAAAAACATTTTAAATTAGCTGACTTACAGTTAAACTTGAAAATTGTCCCCGAAGTAGCTACCGTCTTCTGATCCTCCGTCCTTTTTGAAAATACTGCGGTGTATTGTGGGTAATTTTTGACCAAGGCTAGGCTACAAGACACCTCCCGTGTATCCTCGCTCAGCTAGCTAAACGGCTAACAAACGGAGAGCACGCCTCGGTAGAACATGAACATTGGAACACGTCTTGGCGGCTCCCAATGACGTATCTCCTAGGCAACAGGGGCGGGGCCAAGACATCAAGGCGAGGTTCCTTGGCATTGAGAAACACCCTGTGAATGTGGTGAGGTGGTCTGGTCCAAAATGTCCAGGCCAATTTTTCTATCCCAGTCCTTGGACGAGACCGTTCACTCACCTTAACTGCTTAACTGCTTGTGGTAGTCTGAGGGACTGGTGGTCAGTGCACCTCATGGCAGCTGTAGTTACAATAAAGTTCATCACCACCAGTGTGTAAATGGGGGAATGACTGTGTGGCAAGGTGGAGAAACGAATGCCCGGGCGGGATTTGATCCCCAGACTCCCGGGTGAGAGTCATATGCGAACCAGTCAGCCAAAGGGACATCCCCTTGGCCAAGTAGCCAGGGCGCATGATCAATCGGGACACTGACAGGATGCTCACACTGCCACAACTGGTTGTGTTGGGGAACTCTAGATAGCGCCATATGAATACAGTCCTTTTTAACTTTAAACGCTTAGATCGGCGATACTCAACGCTGGTCCTCTATCCAGCATTTTAGTTGTTTCTCTGCTCCAACACACCTGATTTTAATCAGCAGATGTTTAACAGGCTTATGTGGGGCTTGATGAGCTGCTCAGCAGGCGGTTCAACCATTGAATCAGGGGTGTTGGAGCAAGGAAACAACAAAAACATGCAAAATAGTGGTAATTGGGATTCAGGATTGAGCACACCTGGTTTAGAGACACTTCTGTGTCCCAGCTTTCACTTTCGGTTCCAGATGTGTTAAAGAACCACGACTTTTCAGTGCTTTGCAGAGTCAGCCTTAAATGCTGTATTTAAGCATATATGCATGGATGTGTTTCCATAAACTGCTGAACTTGTTTCTCATCTTTGAAAAAATGTATAAATAATGGAGACAAGCTGTAATTTTGTATAAGGCTTACCCTTTAAGGCTACTATTGGATAAGACATTCTCACAATAGCCAATCACTGTAGGGTTGCCATATGTAACCGTCGTTCTGTAAATGCATGAAAACAATAAAGTTCAAAAAGAAAACTTTAGAGATCCGTGTCAAGATCTTTATCAAGTTTTTCTAAAATATAGGTCAAATAAAGCAAAGCATGCTCCAACCCGGGGTAAACCTGAACTGCAGTAGCTGACAGGGATATTTATTGCTCAGTGTGTGATGTGTAAAGGCAGTAGAATGAAGGTGGTTTCAAAAGAAACCACCGAAACTCATTTCATTGTTACAACCTCGACGCTGTTGCAGCAGTCAGATCCATTCTTGAGGCAGAAAGAAAAAAGAGGTCGAGGGGAATTTGAAGTTTTGCACACAGCTGAAAATAGCCCCAAGCTTCAGTGTTCAGGCTGTAAAAACCTAAAGATTTCAGTTGTGATTAAGCTAAAAAAACAGGATTTTCACAAGCAAAGGACATTTTTGGGGCTAATCAGGGACTTCAAATATGTGAACATGAGAAACATTTAACATTATTTTGTGTTAATTGTTGTTCATGGGGGTCACAAATACTTGCATTCTCACTGTTAGCATGTTAGGTTATCAACCTTTTCAAATGCTTAGGTGATAAATAAGTGGTGGACTGGCCATCGATCAGTCAATCAACCCCGTTAGACACACAGGCCACCACGCTAACGCTGTTGCCTCAACAAAGAAGGTTAAAGTTTCCTCCGGGTATTCCGGATTCCTTCCCAAAAACGTGAATGTCCGATTACTGTCATGTCTAGGAGTCCCCTTACCTCTCACCCATGGACTGCTGGCAGCTCCTCGTAAGCCTACAGAGGAAAAGCGGTTGCCTCAAGACAGACAGGTTAAGAGAGAAAGAATAAAAAAACACAAGAATGACAAAAGAATCCTAAACCTAACCCTAAATCCTATCCTTGGCTAATGGCCAACTTTCTGCGTCTAAATGAGGGAAAGACAGAGCTTATTGTTTTTCACCCTAACAGCAGGGCTGTGGGTCGTTATGTTGATCTTGGCCCCTCTTTCTCCCAACTCAAAACCAGTTGTCACCAGTCTGGGGGTGAAAATTGATGCTGGACTTAAATTTGAGGCTCACATCAATTCTGTGATCCGGTCCAGTTTCTTTCACCTGAGACGCCTTGCAAAAATCAAGCATATGCTGTCAAGAGCCCACCTGGAGCGGGTACTGCATGCCTTTGTAATTTCTCGGCTTGACTACTGCAACTCTCTCTATGCAGGGTTGTGTCAGTCATCACTGCGTCGCCTACAGGTTGTGCAGAACAGCGCAGCCAGGTTCCTGATTGGAACCAGGAAACGGGACCACATCAGTCCGGTTCTGGCCTCCCTGCACTGGCTTCCGGTTTGCTATCATTCACACTTCAAACTCCTCGTCTTTGTTTACAATTTCTTCCAGGGTGGTGGTCCCCCTATCTTGCCACACTCCTGAACAAACATTCCCCATCACGCGCTCTGCGCTCCTCTGACCAAGGCCTGCTCGCTGTCCCTCGGTCTAGGTGTCGTACTCGCGGGGACCGGGCTTTCTCAGTCCTAGCACCGTCTCTCTGGAACCAGTTGCCACCTTCAGTTAGGCTGTCCCCATCTCTGCCAGTCTTTAAGAGTCGCCTAAAAACCTACCTCCTCCGCGTGGCGTACCCTGAACGTGTTTGAATTTGGCCCTCTTTTATGTTGATTTTATTTCCCTGTTTTCATTGGTCTCTTTATCTCTTGTTTTACTCTTTTGTCTTCTACTAGAATGTTTTACCTTTTTTTTGTAATATTTGAATTGCTTTTATTTTCGATTTATTCATCATATTTAACTTTTCTCATGTACCATGTTCAGCGCCTTGGGCTTCCCGACAGTCGCAGAGTACAGACGCTTCTCTTTTTGCTCTCTTATCTTTTTTCCCAAGGCACTTTGTCCTGTCTGCCCACAGAGCGCTTCTCTGCATTTCTTGTGAGAAACCCTATTTTTTAAAAATGGATTTGATAAATTGGTCATTCAACGCGATTGATAAGATTTTTTCAACGATGAGAACGGAGCAGGGGGCTCCCACTTGCCCGCAAGGGACGCACCTGGCGGGGTATATGATGGATTCCTGGAAAGAGTGGAAGATCATATGCCTCTCCCAGCTGTCCATTGAGGACGTCGAAGACGTGTGGATATTCGGCCTGATGATCACTGGATTTCTTCTGATTTGAGTGGGAGGATATCTGGTTTTCTGGAAATTTGGGAAGACGGGAGCGATTGGAGGGCGACCCGCACCCACGGAAAGCACCGTCCGTGTGGAGACTTCACAAACTGGAACGTTACTCGAGGTGAATCACAAGCTGGACAATGTTCTAGCTGCGATACCGGTATTAGTGCGCAAAATGGATGTCATCTCTGAGAGGGTCACCGGACGGTATGGACAAGTTAAAAAAACTAAATTGGCTTCACTGAAGGACTTGAATGATCAGTTTAAAGACTGAAGGCAGAGAGGAAAATTATCTCAGCCTGACCCAAACAAAGTCTTATCCAAATCTGACGCCATGGCAGCCTTGAGATGCCAACAACAAACCCCCACGAAGGAATGCAGACAGATGCTGTGAAAACCCGACCTACCCCCCCACCCCGCCTTCGGACTGGTGGGCTTCAGCCTGGCGAGGTCATCAACCTGCAGGAGACAATGTGCTCTGCGCTCCTCCCAAGATCTCCCTCCCACCTGTGGCTACAGTGGCGGAGCGCCATACATGGCTGCTCTCGCTGGGGAAACAGGATCCCAGCCCCCCCCCCTCCCCCCCTGCCTTCCTATATCATGTGATGTTGTGTTGTGTTGTCTGTTGCTTATCTGTTTGAGGTGTTTTTTTGCAGAGCAAAGCTGCCCTCCTGGTGGGAGAGTAGCTATGAAGTGTCTTTTTTTCCCTCCTCCTGGATCAGTTCCTCGTGTAAAGGTTGGTTTATACTTGATACGTCCGCGAGGTCCGCACGGCTCCGCGCGGAAAAGTTGCGTCATTTTGCGTCATTTTAACAACCACGCCCCTCCACCGCGCCTCCGCACAGCCCAAAATTTCCGCAACGCGCACCTAGGAAATTTTCTAACCACGCGGACGGTCGGACGCAGAAAAACATGGCAGACCGGCAAGAACTAGTATGGCAGAGGTTCGGAAATACAGACATTTGTATGATTCAGCCCTCAGAGATCACCGTGATCAACATGTTGTTAATAATTCTTGGAGAGAAATAGCTCGCACTGTCGGAAAAGACGAGGACGCTGTTAAAAAATGCTGGAATGCCATGTTGTAAACAGTGATTTCTACTTCCACTATGGTGTAGTGTTGGATGCATGCCATAGAGCTCCATGCTGCCCCCTACAGTTTGGGAGAATATTGGCTCACCGCAGCGACAAGCCGCATGAACCATAAACGCTGCAAGTTGTGAAGCGCGTTCCATCCGCGAGCCGCATCACCAAGCGGAAAGTGAATGCGTCAAGCATAAACCAAGCTTAACCCTCTTATCTCTATTAAGGTAGCGCGACTCAGGGTTGCGAATGACCACAGTCACCGATTCTTGTCATGTGTCTTGCCCATGTATGTCTGATCGCTGAATTGTGTGTAATGAAACTCTAATTTCCCTCTGGGATTAATAAAGCATCTTTGATTTGATATGATTTATTTGATTGATTGATTGAGTGATTGATTGATTGATTGATTGATTGATTGATTAAACTAGGGGCTGGTGAAGGTTCTCAGCCTTCCAGGTCATGGTAATTCAAAGGGGTTTGGATGAAGGCAGCTGCACTTCTTTGGTTTGCTTCTCATCTGAGGAGCTTGTCAGGCTTATAAACTGTTGCTGTTTGTTGCTGATTAATGAGCTGAACCTACCTATGAATACCCCCTGAAGATCTGTTGAAGTCGTTAGGTCCTATTGTGCTATATGGTTGTTTTGATGAGATGCCGGAGGGTGTGGCCTGGACTAAAACTGTTTTGGACTTAGGCTGAGAGCTGCGTTGCCCGTGCTGGATCCTAAATCCCAAACTGAATAAAACAAACTTTGATTGTACTTCTCCTGCTGCCCTCTACCTGCTGTCTCTTTGTAGTTTTAGCCAGCGTTTATCTGGATTCGTTTAGTCTTTTGGCTCCTGGTTTTAATGAGTTCACCTGCACCATGGGTCCAACACCAACCAGTCAGGACGGTGATAGCTGGCCAGTTTCTTTAGTCCTCATTGTTTATCTCATTCTTACCTCTCTGATGGCAGGAGGAAACTCGAAGGCTATAAAAAGAACCGGTTACTCAACGACCATCATCTTTCACTTGTTTGTGGTCAGAAACACCTAAAAGGTGACTGTTAGCATGTTAGCTCAACAACAACTCAAATGATTGTGTGCACATAATTTCCAGATGGGTAATAAAGAGTTTTTCTATAATAGTTTTAGGTCATTTTAGAAGATATTTCATTTACTAATCTTTCTTTTTCTTTTCTGAGTCGTGCTCGGACCGCAGAGAGAGAGAGACGCAACGTGAAGAGACGAGGACGCCTCAGTGGGAGCATTATCATTCATCTGTGGTGGTAAGGAAACGTCTCCGGCGAGCCGGTTTTGGGCGGAACGTCCGTCGGGCCATCTCGGTTTCAGTCTTTGGGTCTGTGGGTGGAGGGGGGACACGGACGAGCTGAGAGCTCAGAACAGTCAAAGAGAAACGATTATATCGTTTTTCCCCGTCCGCCTTTAGACGTTCTTGCTGAACTTTATTCTGTTTCACAAACCAGCGTGACTTGAGTTGATAAATCCAACTGGGAGGAAGCTTTAGTCTATGTTTGAGTTAGATGTTTTCTCTTGTGTTTGTTTCTCCTCAGAGACACAGCGGACATAAGGAGATAGAAGTCAACATGTTAGTTAGGGTTAGTTAGCTGGTTAGCGATTGGGAGATAGCTATCATTAAACCCTTATCCAGTCCACTGCTGCCTCCTGCTGGTGGTGGTTCTTCTTCTTCTTCTTCTTCTTCTTCTTCTTCTTCTTCTTCTTCTTCTTCTTCTTCTTCTTCTTCTTCTTCTTCTTCTTCTTCTTCTTCTTCTTCTTCTTCTTCTTCTTCTTCTTCTTCTTCTTCTTCTTCTTCTTATTATTATTATTATTATTATTATTATTATTATCAGCAAATATAAAATAAACATCTTTACTGCACGTTTAGGATTCTTTATGGTTTTCTGCAGCACAGCTGGTTTGTGCTTCGTCACGTTTCTGAAACGAGACCATCGGGTTCAAATAAAATAACAAAAAGCTCAATTTTTTACTTGTTAATTTAAAAACAATTATTTAAATAGAATAAAATAACACTAAAATGTGGGAAATCTGCTCACTAAAATGTTCCTGTGGGAGACCCCCAGACCTGATGTCCTCTCTCTTTCTGTCTCCGTCCTCAGAGCTGAGGACAAGACTGGGACATGTGGCTAAACGTGTCTCAGTCTTTGTTTCTTCTTCGAGGAACAGAAACTTGTTAGCAGAAGGTAAACAAAGGCTTTGCAGCTCTGAGAGCAGGGACACGCAGAACACATGCAGCCACGGTGACCTTTAAGGACCAGTTTGTTCCCCTTGTTTATGTGTGTGTGTGTGTGTGTGTGTTGTGTGTGTGTGTGTGTGTGTGTGTGTGTGTGTGTGTGTGTGTGTGTGTGTGTGTGTGTGTGTGGTCTGCACTTTAATCAGGTTCTTTTCTTGACAATGATATTTAATTTGGTTTTGATTTTACCTGAAATAATTTATTACAAAGTTGTATAAAATTATCTATTGAATATAAAATAGGTGGTGAGAGTTTTCACACGTCTCTAAATCTGAGACCATGGTCTTGATTCGTAAAAGGGTAGAATGCCTTCTCCGGGTCAGGGATGAGGTCCTGCCCCAAGTGGAGGAGTTTAGGTATCTCGGGGTCTTGTTCACGAGTGAGGGTAAACTGGAGCGTGAGGTCGATAGGCGGTATGGTGCGGCATCTGCAGTGATGTGGGCGTTGTTCCGGTCTGTCGTGGTGAAGAGAGAGCTGAGTCAGAAGTCGAAGCTCTCGATTTACCGGGCGATCTACATTCCTGCCCTCACCATGGTCATGAGCTTTGGGTAGCGACCGAAAGAATGAGATCGCGGATACAAGCGGCCGAAATGAGTTTTCTCTGAAGAGTGGCTGGGCTCTCCCTTAAAGATAGGGTGAGGAGCTCGGTCATTCGGGAGGGGCTCTGAGTAGACCTGCTGCTCCTCCACATCGAGAGGAGCCAGTTGAGGTGGCTCGGGCATCTGGTCAGGATGCCTCTTGGACGCCTCCCTGGTGAGGTTTTCCAGGCACGTCCAACCGGGAGGAGACCTAAAGGTAGACCCAGGACACGGTGGAGGGACTATGTCTCTCACCTGGCCAGGGAACGCCTTGGGATTCCCCCGGAGGAGCTGGCCCAAGTGGGTGGGGAGAGGGAAGTCTGGGCCTCTCGCCTTAGGCTGCTGCCCCCGCGACCCGACTCGGGATAAGCAGATGAAAAATGGATGGATGGATGGAGTTTTCACACACACACACACACACACACACACACACACACACACGCACACGCACACGCACACGCACACACACACACACACACACACACACACACACACACACACACACACACACACACACACACACACACACACACACACAGAGCTCTATGGTCTTCTCAGTGGCTCCCTGCCGCAGTCACAGCGAACTCTGACCTTTTAGTGAGCTCTTCCTCCTCCTGCAGCTTCTCTGCACATCCCCTGTCCGCCCCACCTCCACCCCACCATCACCAGCAGCAGCTTTCAGCTGATGCCTGCACCTAAACAAGGAGCCTCTGGCCTGCTGCAGGCCTAAATTCACGCTGGCGAGCAAACCGTAGCAAGCTACCTGTTCCCCAGATCAAACATTCGAGTTGCAACCGTTTCTGTCACATTAGTGAAGATGTTTGTGGTCGATGCGAGCCATCCAGACGACTGTTACACAACGGCCCCTCTCTGAACTTTTAGGCTGAGCTGAAGCTTCCAAAACCAAGTTCATGCACAACTACATGTGTTGCAACCAACACAGGCGTGTTTTTGTTGTCGTTACAAAAGCATACGTGATTTTCCTCTTGCTGACGTGTTCGCGTTAACCCGATGTCTGAATCAGGTCATTAACAACGATCAAACCTCCGTCTCACAGCGTCTGCTGCAGAAGTGAAATGTTCGGTGACCACCGCTGCTGCTGCACCGAGCCTGCTTTCCTCTCAGACGCTGACGTGCATCTGCAGCGGCTGTCAGAGCCGCGGTTTGCTCTCCACACACACACGGATCTCATTCTGAACAACCCGGTGCTTCTAAATCTGTCGCTGATGGAGACCCCTTCATAGAACAATGAGTTTCTCTGCTCTCAAGCCCAACTCGTGTTCACTTTGTGATTGAAACAGGATGTGGTGTTGCTTTGTATTTCTTGTTTTCACTACAATTATGATAACCTTAAAGCATGTGATGGGGCCAGGTAGCTGCTGCTGCTGGAGGTGGAAGAAGATAGCCCCTCCACCCCACCCCCCTGCAGCAGCAGCAGCACCTTGCTCTCCATCGCGGCCCGTCCCCTCTCGCTACCTCTCACCGCTGCATGAAGCTTCCTGTCAGGCTTATAGACACTAGCTGTGGTTTTGAGTGGAAAATGTCGCTGGGCACTTAAAAGAAGACGAGAGAGAGAGAGAGAGAGAGAGAGAGAGAGAGAGAGAGAGAGAGAGAGAGAGAGAGAGAGAGAGAGAGAGAGAGAGAGAGAGAGAGTCAGAGCTCAAACGACAGACAAGAAGTGCAGAAAGACATCAAGGAGGCGGAGATTCTGCTCTTTCACTCACTGACCAGCAGCTACCAGGAATCATCATCGGGTATTTATTTACTTTTTCTACTAAGATTTAGTATTTTATATAATAAAAAAAGTATTTTGCAGTAAAAACATGAATATTTTGACTCTAATATGAAACTAAACACCAAAAGGCTTCAATTCTTGCAGGTTTTTATTAAAAGTATATAGAAGCATCGCTAAATGACTTATTATGGGCTGCTTTACGTCAGGTCTGATGATCGGGTCACGCTGACCTTTGAATCTTTATTTCAAACATTCCTGATCTTTTGCTTTCTGTTCGTTCGTGGCTGCCATTTAAACATCGTCTGTTTGGTGTATTCTCACCCGCTGCTGTCCTCTCTAAACGACGGGACGTTGGTCTGAAGTTTGGTCCTGAAGACCGCCGCCTCACTGGGAGATCTTTTGCTGAAGCTGAGGTGAGAACATGGTGTTAAAGTTCATCTACACTGCAAAAACTCATTTCTACCAAAGTAATGAAACTCATTTAACCCTTTTTTTTTTTGTTGTCTAAAAATAAAATCCAAGTAAATTTGGATTATGTTAGAAATAAATTTTCAGCGATGCTATTTTTCTAGAGATGATTTTTTAAAACAAAAAATAAGATAAAATGCCTAAAATTAGTTTTTTTTGTTTTACTTTCTTAGAAATCAGTTTTTGCAGAGTCACTAATACAACTTACACTGCAAAAATCAGACGTGTTATTGGGACAGCAGTAGCTCAGGAGGTAGAGCAGCTTGTCAAGTAGTGGGAAGGCTGCAGGTTCGATCCCGGCTCTGCTGTTGTGTCCTTGGGCAAGACACTTAACCCACCTTGCCTGCTGGTGGTCGGAGGCAGCGGTGGCTCCGGCGTACAGCAGCCTCGCCTCTGCCAGTGCGCCCCAGGTCAGCTGAGGCTACATCGTAGCTCCTCATCACCAGCATGTGAAGCGCCTTGGGGGCTTGCAGAGCCCTAAGAAGGCGCTATAGAAATTCCGACCATGCAGCGTTTGTTTTTAGTGAAAAAAGGAAATAAATTATGAAACTGTTGTGAATAGGTTTGATATTCTAGACTCAGAGTGTCGCTCTCGTCGGCTGATGAATCCAGAACTGCTGCAGAGCGTTCCTGAGCCTTTAGATGGTCTCTCAGTCTGAGACGTGTTACTGACGTAAATGCACTTTTGCACCAGATTCTCATTTTCCAGCCTCATCTGTGTGATTTGGGCCGGAGCTCCGTGAGGATGCGGTGGCCCCTCCTCCTCCTCCTCGTGGTTCTGATCCAGATGAACCGGGCTCGCTCTCACAGACATCCACCAGGTACAGACACCTTCTATGTTCACTTGCTTTGCAGGCAAATCCCCTTTTGACCATCTGTTCTGTTTTAGAAGAGCTCTTTTGTACGAATGACTTTGTCAACAACGTCAGCTGCGTTTGGACTGGCTCGTGGTCGGGTTTGGGTTCCGACTGCAGGATTTCTGGACAGAAGTATTTCTGGATCTTAAAGACAAAAAAAAAGAACTACCATTGAGTAAGTTTTGATCAATTCCTCCTCTTTTTGCTCCTTGACAAAACATCAAAGTGAAGCACTACTGCCTTGCAGCAAGAAGGTTGCAGGTTTGAATCCCGACTGCAGCTTTTCTGTAAGAAGGTTGCAGGTTTGAATTCCAAGGTTGCAGGTTTGAATCCCGACTGCAGCTTTTCTGTAAGAAGGTTGCAGGTCTGAATCCCGACTGCAGCTATTCTGTAAGAAGGTTGCAGGTTTGAATTCCAAGGTTGCAGGTTTGAATCCCAATTGCAGCTTTTCTGTAAGAAGGTTGCAGGTTTAAATCCCGACTGCAGCTTTTCTGTAAGAAGGTTGCAGGTCTGAATCCCGACTGCATCTATTCTGTAAGAAGGTTGCAGGTTTGAATTCCAAGGTTGCAGGTTTGAATCCCGACTGCAGCTTTTCTGTAAGAAGGTTGCAGGTCTGAATCCCGACTGCAGCTATTCTGTAAGAAGGTTGCAGGTTTGAATTCCAAGGTTGCAGGTTTGAATCCCGACTGCAGCTTTTCTGTAAGAAGGTTGCAGGTTTGAATTCCAAGGTTGCAGGTTTGAATCCCGATTGCAGCTTTTCTGTAAGAAGGTTGCAGGTCTGAATCCCGACTGCATCTATTCTGTAAGAAGGTTGTAGGTTTGAATTCCAAGGTTGCAGGTTTGAATCCCGACTGCAGCTTTTCTGTAAGAAGGTTGCAGGTCTGAATCCCGACTGCAGCTTTTCTGTAAGAAGGTTGCAGGTCTGAATCCCGACTGCAGCTATTCTGTAAGAAGGTTGCAGGTTTGAATTCCAAGGTTGCAGGTTTGAATCCCGACTGCAGCTTTTCTGTAAGAAGGTTGCAGGTTTGAATTCCAAGGTTGCAGGTTTGAATCCCGATTGCAGCTTTTCTGTAAGAAGGTTGCAGGTTTAAATCCCGACTGCAATTTTTCTGTAAGAAGGTTGCAGGTTTGAATTCCAAGGTTGCAGATTTGAATCCCGATTGCAGCTTTTCTGTAAGAAGGTTGCAGGTTTAAATCCCGACTGCAGCTTTTCTGTAAGAAGGTTGCAGGTCTGAATCCCGACTGCAGCTATTCTGTAAGAAGGTTGCAGGTTTGAATTCCAAGGTTGCAGGTTTGAATCCCGACTGCAGCTTTTCTGTAAGAAGGTTGCAGGTCTGAATCCCAACTGCAGCTTTTCTGTAAGAAGGTTGCAGGTTTGAATCCCGACTGCAGGTTTCTGTAAGAAGGTTGCAGGTTTGAATCCCGACTGCGGCTTTTCTGTAAGAAGGTTGCAGGTTTGAATTCCAAGGTTGCAGGTTTGAATCCCGACTGCAGCTTTTCTGTAAGAAGGTTGCAGGTTTGAATTCCAAGGTTGCAGGTTTGAATCCCGATTGCAGCTTTTCTGTAAGAAGGTTGCAGGTCTGAATCCCGACTGCAGCTATTCTGTAAGAAGGTTGCAGGTTTGAATTCCAAGGTTGCAGGTTTGAATCCCGACTGCAGCTTTTCTCTAAGAAGGTTGCAGGTCTGAATCCCGACTGCAGCTTTTCTGTAAGAAGGTTGCAGGTCTGAATCCCGACTGCAGCTATTCTGTAAGAAGGTTGCAGGTTTGAATTCCAAGGTTGCAGGTTTGAATCCCGACTGCAGCTTTTCTGTAAGAAGGTTGCAGGTTTGAATTCCAAGGTTGCAGGTTTGAATCCCGATTGCAGCTTTTCTGTAAGAAGGTTGCAGGTTTAAATCCCGACTGCAGCTTTTCTGTAAGAAGGTTGCAGGTTTGAATTCCAAGGTTGCAGGTTTGAATCCCGACTGCAGCTTTTCTGTAAGAAAGTTGCAGGTCTGAATTCCAAGGTTGCAGGTTTGAATCCCGATTTCAGCTTTTCTGTAAGAAGGTTGCAGGTTTGAATTCCAAGGTTGCAGGTTTGAATCCCGACTGCAGCTTTTCTGTAAGAAGGTTGCAGGTCTGAATCCCGACTGCAGCTTTTCTGTAAGAAGGTTGCAGGTCTGAATCCCGACTGCAGCTATTCTGTAAGAAGGTTGCAGGTTTGATTTCCAAGGTTGCAGATTTGAATCCCGACTGCAGCTTTTCTGTAAGAAGGTTGCAGGTTTGAATTCCAAGGTTGCAGGTTTGAATGCCGACTGCAGCTTTTCTGTAAGAAGGTTGCAGGTTTGAATTCCAAGGTTGCAGGTTTGAATCCCGATTGCAGCTTTTCTGTAAGAAGGTTGCAGGTTTGAATTCCAAGGTTGCAGGTTTGAATCCCGACTGCAGCTTTTCTGTAAGAAGGTTGCAGGTCTGAATCCCGACTGCAGCTTTTCTGTAAGAAGGTTGCAGGTCTGAATCCTGACTGCAGCTATTCTGTAAGAAGGTTGCAGGTTTGAATTCCAAGGTTGCAGGTTTGAATCCCGACTGCAGCTTTTCTGTAAGAAGGTTGCAGGTCTGAATCCCGACTGCAGCTTTTCTGTAAGAAAGTTGCAGGTCTGAATCCCGACTGCAGCTATTCTGTAAGAAGGTTGCAGGTTTGATTTCCAAGGTTGCAGATTTGAATCCCGACTGCAGCTTTTCTGTAAGAAGGTTGCAGGTTTGAATTCCAAGGTTGCAGGTTTGAATGCCGACTGCAGCTTTTCTGTAAGAAGGTTGCAGGTTTGAATTCCAAGGTTGCAGGTTTGAATCCCGATTGCAGCTTTTCTGTAAGAAGGTTGCAGGTTTGAATTCCAAGGTTGCAGGTTTGAATCCCGACTGCAGCTTTTCTGTAAGAAGGTTGCAGGTCTGAATCCCGACTGCAGCTTTTCTGTAAGAAGGTTGCAGGTCTGAATCCTGACTGCAGCTATTCTGTAAGAAGGTTGCAGGTTTGAATTCCAAGGTTGCAGGTTTGAATCCCGACTGCAGCTATTCTGTAAGAAGGTTGCAGGTCTGAATCCCGACTGCAGCTTTTCTGTAAGAAGGTTGCAGGTCTGAATCCCGACTGCAGCTATTCTGTAAGAAGGTTGCAGGTTTGAATTCCAAGGTTGCAGGTTTGAATCCCGACTGCAGCTTTTCTGTAAGAAGGTTGCAGGTTTGAATTCCAAGGTTGCAGGTTTGAATGCCGACTGCAGCTTTTCTGTAAGAAGGTTGCAGGTTTGAATTCCAAGGTTGCAGATTTGAATCCCGATTGCAGCTTTTCTGTAAGAAGGTTGCAGGTTTGAATTCCAAGGTTGCAGGTTTGAATCCAGACTGCAGCTTTTCTGTAAGAAGGTTGCAGGTCTGAATCCCGACTGCAGCTTTTCTGTAAGAAGGTTGCAGGTTTGAATTCCAAGGTTGCAGGTTTGAATCCCGACTGCAGCTATTCTGTAAGAAGGTTGCAGGTTTGAATCCCGACTGCAGCTTTTCTGTAAGAAGGTTGCAGTTTTGAATTCTGACTGCAGCTTTTCTGTAAGAAGGTTGCAGGTTTTGTCCCACAGACCAAAAGCAACCCTGCTGGGATTCCTGGTGACTCCTGGGTGTGAGGGATAGGGTTAGAGGTCGTCTCTGTGTGTCCCTGTGTTGGACTGGAGACCTGTCCAGGCTGTCCCTTCCTCTGATGATTGCCGGAGTTAGACACCAGCTCCCCGTGATCATACTGAGGATAATAAACGGATCTTGTTTTTGTTGTTTTAGTGAGGACTGCACAGTGCACCAACAGGAAAACTCTCCTCCGGGCTGCAGTTTTGTTTTTGCACAAACCGTAAGTCTGCAGCTTTTATCGGTGACTGTCTGATTCCTCTTCTCATCCGAATGGTTTGTTGACTCCCTGCAGAAGTTCTCCGGCTCCGATGTGATCCCGAACATCAACATGACGTGTGACGGCCGACTCATACAGAACCTCACAGAATACCGTCCAAGGGATCACAGTGAGCTTTGTTTACTTTTTCTCGGGTGTTTGACACAATCTTCCAGAGATAAAAATGTGCATTTATTTAACTTTTATGGAAATTGGTCACCTTTCAATCATGTAATGAAGGAAAGGCAAAACCGTCTCTTCTCCCTGTGGTTTTGTGTGTTTACAGTTAAAATGCATCCTCCAGAGGCTCCCCGCATCAACAGAACCGTCAACGACACCTGGATCTCCTGGAATCTCACGGGTCCCGTCTCCGACTTGTTCAGATCAGAGTTTGACTTCATAGTTCAGGTCAAACGGAGCGACCAGTCTTGGGCGGTGAGCATGCAGATGCACAACTCCGTGTTTCAGGAGATTAACGAGTAGATCATCTTCCATCTGTGGACGAATAATCAGAAGTAACTGGTGATGGATGAAATGACCACCTGGTCCTCAGAGGCTGCTGAGGGGCTGAGACGGTCAGCCTGGTTCTGGCTCTGTTGTAGATCAGTGATCCAGGTGCAACATTAAAGGTGTGTCAGGAAACCTGCGGGTCCATGGAGGGGGTGAGGTTTGTGTTTGTGGGTGAAGACGACGAGTGGAGGAAACTTTAGTTGGTTCCTTGATCTGAACCTTCAATAGATTCAAGGGTCTGTTTAGACTTCAGTCATGTTTAATCAACACATTCTCACTCCCAGCACGTCAAAAACAAACGCTTGGTCAGCCACCCTCCGCCTCAGACCCTTGACACCAAAAGTGCCCTTTTTCGTTACTTATGTGCGAAAAGGGGGTTTTCCCTTTTCTGACTGCAGATCCCAATGCAGTGTTGTCCGCAGCCAGGGCACCAAACAAGCTCATTGTACCTCACCTTAACCTCGTCTCGTCTCGTCTTCCTCCGCTTATCCGGGTCCGGGTCGCGGGGGCAGCATCCCAACTAGGGAGCTCCAGGCCGTCCTCTCCCCAGCCTTGTCCACCAGCTCCTCCGGCAGGACCCCAAGGCGTTCCCGGACCAGATTGGAGATGTAACCTCTCCAACGTGTCCTGGGTCGACCCGGGGGCCTTCTGCCGGCAGGATATGCCCGAAACACCTCCCCGGGGAGGCGTCCAGGAGGCATCCTGACCAGATGCCCAAACCACCTCAACTGGCTCCTTTCGATCCGGAGGAGCAGCGGTTCTACTCCGAGTCCCTCCCGAATGTCCGAGCTCCTCACCCTATCTCTAAGGCTGAGCCCGGCCACCCTACGGAGGAAACTCATTTCGGCCGCTTGTATCCGCAATCTCATTCTTTCGGTCATTACCCAAAGCTCATGACCATAGATGAGGATTGGGACGTAGATCGACCGGTAAATCGAGAGCCTGGCTTTCTGGCTCAGCTCCCTCTTCCCCACGACAGATTGGCTCAGCGTCCGCATCACTGCAGACGCCGAACCAATCCGCCTGTCGATCTCCCGATCCCTCCTACCCTCACTCGTGAACAAGACCCCGAGATACTTAAACTCCTCCACTTGAGGTAGGACCTCTCCCCCGACCCGGAGGTGGCAAGCCACCCTTTTCCGGTCGAGAACCATGGTCTCAGATTTGGAGGTGCTGATCCTCATCCCAGCCGCTTCACATTCGGCCGCGAACCTACCCAGCAAGAGCTGAAGGTCAGAGCTGGATGAAGCTAGGAGGACCACATCATCCGCAAAAAGCAGAGACGAGATTCTCCTGCCACCAAACTCGACACACTCCACACCACGGCTGCGTCTAGAAATTCTGTCCATAAAAGTGATGAACAGAACCGGTGACAAAGGGCAGCCCTGGTGGAGTCCAACCCTCACTGGGAACAGGTCCGACTTACTACCGGCTATGCGGACCAAACTCACGCTCCTCTGGTAAAGGGACTGAATGGCCCTTAACAGAAAGCCACCCACCCCATACTCCTGGAGCGTCCCCCACAGGGTGCCCCTGGGGACACGGTCATAAGCCTTCTCCAAATCCACAAAGCACATGTGGATTGGTTGGACAAACTCCCATGCCCCCTCCATCACCCTTGCAAGGGTATAGAGCTGGTCCACAGTTCCTCGGCCAGGACGAAAACCACATTGCTCCTCCTCTATCTGAGATTCAACTATCGATCGGACCCTCCTCTCCAGTACCTTGGAGTAGACCTTTCCAGGGAGGCTGAGGAGTATGATCCCCCTATAGTTGGAACACACCCTCAGGTCACCCTTCTTAAAGATGGGGACCACCACCCCGGTCTGCCACTCCCTAGGAACTGCCCCCGATGACCACGCAATGTTGTAGAGACGTGTCAACCATGACAGCCCTACAACATCCATAGCCTTGAGATACCCAGGACGAACCTCATCCGCCCCCGGGGCTCCGCCGCTGTGTAGTTGTTTGACTACCTCAGCAACTTCTGCCCCCGAGATCGGACAGTCCATCCCCAGGCCTCCCAGCTCTGGTTCCTCCTCGGAATGCGCACTGGTGGGATTGAGGAGCTCCTCAAAGTATTCCTTCCACCGTCCGACTATAGCCTCAGTTGACGTCAGCAGCTCCCCATCCCCACTGTAAACAGTGTGAGCGGGTTGCTGCCTTCCTCTCCTGAGGCGCCGGACAGTTTGCCAGAACCTCTTTGGAGCCGATCGATAGTCTTTCTCCATGGCCTCACCAAACTCCTCCCACGCCTGAGATTTTGCCTCGGCAACTGCCACTGCTGCACCCCGCTTGGCTATCCGTTACCTGTCTGCTGCCTCCGGAGACCCACAGACCAGCCACGCCCTGTAGGCCTCCTTCTTCAGCCTGACGGCTCCCCGAACCTCTGGTGTCCACCAGCGGGTACAGGGGTTGCCACCACGACTGGCACCGGCCACCTTACGACCACAGCTAGCAACAGCCGCCTCGACAATCGCAGACAATCCTCACCTTAACCTTATCCTCTTATTTAACCTTCCCCTCACCCCTATCCTAACCTTAACCATCTTGCCAGCGAACACGTTAGTGATGTGTCTGTCGCTCTAAAAGCCGGCTCTATGAAGCGAACGGCGGGAGCCGCCTCGTCATTGGTCGAGTTTGGACCGAGCCAACGCGAGGGGGAGGTTTCAGCTACCACGGTGGAGGTTAGAAGTAGAGGGTATTTGTAACATCCCCCTCGCCAGATGGTATGTTCTAACGTTCCCCTTGGGCGGCAAATACCAAAATTCAGTCAGAATGCATGGGAAACAGACGCTTGATCACAGTGAGAGTAACGCTTTAGGTAGCAAGAGGGTTAAGGTTAGGATGAGGGAGAGGGGAAGGTTATAAATAGTGAAACGTTAAGGTTTAGGTGCGGTTAAATGAGCTGGTTCGGTGCCGCATCAGCGGATATCTCATCACGTCAGTTTTGCGCTGCATTGGGATCTGCTGTTACAAAAGGGAAAAAAACCTTTTCGCACATAAGAATGGAGAAAGGGCACTTTTGGCGTCAGGGGTCTGACGTGGAGGGTGGCTGACCAAGCATTTGTTTTTGGGAGTGAGAATGTGTTGGTTTAATCCCAGAGCTTTTCTCCTAATCCTCTCATCTGTCCGACTCATTATCTAAGCCGATTATCCCTCGGCGGGGTCCCGGACTGCTGGTGTCTAACTCCATCCAAGGGCATCTGTTTGGTTTTTAATACAGCAGAGAACAAGAACCATAAACTAGAGTGTGGTTTGGAGATTGCTGGGCAGAATTATTATATGTAAGTTTTCATTAATTGACACTTTTTTACAATATGCTGTACTGTTTCTTCAAAGGGGTTGAAAATGTGATCAATACTCAGTTAATAAAAGTTAAAGACCAGGTTCACTCACTTTTTCAGTGGTCTCTTATACATTTGTGCCATTTCATTTGTTTTCTGTGGGAAAAACCTCTGACGCTCCTGTTTCAGGAAGTAGAAGTGAACCAGAGGAAAGGTGAGAAGCAGACGGCAGGTTTTACTTCCTGATGTTCAGACATCTCTCCTCTGATTGGCTAACAGCAACATAACTCCACCACTGACTCAGCTTGCTCTGCAATGTTGATATTTTATCTCCACAAATAACACAAGCCTGGAGGAGTTCTGCCATGTTAAAGTCCCATTTAGTCGTCACACACACACAGGTGTGTGGTGAAATTTATTCTCCGCATTTGACCCATCCCCTGGGGGAGCGGTGAGCTGCAGACAAGCCGTGCTCGGGAACTATTTGGTGGTTTAACCCCCCAATTCAACCCCTTAATGCTGAGTGTCAAGCAGGGAGGCATTGGGTCCCATTTTTTCAAAGTCTTTGGTATGACCCGACCAGGAGTCGAACCCCTGATCTCCCGATCTCAGGGCGGACACTCTACCACTAGGCCACTGAGTCGGTATGTGGTGGAGTTGCTAATGCTAACTGAGCTTCTACTAGCCGAGACGTCCTCTGCTGTTTCCTGGACACAAAAACAACAACAGCTTTCCCTGATCCAGGAACTTCAACATCTCACTGGACGTTTTCCACGGTGGAAACACTCAACCTGAAACACTGAAAGGAGTAAAGTGTTCAGGACGTCTCTGCCTGCAACAGTCGGATGTTCGATAACTGATCCGATTTTTTGTGAAGATGCTTCTTAATCTTAATCTTCTTAATCTTCCTAATCTTTTCCTTTGTTAAATTGTCTCCCACTTCTAGGAGTCCATGAATTTGTCTTCACATGAGCAGAACCTAAAATTACCTGTTTGGGATCTAAAGGGCCTCCTGGAGATCAGAGTAAAAGTCAGACCTGTGAACAGAAACAATAGCCACTGGAGCGACTGGAGCCCAACAACATCCTGGGAGGGAGAAATGGACAACAACACTCAACATGGTAGAAATGATTGTTTTATCAGTGCATTCAAAAGCTAGCTTGTTCTGTAGATTTGCTATTGCAGCTTTAACCGCTGATAGACAATAGACAGGAGAAGGGTTGGATTAGAAAAGCCAGTGACTACTTGTCATATTGTCAAATTAGTATTCATGGGCTCAGCCAACCTGGCTCGTGACGAGGAAGGCGGTTGTAGATTTAGCATCCAGGGGAGAGCAGAGCACGTCTTGGCTAGTTGAAGCTAACTGCAACTTTAGAGTATACCAGCCATTCTGGGATTCTCCAGAACTCACAGATGACCTAGATACCCCTGGCAGAAGTGGTCCATGGTGCTAGGCTTTCCACAGTTGTGTGGTGGAAGGAACCCTTTGAGGAACTCCTTAATCCCACTGACACATATTCCAAAGAGGAACCAGAGCTCGAGGACCTAGAAATGGATCAACCAATCAAATCGCTGAAGCAGTCAAACATCAATGCAGTGGCAGCGCTCCAGGTGTTGATGGGGTCCATCTCGGGTTCCTTGAGGCTGTTGTGGGACTGTCTAGGTAAACACGCCTCGGCAACACTGCATAGACATACGGGTTGGTGCCTGTAGAGTGGCAGACTGGGGTGGTGGTTCTCAGGAGACCAGAGGGTGTGTTCCAACTACAGGAGGATCACACTTCTCAGCCTCTCTGGAAAGTTCTGCTCCAAAGTGTTGGAGAGGAGGGTCTGGTCGACTGTTGAATCAATGTGATTTTTGTCTGCTGTGGAACCGTGGACCAGCTCTTTACACTTGCTAGGGTGCTGGAGGGGGTAAGTCTGCCCAACTTGTGTGTTTTGTGGATCTGGAGAAGGTTTATGACCATGTCCAAGGAGGCACTCTGTGGGGGGCATAGGGTGGATGGCCCATCATTCAGTCTCTGTACAAAAAGAGTGTGAGTCTGTTCAGTATTGCTGGCAGTAAGTTGGACTTGTTCCCGGTTAGGACTGGACTCCACCCGGGCAGTAGTTTGCCACCGGTTCCAATCTTTGTCCACCGGGACAGAATTTCTAGGCACAGCCATTGAGTGGAGGCTGTCGAGTTTGGTGGCAGGAGATCTTTTTGCAGACGATGTGGTCCTTCTGCCTCCATCAAACTGTGACCTTCATCTCTTGTTGAAGAGGTTTGCAGCCGACTATGAAGCAGCTGAGATGAGGATCAGCACCTCCAAATCTGAGGTCATGGTCCTCGGTCGAAAAACGGCAGACGGCCAACTCCGGTGCAGGCCAGAGGTCCTACCTCAGGTGCAGGAGTTTTATTCGTGAGTGAGGGAAAGAAGGTAGCGGGATAACGTCGGGAATCAAGACAGCGTCTGCAGTGATGTGGAAGCCAAACCAGTCTGCTGTGGGAAAGAGGGAGCTAAGCCAGAAAGCAAAGCTCTCAATTAACTGGCTGATCTTTGTCCTGAACCTCACTGATGGTCGTGAGCTTTGAGAAGTGACAGAAAGAACAAAAGCATGGATACAAGCAGCTGAAATGAGTTGTTATTAGCTTGTATTTCAGTAATCGCTACCAATTAACCCTCCCGCTGTCTTTATGGGTGACCCCGTGAGGAAAGTTGACCATTGAGCAGGATTGATGGTTTATCCCTTGAGGTCCATGTGGCAGAGGTGAGGTGGTGCTCACTCCTCACCCCTGCCACGTGGACCTCAAGGGATAAACCATAAATCCTGCTCAATGGTCAACTTTCCTCGCGAGGTCACACCCATTAGGACAGTGGGAGGGTTAAAAACAAACTCTGTACAACGCAGAACTGCCAACATTTACTATCCAAGAATCAGTTTGCCGAAACAAAAGGACGGTCTAGCCACGCTCTATTGGAACCTCCACAGCCCCTGGCCAATCACAGCACTCTATCAGTTTGGTTTGCGTCTTCTTTGACAGTGTATGGCAGACTCCCCCGTTCACTGACATTCGTAGCGGTCCAATCACAGCTCTCTGTTTGTGGGTGGGATTTTACTGCAACTGAGTGGAAAAAACAAAGATGGTGACGGCTCATTTGACGGCTTAGGCATCAACTTTGGGCAGTTCTGACTTGGGCTTTTCTTTGAGTCAAGTGCAGATAGAGGTACTTGAGTTCATTTAGAAAAAGGAAGCATTTGCATCTTTGACCGAGTATGGCGGACTGCCCGGTTGACTGTCATCTGTAGCGGCGAGGAAGTCACGTTGTTTGTTGCCCAGCAGCAGCAGAGAAAGTTTGAAAGACAACCGTAGACCCCGCTCCACCACTGAGAGCCGTCAATGGGCCGTGTCCAGACTATATATTCCCATACATAGGATGGCTTGCCAGTTTACCGTTTTTAGTGTGGAAATGGGAAAATATATATATGGAGTGATTTGGTCCTGGTGGTCGTGTGTTCGGTTTCATCCCAGCATTAAACAAGGTTATCTGTGTGTTTCAGACTGGATTTCTCTGACGCTGATAGAAATCTTTCTTGTTCTCATATTTGTTGTTGTTGTTCTGATTCTTTATAAGAGCTTCAGGACTTGCAGGTGAGCTTCATACTGACCTAGTTCATGTCTCTATATGTTGCAGCCGGACTAATACCACACTTGCTCTGTCTCAGGCACCTCGAAGATAAACCAGTACCAAACCCCTCCAAGTTTTTCAAAAACCTCAACGAAGAAGACCTGAAGGTAATCTCTGGTTGCAGCTCTGGACCTCCATCCTCTTTTGGTCCAGGACCATATTACAACTATCCAATCAGGCTGCAGTGATGTCATATCTCCGTGACTCCAGGAAGAAGCAAAGAATACACTATGGCTGTGTCTCAATTCAGGGTCTGCATCCTTCGAAGGACCCAGTCTACTCGGCCGACGTGGGCTGGGTCCTCCGTCAGCCGAGTAGACCGGATGTTAACGGCTGTGAATTTGGACAGGCCTAGCCTTCATGAATTCCCTCGGCGAACGTTCCGTCGCCTAGCAACCGTGGAACCGCTGAGCAGAAGGGAGAAGGAACTTTAAACGATGGAGCTCGAAGTTTTATTTAGCTTTTTAATCATTTCCTTGACTGTTGGAGAGCTAATTCTGAGGAAATACTTTCGACAAGCTGAGCCTGAGCAAAGATGTGATAATAGTTTTTAATACTTTCTAAGGGCCTCAATTTGACCAAAACCGATTTATCACCTTTTAAGACTTTAAGACCCAGCAGATACCCTCTAGTAAACAATTCTCATTTGTAAGCAAAAATAAAATTCAAGAGTTTAATGCAGAACTGATTTTATTTAGATATTTCTTTTATATGTACATGTTTAATCTTTATTAACCATTTTTTTCTAGCAAGCCTGTCAAAAATCTCCCTTCTCTCCTGGGCCCTCTGCTGCTCTGCCTCCCTCTGCAGCCTCATGTCCTCCCTGATCAGCTCCAGAAGCTGGTCATCGCTGTCACCTTCCCCTGGACGCCCATTTTCTCCAGAATAGTCTTAACAAACATGTAAGAAAAGAAACAGGAAGAGAAAAGAGGACAACGGGTTATTCCTTTCATGTTTTCGCAGAAAAAAATGAACTGAAACTAGTTTTTAAAATATGAGATGTTATTGTACCTCCATGCCACAGCCGCCAAATACTTTGCTCCAGTGATCATGTGGTCCATCTCCGCCCTAAGCTTAATACATTCCCTGGTTTTCTCTTTTGTCCCTAAAATACAAACTCCTATTAAAATCAGGGGGAAAACGTAGCGGGAGAAGTACAACTCCGAGCGGCCGAACATACGAGCCGAGACCGCAATACAAGCACTTCTACTGTAACATTTCTAACTAAAATAACATTCATGTATCACAAAAAGCCCTTAACCTAACAGTTTTCAAGTTTATACTGACATTTATATGTGCAATCCTCTCCAACAGCTCCCGCTTCGCTGTCCGCCATTGTTTTTAAAAGTTTTTCTGCCGGCCAGCCCGCAAGGCATCTTGGGAAATGCTACCTATTGAAGGATACACCGGACCCATCCTTCATTCAGGCGAAAAGAAGGCCGGATTCGTCGACCGCATTTGAAGGAGTCTTCGAATTGGGACAGGCCTAGTCGCGGCGCTGTGACGTAACCGGCCGACGAATCCGGCCGACGAAGGATGCAGACCCTGAATTGAGACACAGCCTCTATCAGCTCCGTTGGTTTATGCCAGCTCAGTGGTTTAGGTTAGCGGGGCTAGCTAGCCCGACGCTGCTCCTGGGTCAGGATTAATCTACAGAAAATAAACATGGCGTCATGTTGTGCACCGCTGGATGCAACATTTGGTTCATATGCATCAGCTGGCAGGTGTGGCTCTATAATTATGGGTCTATTTTAATGCATAACGGTTGTTTCTGTTTTCTGTGGCTTTTCTCTTTAGCGGCACCTGTGTCGTGAAGTGGAAATGTTAGGTGCACAGTTGAGTGCCGAAGCATCAATAGTACGTTTAATGGTTCTGATTTTCTTCTCCTATAGAAATGGCTGAATCCCCTGTCAGCGCCTGAATCCTTCATCGTGGCCCCGCCCTGTGATATCTCACCTGTAGACGTGTGTGAGAGTGGGGGGGCAGGGGTACCCTCTCCTTCCTCATCCTACAGCTACACCAACGCTCTGCTCCATTCCAAGAACCCCTCCTCCTATGCCTCTGACTCCAGCGGCATCGTCGACAACTCCTCCTCCTTGTCCAGCTTCTCCAACATGGGCTACTTTATGTCCAGCTCCTCCAGTGGCTCTGCTGGAACCAACCCCAACCCGGCCTACTTCCTCTACCACGACCTGCCCGACAATCACATCCATCACCCCTCCTTGTTTGACGAGTTCTCCTCTGGCACTGGCTACGAGAGTCTGAAGAGGGAGCCAGAGAGCCCAGACTCCGGTTTTGGCATCATGGAGGACGATGACAAGGACACCTGTCCAGAACACACGGATGTTGTGAATAATCCAAGTTCACACTTTCTCCTCCTTCCTCTGAATTTCCCTATGTGTTCGATCATTTCCTCCTCTCCAGCTCCTCCTCCGAGTCCCCCTCCTGGGGCTCAGATCTCCGACAGTGAGGAGGAGCATGTGTTTGAAACTGCAGCTGCTGGAAGCACCGCCTCCATGTGCAGGTCCTCCTCCATGCCCACAGAACCCTTTAAGAGTGACTACATGACCCTGAAAGAGCTGCAGGCGACATTCAGCAACAAATCTATCTGAAAACGGACGTTAGTCACAAAGACTTTAAAAACTCTAAACAGCTTGTGGAGCTCAACCTCCTTTTTTCATGTTTCACGTTCTTCTTTTTAAACAAAAGAAGAAAAACCTGCTTGCTGCAAACTTCAAAGACACGTAACTAACATAACTGACTTTTACTCATGGATCCTTCTTTAAATTTTCAGGTTTGTCAAACTAAATCACAAAGCGAAAATAAAAAAATGTCCGGCTTAACGAGACACACCAGTGAAAACAAAACTGCACAGGTGAAACTACAATAGTTAGAACATCATTCACATCTGAAAAGGGTTCCCGAGCCTTTAAATGGTCTCGCAGTCACACTTTTACACCGTACTATAATTGTTTAATTTTCACCTGCAAGGCAGTTTTGCTCATTTTAGTGAAACGGGTTAATTTGACTAATAAATCTAATCTTATTTATAATCTAAATTAGCTTTATAAGAAAAGTTCGTTTTAGCGTAGCATTGCACTTTAATCAACATTAGCTATGTTAGCAAAAAAAAAAGTACAAATTGGCTTAACTGATAAATCAAATCTCATTAGATGTACTAATGAAGATAACCATAACCTATTTAGTCACATTTATGAGTTTATTATTGGGTATTTTTGAATAAAAAGCCAATTTTATTAGATTAGGTGAACTAATAAATGTAATCTCATTAGTTTCTGGAAGGAAGTTTCCCTCCTTTTTTCCTTGTGAAGCTTTGTAAATGTTAGCTTTGTTAATAAAGTTTTTAACGCTAGCTAATACCTTTCTTAGAGAAAAGCTCATTTTACTAAAGATTAACTTTACTAATAAGGCAAATGAAATAACTTCATCAACAAAGTTAAACTCAGTAAAGGTTAGCTGTTCTAATAAAGCTGTAATGACCTTTTTTTTTTTTTTACTAATAAATCATTAAAATTACTAAAATTGATCTAAGATTGAAAAGCTAAACAACAGCAACATAGAAACAAGTTCCTCTAAAGCTTTGGAGAAATAACATCACAAGTCCTGTTTTCACTTCATTAATTAAAATTAAAGTTGGTTTTGAACAATTAGCTTCTTACTTTTGTAGATTTCGGAACATTCAAAGTTTTCCAACCATTCCAGTGTTTTTAATTGGAGAAGACATTCAGATCAGGTCTCTTGTTTTTGGAGATGATGTGGTCCTGTTGGCTACATCAGAGCGTGAGCCAAGCGTGAAGCGGCTTGGATGAGAATCAGCTCCCCTAAATCCAAGACCATGGCCTTGAGTCAAAAAGGTTTGAGTGCCTTCTCCGGGTCAGGGACGATGTCATGCCTTAAGTGGATGAGTTTAAGTACCTCAGGGTCTTGTTCACGAGTGAGAGAATGGTGGAGCGTGAGATCGACAGGTGGATTGGTGCTGTGTCTGCAGTGATGCGGGTGTTATACCGGTCTGTCGTGGTGAAGAGACTGCTGAGCCGGAAGGCGAAGCTCCCGATTTACCGTCAATCTACGTTCCTACCCTCACCTATGGTCACGAGCTTTGGGTAGGGACATAAAGAACAAAATTATAGATACAAGCGGCTCAAATTAGTTTTCTCCGCAGTGTGACTGGGCTCTCCCTTGGAGATAGGGTGAGAAGCCAGGACGGGCTTGGAGTAGATCCGCTGCTCATTTACATCGAGAGGAGCTAGCTGAGGTGGCTCAGTCCTCTGGTTAGGATGCTCCCTGGATGCCTCCTTGGTGAGGTTTTCTGAGCACATCAAACCGAAAGGAGACCTAAAGTAAGACCCACACTGGTTTCCCCTAGCTGGCTGGGAACGCCTTATGATTACCGCCTGACGAGCTGGCCCACGTGGCTGGGAAGAGGGAGGTCTGGGTCTCTGCTCAGGCTGCTCCCCTCCATGACCCAACCTTGGTAAAGCAGAAGAAAACAGATAAGATACATTTTTCTTTAGAAATCACATTTTAGGGACCGTGGAAGTTGTAAGATTACATGATTTTGTATTTTTACAGGCTCTGCTGTGACTAGCCATTAGCCTGTCAATCGGATCAGAACTGATCTGTTTCTTGATACGAGGCTATTCGAAGAGCTAACAGGTAGGAGACTAATTGTTCATGATCTTTCCAAACAACCCGAGATCTAAACTATAAATGTTTTAATTCTCCTGTCACAGTAAAGGAAGAGTCTGTATATTTATCAGTCTAAAACAACAAAGCTAATCAACTTTTTTAATTAAACCGTGCTTGTGGCAACTGAGTTTTCTGTTGCTTATCATCTTTAGAAGCAAACACGCAGCAAAAGCACCAAGTAGTTTCATTTCGCAATGCAATTCTTTGCCAAAACACGTATTTTCTGTACTCTGATTGTGTAAATGGTGACAAGATTTGCACTATGTTGCTTTAGAGTTGATCCTGGAGAGACGTGAGCATGTGAGGGCAGCGTTCTGTGTGGAGTGGAAGTCAGAGAGACAGTTAGGCCTTGCATGAGTTTATTTTTATCCAAATGGATATGAGCATGGCAGCTGTTTTATAATCTACATACAGGTGTGTGTGTGTGTGCGCGCGTGTGCATGTGTGCGTGAATGCATGCATGCGTGTGTGTGTTAGCCTCTGCAGATTATCATTCTATTAAAAAAATGTTAAAATAAATCTGTAACTTGTACAATTTTTCTGAATAAAGAATTATGTTTCAGCCTCATCTAGCATAATAAGTCAAAAACGTGTGTGTGTGTGTGTGTGTGTGTGTGTGTGTGTGTGTGTGTGTGTGTGTGTGTGTGTGTGTGTGTGTGTAGACCAAACAAAGTGAGAGCTCTGTTGGAAATGGGTCACCTTTGTGACTTCCTGTGTCGTTGTGGAGTGAGGGCTGAGGCGTGTGTTTCTTGATACGTGTGTGTGTGTGTGTGTGTGTAGGTGTGTTTACATGTCCTGTCAGGTGGTCCTGGTGGTGTATGTGTGAGGGAGCGTTCATATTAGAATGTGGTTTGACATTTAACTCTGACACAACCAGCGACATCCGCTGAATTTACGACATTCATCCAAGTCAGACAGAAAACATCCCACATGCTACTTCAGCGTAAAACAGCTGTTTGAACTGAAACTGTCAAACGTTTTGATTTTAAAAATGCTGATGAATCATTTATTTCTCCAGCAGGAATGAAAGCCTGAGTCTTTACTCCGTGTTCTCCTGTTTCTCTGGTTTCCCCCATGAGGCTAAAAGTTCTGTTCATCTAAAGGATCTGAGCACAGAATCATTCCAGACTTAGTTTGGACACAAAGACTGTCCCCTTAAAAGCCTGAACACAAATCTTTTATTTTATGTTACATTTAATTCACCTAAACCTTGTAACGGAATGAAATGACTGTTTTCCACCTAAAAGTCATTTTCCCCTCTCCTCTGACACAGAACTAGTCTGCATGAGATATGGCCTCAAGGTCACATGCATTTGTTCTAAACTGCTTCCTTTCCAGCCCAAGAGAAGAATGAAGAAAAGGACTCTCTCTTTTTAATAAATCAAAGAACTCTATTTTAATAAGCTAATCAAACAAAGTGTTAGTCAATAATAAGGTGTGAACCAATTTGTGAAATCAAAATATAAATTACTTTATTATAATCCTATAGAATATAATAAGTAATATAACTTTAAATGTTCCACTAGGACTGATCTCACGTAGCGTTAAAAGACATGACACATTGCTTTTACCGATCCAATCAGAATCTGCCAGATCTGACGGAGGCGTGGTTTTATTGGTGCTTGGTAAATCTGTCATCTTTTCATTCGACCATAAACCAAAAGATCCGAAGTATAAAACTATGCCCACGTCATCTTTAACGCCAGTTCAAAGCGTTCTAGAGAGGTTATCGGAGTGGCCAATCCGTAACTTTCATCTTCAGCCGAAAGAACCAATAACAAGCTGGAAAACCTGTTGCCGTTCCACCTGTTGCAACGGTTCCTTTCAGAATAAAAGCTGAACATCACGACCCCGTTTTGGGTCTTGTTAGATGCCGATAAACTGTCGTGACCCAGAAGTATCTCAAAGACTGGACTGGTCGGCTGCCCCGGCTGTTCTACAAGCTTCGGCTCCAAAGGTCCAAGCTGGACCTTTACACCTCCTGATCTAGACGGGGACTTCCACCAGGGTACGTAGACCGACTGAATGGCGTCAAATGTGTTTATGAATCTCCTAATCAAAGCTTAGCGCGAAGACATCACCTTCACTCCCATCAGAACTAATCGTTTCTCCGGATTTGCTGGTTCTGAGCAAAATTCCACACTACACCATTCTCCGTCTCGCTTCACCTTAGTAACACCATACATTTAGTGTTAAAGTTAGTCTAGTTTTAATTTGTTTAGTAATAAATCTTTAAACTTTTAAAACTTGACTCTCTTCTGTTGTCTCTCAGTCAATACAAAGTGTTTCATAATCCCTGCAATAAAAAGTTCCAATCTTCTGGTTAAAAGTACCCAAAGGTCCATCAGATTGATTCCATATTTCCTATAGAATCTCTTGTCTCATGGTCATTAAATAACATGTAAATCAACCCTTTACAGAATGGCGAGCCATTTTGCCAGATATTTGTACATTTTTGACACTTTGTGCTCATTCTGAGACATTTTTAAACAGTCAAACACTTCAAACTTGATGTTTCTGGTTGAAAATGGGGCAATCTCGTAATCCACCACTAGAGCCCCAGACCCCCCCCCCCCCCCCCCCCCCCCCCCCGGCAGGAGGCACTGATTCATCTCCTCACCTAAGGCTGACGTCACCTCCACCCATATTGGAGCTTCTACCACGAAGAGCAGATTTCTCCTGCTGTCATCTTTCATGTAAATACATGTTTTTATGTCTTTTCTGAGTGTTTTGTGACACTGTGTACTTTTCTTGCATACGGAGATAAAAGAATTTCTCCACCGGAAGTTCGCTTCCCCGATTGCCGTTTGATCACTGGTAAATCTGCCCGTAGCTTGACTAGCACTGAATTGCAACAGTCTTATAAGCTTTTAAAACGGAAGAGCGTCGCTGCAGCACGAATTGCACATGCTAATTAATCCGAAATATTAACACAAATGAGTCACGGATGTTCGGTTATTTGGACTGGTCAGTTCTACGACAGAAGTAGACCGCAAAGCACTGTTTAGCTGACAGGCTCCGCTAGCTTAGCACAGCCAGCTGCTAACTAGTAAACTTGGTTTAGACAGTCGGTATACGCATTCCCGACAACCTGTCAAGCCGTCTGACGCAGCACTCTGTTTCTTAAAATCCGCTACCCACCAAGGGACAAACTCCGATATCATTCGAGTAGTTTTAGCGGCGTTTTTAACACTTTCGGTGTGAGAAACGTACTTTCGGTTAGCCATTTGTGCTAACCGCCAGTTGGAGGTACAGTGCATGCACACACGTGCCGCCATCTTGCGTGGTAAGCTCACGCAACCTCTCAGACAGCCATAGTGGTACGGTCTGCCGAGTGACATCTCTGGGTCATTACAGAAACTGTTCTGTCCTGAATGTCTGACGCTATATAGGCTAATGGTGAGCGTCGCTCTTTTGAAATTGCAAAACATTTAGCAAAAAAGAAAGACGAATCACCTACATTATATCACTTTTATGGGTTTATTTAAAAAAATCATGCATAACTCCTGAAAGAGCAAAGTTTCCATATAGTAGCTTTAAACAAATGTGTCCTTTCGTGAAATAAATGGCATTTAATTTACTAAGCAGCATGATTTTTTTTCATTTTACAACTTAATAGAAACAAAATGGGGATTTTTGAAATATTACAACTAATCACATGATTAGTGTTTAAGGAAGAGGGGAAAAAATTCTGACTTTTCTTTCTGGATTCTGAGAAAAGGGGAACTTTTTATCCTGTGGCCTCAATTATGATTAAAATGATGGATTGTAACAGCTGTGCTTCTGAACATGTTCAGTGTTGGTGAACAAAGGAGATACAGAAACTCTTAGATTGTAGAAGTTTCATATTTGTGATTTTTTTTATCACCACATGTTCAGTCTCTAATGCTTTATAACACGGGCGACAATTTAAAAATCCTGCCATGTGAATCGGGTTTTAGGGTCAGGTAAGGATCGTCACCTGAGTCGTTCAGACGGATGGAAAAACTTCTGCTGAATGAATCAATGATCTTTTCTAGAGGGTGTTTAGCAAAAACAGGAGTGGACCCAAAACCATGCCCTGGGGTACACCGCAGAGCAAGTGAGTGTGTGTGTGAGATGTTGTCAGTAAGAGGAGTCATGTGGCCACAGAACCCACAAGGAACAAAATGTTCCTCACGAGCACCAACGTGTCCTCAAAACAAAAACGCATAAATAAAAATAATGAAATAAAATTTGTGATCTGAACAAACCTGCATGAACTAAGAATAAAAACCAAGGAGAAGAACAAACGGCCAGTGAAGACATTTTTTTTAACCGTAATCTTTGTTTTCCTTGAGCTGAACCACAGGAACGTTTTGAGGTTTGAAGTTTCTTCTCGCCTCGGATTCTGGGTTGTTTTTCATTTGAGACATTCTCACCATTTCTTTAAACCCAACGTTGTTTGGGCAAAAAAAGTGAGGGTGACAATGTTTTTTTTTAACTGTGGCGGTGGTGTGTGTATGTGTGTGTGTGTCATCTTAGAAAATCAGTTGTCATCCGGTGGTTGCTGGTCACCAGATTCTGAGGTAGAGGAACAAACAGTTCATGTGCAAAAGGTAAATTTCAGTAAGGTTGTTCATCTGGAGATGGTGTACCTTTAGATGCTCGTGCAGCAGGAGCTGGAGAAGAGAAGGATCACACAAATGAACTACTTATGACATCAGGAGTTAGGAAATATTCCAGTAGGGCCAAATTCGACTTGTGTCATGTAAATATGTTGATGAACGCTGTCTAACACGGCAAGTTCCACTCGGTACATTCCACCTTCAGATTAGAGGCAATAAATTCCATTGGGTGGTTTCAGACACGCCCCTTTGGGTTTTACCTTTGGAATAAAAGCTGGAGGAATGTTTCCATGGTGGTAAATGGCCTTCATAGGGTTCTACAACCCCCCAAGGCGCTTCACAACACAACCAGTCATTTACCCATTTACCGTAATTTTCGGACTATAGATGTCACGGTCTGGGGTTTTTTCACACACTAATTGGTGTAGAGTCTCATCTCTCCTCTGCAGGTGGGCGTGCCTGGAAGTTGGGAGGCTGCAGGTAATCTGCTGATTAGCTGGCCAGGGATATTTAAGCTCCTGAGAGACGCCTTCACTTTGCTGGATGATTAACTCAACTTGGGTATTTCTCCTAACAGCCAAATCCAAACTAAGCTTTGATTTTGAGAATTTCTGGGTTATGGATTTTTGATTTTTGAGATCTCTGTGTTTTTGACTGCTTGTTTTGCCTCCTGCAGATATCACCTATCAGTTCACCTCATTTGCTGCTACCAACCTGGTTTCTTCACTGTCCACTCGTCTCTCAGCGTCCTCCTCTGGTCTTCCCACTCCAGGCTGCCCACCCTCCCTCCTGAATCACCATTACCCTTCATGCTCAGCTCCCTCCTCATTTGGACTCCAAGCTCATCAGCCTCCAGTAAGCCTCCTGCCCTCCCCAGACCGGTCACTCCTCCCTCTCTCACGAGCTCTCACCTCCAACCTGTAAGTTCCATCAGATCCAACATTCAGATTTCCGAGTGCCAGACCTAACTCTCCCTGTT